ATAATAATAATATGGACATTTGTAGAGCGCAGTATAGTAGTAATTCCACACCTCAAGGGCATGCTCTTTGCGCAACAGTAAATATGTACACTATATACAGGAAGAAGTTTTATAAGATTTAGTTGTGCTTGAACAAGAATGTTTTGAGTCTTGATTTAAAGATGGAGATGGAAGGAGATGACTTGACATGGAGAGGTAGTGAGTTCCAGAGGGAAGCTGAGTGAACGCTGAAAGATCTGCCGCCAAAAGATTGCAACTTGTATTTTGGGACACTGAGAAGACCATTGTCTTGAGATCTGAGAGTGTAGGGTGTTATAAGATCTTGCATGTAGGAGGGTGATGAATAGTTTAGTGCTGAATATACAAGAGACAGCGTTTTGAATTTTATTCTTTCGCGGGTGGGAAGCCAATGGAGTGACTTTAGTATGGGAGATATGTGACATCTGGATTTGGTTCTAGTGACAAGTCTTGCTGCGCTGTTCTGGATCTTCTGAAGTCTGTCTAGTTGTTCAGAAGTGATGCCTGCACAAAGACTATTGCAATAGTCAAGCCTGGATAAAATGAGGGATCTTGCCAGAGTGGCATCAGCATCAGTTGTTAAGAGATGGCTCCAATGTTCCTGACATGGAAGTGGCAGGAACGACACACATGAGTGACGTGTTGCTCCATGTTGAGCCCTGAATTTAGATAAACACCAAGATTCTTTACCACAGGGGAAAACACTATGTTTGTATCTCCAATCCTGATGTTAGGAACCTGGCATTTCTGTAGTCAGGAATTCGGAGCAATAAGGATAGCCTCGGTTTTATCATCATTTAGCACCAGCTTGTTTGATGTCATCCATGATTTGACATCTGAAAGACATTGTTCCATTTTCAGACATGTCAATGACTGGTTATCCTTGTCTAAAGTATAACTGTCAGACAGCTGAGTGTCATCAGCGTAAAAATGGTGATCTGTGTCACGATCCTGGATGAGCTGTCCCAATGGCCTGGTGTACATGGTGAACATCATTGGGCCTAACGCCGATCCCTGGGGAACACCACAGGAGAGATCGAGCTTGTCTGACATTGTCTTGTTGATATGAATGGATTGTGTCCTCCCTGTCAGATATGAGGAACACCAGTGCAGAACATTTCCACGTATCCCATACTGGTGCTGTAGACGATCGATGAGCTTCTGGTGGTCGATAGTATCAAACGCCGCCGATAAGTCTAATAAGATGAGCATTGCAACCTTGCCAGAATCAACAGACATTCTGATTCTATCCAAGACATAGTTCAGAGCTGTTTCTGTGCTATGAGCATATCGATACGCGGACTGGAACTTCTCCAATAAGTCGTTTTCTTCAAGGTGTTCAAGTAGCTGTGTTTTTACCACTTTCTCCATGATCTTTGAAAGAAAGCTTAAATTTGACACAGGTCTATAATTCTTTAGTACTTGCGGGTCTAAAGATGACTTTTTGATCAAAGGTTTCACCACAGCGGCTTTGAAGGATGTAGGTACCTCACCACTGAGAATACTAAGGTTCACTATTTGGGTTATGGATGGCAGAAGTACATCAAGCATTTGAAGCATGAAATCTGTTGGAACTGCACGTTGTTTGCTTAGAAGAGTTGATGAGCTTTAGCAAATCTGATTCACCGACAGGTCGAAAGGCTTCAAGGTCTTGACCACACTATATTCCTTGTATGAAACATTGTCACACATGCTCCCCAAACTGTGACGCAATTTCACAATTTTGTCATGAAAGTAGGTAGCGAAGTCATTTGCAACTGCAACATCAGTTCCACGAGGAAGTGTTATGTCCCTTTGTTTTCCTGTCAGTGTATTCAGAGTAGAATATAATAGCCTTGGATTACCAGAGTTTTTCAAAAGTTCACTGTTGTAATAGGTAGCTTTTGCTCGTCGTATGGCTTTGTTGACATCATTTCTCGCTGAGTTGTAGATTTGTCTGTGGATTTCCAGACGTGACTTGCGCCAGTGACGTTCTGCAACTCTTCTCCGACCTTTAGCCTGTAATACATCTCCATTGTACCATTTAGTTGATTGTTTTTCCCGCACAAGTTTTGATCTGACTGGAGCATGTTTCTGTAGAAGTCCAGAGAGAGTGCTGTTGAACATATCAACTAGATCGTCAAGTTGAGTAGGAGGATTACATAAAAGGTCATCCTTAAACTGTAAAATATCTACACGTTTTAAGTTTTGTACTTGTATTTCTTTGCGGGTTGAGATAGGTTTCTTTGCATCTAAATCAAATGTGATCATATGATGATCAGACATTTGTGTGTCGTCAACTTGGATATTTCTTATGAGGCTCTCATCTCTTGATACGACCCAATCTATGATATGGCCTGAACGATGTGTTGATCGAGATATAAGTTGTTTCAGATCATGAGATTGTAACACCTGACACACTTTCCTTGTAAGGGGTTTATCTAATGTGTCATAGTAAACATTGAAGTCTCCCAGAATAACAACTTCTTCCAACTCGTTATTATCTCAACACAAGGATGAAAAGTCATTGATAAACTGTTTGTTTGTGAGTTCGTGTTGTTGTGATGGGGAGGCCTGTACAGGCAGGACACTTTAACAGACCTTTTTCCATTTGCTATGACTACATTCATCATTTCAAATGAAGCATAGTTCCTTGATCTGCACACTTAAATTGATAGTTGTTTTTTAAAAAGCACAGCAATACCCCCGCCCCTACCACTTTGTCTTGGGACGTGCTTCATTGTAAAGCTATTGGGTGTCATAGCTGAACATATTGCGTCATCACCATTATCATGCAACCATGTTTCAGTGAGAAAAAGTACATCAGTGTCAGATTCAAGTAGGTAATCGTAGATATCAATAGCTTTATTCCTTGCAGACTGTGAATTCCAAAGACAACCTTGAGATGGATTTGTTTCAGCTTCGGATGAATTGTAATCAGATTATTTCAATTCACACCACTCACTTGATCATGAACACTCCTTACGTCATCAAACACGTCAACTACAACTTGAATCTTCCTTTGTTTCACTTATTCCCAAGCTTCTGATGTGATGTAACAGAGTCTGATGTATCCATGGTCGCTGCACACTTGATGGGTTGAGGTCATGTAACGTCCTCAAGCTGTACTTGATTGGAGTAACTCCTGTGACCAGACCGTATTGTTCTCCACATTGTCCACTGATTGATGCGCTTCTCTCCTCCATGGGTATCACAGTGAAAACCAAAATACACACACATATGTTGAATTAAGTCAACATATTTCTAAACCATGCTGAACAACCAAATTTCACTGATGACTTCTTCATGAGTAGTCACATCTGGTTTCCAGATGTCATGAATGTCAGTGAGGTATAACTTATGGTACATTCAGACTGAAGTGAGAGCTCTGGATGTGTGCTGCCTGTCAGGCGCTCGTCTCGTCTCATCACGTCTCATAAAGACAGGGTTAGCATTTGTTTGCCAGATACCTCCCGTCCCTAAGAGAGATAGCGCCTTTCATGTAACGACGCCTATTGAGCTTCCCACTTTCACTCAACCTTCCCTGCCCGGTACCTCTCTATGACATGCTATCGTCTTAGATGTGCCTCAAGGCTCATATGAAATAACAAAGGGTGTATTTATAGTAAAATCACGTGTGATTCTTTCGCTATATGAGCTAGTACGTTCGACCCCTGACCCTGTTTCACGCCTTCGCCCGATTGGCTGTGGTGGACCACATATCCAGGTAAGCGAGATTTTTTATTCTATTTATAGTTTGGGAATTCCTCTTGTTATCGGGTTCGTTTTTACTAAACAGAATGCCACTCCCTAGACTCAGTCTTTGGGAGTCTGTCTTATGCTTACATGTACCCCAAGGAGGATCTCTATGAAAAAGAATAGAACAAACCTGTAGAGGTTGCAGATTCTTTGAACAGAGTCCTCCTTGAGGTACGACAACCCACCTGATTACGTTCAGCATGGAAAGTGAGGTACGAGGTTATAGCTTAGAGTTACCTGCTCTTGGCTGTGAGGGGTCCATGGGGCCCTGTATGGGTGGTTGAACAAGACTAAAGCGTTGTTTTTTGTTTTGTAAGTATTTCATTAAAATATTGTTACAACTATCGTAGGAATTTAAAATGGACATTTTAATGCTTATATGTGCCCCAAGGAGGATTCTTTTCAAAGAATCTGCAACCTCTACAGGTTTGTTCGAATTTAAAAATAATACTTATCATGTTTCATTTAATGGAAAATACGATAAATTTGACTAACTCAAATGATCGAAATTGTTTTTTTGCACCTCGTCAATCTTATCAATTGATCAACATGGGTGTGACCATTTTGAAAGCCAGAGTGCATAACCAAATCCTGTTTTGGATTTTAACATAGTTTGTGGATTAGTTATGGGTCCTGGACAAATGAAGCAGTCATCAATGTCTTCAGGAAATCCAGCTCTCATGTTTACAGGTTAAGTGATGTGTACCGATTTATTAAACAATAAATTGACATGACATAATTGTTGTAATGCTTTAAGTTAAATTGGATCATCCAAAGGTATTGGCAGACCTATTTTCACAGTCACACCAAAATGATCTGTCTGGTGCCCTATTCCACTGGCACATGTATGACTTGCTGTTATTGCAGGTGAAACTTGATTGTATTTAGATGTTACATTCTGCTGCAATGACAAGGTATTGTTAATGTATATCTTAATGATAGCTATACTCACATCAATAGCACACTTATTATTTGTCATTCTGATCATTATTTTGATTATTCAGTTGTGCTTTAGGCATGCAAGGAACATTTGGTCCTGGTGTTATATCTCAGGCTGGGCCTGGTTGTTGTCAGCACTGCACCTGTTTTCCTCACTGACTAATGGTAACGTGTGGAAGCTGGAGGTTATACTTGACCCTCCTCGCTCACAGATTCACACATTTGTAGCAGATTGTGTTAGTAATGGTAGTCTGCATTCAAGGCTGGCTGCTGTCATTTTGTTGAGATTTTCCTCATCTCTGCAGATTCCCCATCTCGAGGTCGACGAGGTGGACGTGCCAGTAAGCCAAGGAGGAAACGAAATTCCAGTGGTGGTCGTAGAGACAGCAAAGCAAGCCCTGACAACTCTCCAGTAATAGTAGAGGCACATGATGGTGATGAGGATGAACCTTGCTATGATCATGATGATGATGATGATGATGGTGGGCGGCGGCGACGTAGCACTCGGCAGAAGAAGATGACATTTGATACACTGAACCAGAATTTCTTGGATAAGGCCGTTGTTAGCGCAAAAGATAAGGATGATGACGATGATGGGAGGGGGAAAAGGAGGAGGAAAGCAAATTTTATGAAACCATCGGAAAAGGATGAGGTATGATATGCATGTTTCACAATATAGGGAATCCCTCCCGAAAAGCAATATAGACTTTAGAATACAGTTTGCCTCACCCATATGTATAGTGTAATAAGGTACCGTGCTGCCTGTTAATGTAAAACTTGAAGACGCCTGCCATAAGGTTAATGATAAGCTGCAACTGCTCTCTTCTTTAAAGTGTTTGTTGTACATGAATGCTGTACATGACAGTGTTTGTTGTACATGAAAGGGTTTGTTGTACATGAAAGGGTTTGTTGCACATGAATGTTGTACATGAAAAGGTTTGTTGTACATGAAAGTGTTTGTTGCACATGAATGTTGTACATGAAAGTGTTCATCTACAACATGTTAAGTTTTGCTCTCCTTTCCCTGTAGTATTCTGACATGTACAGCCGGGTCAAGAGGCAGCGGAAACATGTGGAGCGTGACATGTACGGCGTCCCAATACAGGGCTCTGACTCGGAGTCAGGAGGTTAGTGGAGAATATTATTAAGCTCATTTTGGTTTTTCCTTTGTAAAAGTTACAGACAACACAGTATAATGTTTGAAATTTGAAAAGCTGCGAGTAATTCAGGATAATCTCCTATTGAATAACTAGACCCAGTCCGTGGTTTTACTCCATGTATTAGAGCACATGACCTTGTGTGTTACTTCATGTATTAGAGCACATGACCTTATGTGTTGCTCCATGTATTAGAGCACATGACCTTGTGTGTTCCTCCATGTATTAGAGCACATGACCTTGTGTGTTGCTCCTCTCCACAGACACCAATGATGAACAGGAAGGAGACGGGACTCCGGTACAGCCACAGAAGAGATCGTACTTCCTGCGGGAACACAAGCCTCGTACACAGCTGTTTGAGGCGCCACCTATAGGTCAGTTTGTGTGCACCATTCACTGTCTTGTGTGGGTCTTGGCCATACTTATATGTTGGTTATATTTGCAGAAGGTACATGAAATGTTTTTCACACAGGTCATTCACAAGCGTTCTGTTTTTGCCAATAATGACGATGAAAATTGATAAAATTTATTCCACAGTCCAAATAGACTTAAAGGGCAAGTTCAAATGAAAAATAAACCTATATTTTGTGCACTTTTCAGCATAAATATTTACCTAGTACTTAACAGAAAAAGCAATACAGATATCACAAGTAACTTACCCATGAAGATTCGGGTTAGAATTGGTATTCAATATCCCATGCTTGTCGTAAGAGGCAACTAACGGGATCGGGGTGGTGAGGCTCGCTGACTTGGTTGACACATGTCATCGTATCCCAGTTGCATAGATCGATGCTCTTGCTGTTGATCACTGGATTGTCTGGAATATTGCTGAGTGTGGCGCAAAACTAAACTCACTGACTGACTTTAGCAGCGGGGGACATTGCCATGTTAGTATATGAGTTCCCTCTAACAGCTCTAGAGTGTCATGTTAATGTCTATTTATTTCAGAGAGTCAAAAAAAGAAACAGCAGTCAATGTTCCGAGAAACCCCACCGAGGTCAACGAGAAAGACTTGACAGCCACCAAACATATCAATCTCCAGCACACAGGAAGAAAATTGTCAGGTACAAGAAATAGTTTCAAGATCTTATTACTCTCAGTCTGAAGCCATACCAGTTAATGTGCTGTTTCTAATTGTCGGATCAAAAAGAAGTTAAAACCATAAATTGGTAACATGCACTTATTGTTGGAAGTGTGTTATTACAGCAAGTATATGTGGTAGGACACAGGAGGGTAACATATTTCCCCAGTATGTGTGTTAACTCTCCAATACATTCATTCCAGGAAACGACAAGCATTCCATGTTTCTAGTTCAACTTCTTCATCAGAGAGCATATCCAGTGATGAGGAGAGATTTCAGAGACGTAAAGCCAAGAGCATGGCTCGCTCAAGGAACAGGTATCACAATGCTGTCTTTGTGATATATTTATGAAAATGCTCACTGAATTAATATGAAAGATTTAACAATATTGGACTGAAAATATAGTCTAGGTTCTCTCATCATATGTTTATGTTTAATTCAACCAGAAAAAGCTATACATATTACACAGAATCCTCTGTACTATCACTGACAATACCTTATTAAGGGTGCTGTTACTTTTCTTGCATACACACTACTGTGGAGGTAGGAGATTATGAACTTATTACCCATACAGGCTAGGATACACAGGTGATTATTTTTGTGATAATCGCACATGTGCTTTTCAGTGATTCTCAAATGTTGATTGGTCAGCTAAGCAGAGAAGAAATATGATTGGTTGACAGAACTACTTTTCATGATCAAAGTTCATTGACAACTTTTACCGGTTCATTGATAATTAGAACGTGCTGTACTCACACATTCCGAGATTAAATTAAGAAACCATAAAGGTTAAAGAATATGAATACTCTTTTTATTAGACATTATTATTTTGCAATAAAATTGCATTATACATAGTAGTCTTTTTAAAATAAATAACCTTGAAAAAGACCATGTAAACAAACATGGCGGCCATTAGGCTAACCCCGATCAAGGCCCGAAAACATCTCATCCACACCCTTTCTGACAATGGTGTACCAGTACATCAAATCATGCAAATTTCCGGACACAAAAATGTTCAATCAATAAACAGTTACTCTTCAGTTAATGAGAAACAACATCAGTCCATCTATAAATTGTTGTCAAACCCTTGTAAACCCACCGCTCTGTCCACTCACCCTCAGGCTCAGGCTGCCACCATGACGTCACAGTCTTTGTCGCATGTCGTAATCTTCATTCTGTACATACACTATCCTCAGGTCCAATTTATGGTAGTGTATTCCACTTCACCATCTCCGAATGACTCTTCTGTCAGTCGACCATCTGCTCTAAAGAGGTGTATTCTTCCCATTGACTCAGATTCCGACTAGAGTTATCCTTGTTGGAACTGCTGTACTCTACTGGGACCAATGACGTGACTGTAACTGCCTTCCACAGAACAAAATGTTGTTTAATCTCCAAACTTGTTGAGTTTCTTGACAGAAAGCATTTTCTAGATGTATTCCTGGGATGGTTGTCTTTTAGATTTCCAAACTTTTAACGGTTGACTTTCCCAAAAATTGACAGGTTTTTGCCAAAGTTTCAACACCACACCGTCACCCATCACCAGACACACGTCAGTCGTGAATGAACGACGTTCCGTCGCACTGACTTGATCAAATAATGGTTTAGCTGTTATTAAGTTCAATGATGTATTTAAAAGATCATTTTTATCATATTAACAAATGTTAATTAATTATTTTTGCTGTATTTTAAAGCAATTTTACTAGGTACTGTTTTCCATAGCGTAGTTATGTTATTACCGCTGGAGAAGTTAGGTTTAATACGCGCATGAATACAAGTCAGCTGTTTGAGGTCACAAGTCCTGTCTCCGGGTGGTTTTTATTTTGTGGTTATCTTTTTAAATTACATTATGGGTAATAAATAGAATAACCAACTCGGTACGAGTGATTACGGAAAATATGTCCTCGTTAAAATAATGTTCAGTGCCTTGCCAAGGCTCGGCACTGTGAACATTATTTCAACTCGGGCATATTTCCCGTAATCACTTGTACCTCGTTGGTTATTCTCTAATTGTTACACAGTGTGCAATTTGGTCAATAAAACATGAAATTTGAACTAGACCATCACTAGACAAGAAGATTAAAACTTCTGTGATATTTATGTACTGAATGCCAGACAATGTTTCCTATGCAGAGATTGATATTATGTATGTATGTGTCTCGTAAAAAGACAGGATTAGCATTTAGTGGAAGTAGTGCACTGTCAACTCCTTCAGGATTGTAAAGGGGTGGTTCATGGTAAAGATACCCGTGAAGGGCCGGGTTAGAATATTGATCTTCAGTAACCCATGCTTGTCGTAAGAGGCGACTAACGGGATCAGGGGGTCAGGCTCACTGATTGGTTGACACATGTCATCGGTTCCCAGTTGCGCAGATCGATGCTCATGCTGTTGATCACTGGATTGTCTGGTCCAGACTTGATTATTTACAGACAGCTGCCATATAGCTGGAATATTGCTGAGTGCGGTGTAAAACTAAACTCACTCACTCATGAGTGCAGGGATATGGCCAATGTGATATTAAAAAACAACAACAATCCAGCAAGGGTATTTCTAACAACTAATGTTTGTTTCAAAGAGAGTATGTGGTGAGATTTGCTGAACTGCTGACACACAGTTTGTGAATAATATGATGGAATACAGATGTAAGCGGAGATATACAAGTTAGGGCCAGATTGGGTAATATCAGGGCCAACTCATTCAAACTATAAGATTCACTGTTGATAGTACTTGATTTACTATTATGCTAAAAAATGTTGTTGGCAATTCAGTGAATAGAAGTGTAGCTAAGTAAAACCATAAATTTTGTCCAAGGTTATTCCGTCAGTTTGATGGGGTGTTGTTGTCTACCTAGGTGTCTGCCTATGAACTTGAATCCTGAAGATCTACAATCTGGAGTTGTCAAGGAGAGGTCAAAGATTGGAGCAAGTTTGGCTGATGTAGACCCAATGAATATAGATAGATCAGTAAGTATCACTCTGCACTGTTTCTTTTGCAACATGGAATTTGATTGCATCTACTAACATGATGGTGTTTGATATCACCCACTAACAGGGTGGTGTTTGATTGCACCTACTAACATGATGGTGTTTGATTGCATCTACTAACATGATGGTGTTTGATTGCATCTACTAACGTGATGGTGTTTAATTGAACCAACAAACATGGTGTTTGATTGCACCTACTAACATGATGCGTGATGGTGTTTGATTGCATCTACTAACATGATGGTGTTTGATTGCACCTACTAACATGATGGCGTTTAATTGAACCAACAAACATGGTGTTTGATTGCATCCACTAACATGATGGTGTTTGATTGCACCTATCATGATGGTGTTTAATTGAACCACAAACATGGTGTGTGAGTGCATTCACTAACATGATGGTGTTTGATTGCACCTATCATGATAGTGTTTGATTGCACCTACCACCATGATGGTGTTTGATTGCATCCACTAACATGATGGTATTTGATTGAACCTACCACCATGATGGTGTTTGATTGAACCTACTAACATGATGGTGTTTGATTGCACCTATCATGATGGTGTTTGATTGAACCTACCACCATGATGGTGTTTGATTGCACCTATCATGATGGTGTTTGATTGCACCTACCACCATGATGGTGTTTGATTGAACCTACCACCATGATGGTGTTTGATTGAACCTACCACCATGATGGTGTTTGATTGAACCTACCACCATGATGGTGTTTGATTGCATGCACCAACATGATGGTGTTTGATTTCACCTACTAACGTGATGGTGTTTGATTGAACCTACTTGCATGATGGTGTTTGATTGCACCTATTAACACGATGGTGTTTGATTGCACCTACTAACACGATGGTGTTTGATTGCATCTACTAACACGATGGTATTTGATTGAACCTACCACCATGATGGTGTTTGATTGAACCTACTAACATGATGGTGTTTGATTGCACCTATCATGATGGTGTTTGATTGAACCTACCACCATGATGGTGTTTGATTGCACCTATCATGATGGTGTTTGATTGAACCTACCACCATGATGGTGTTTGATTGAACCTACCACCATGATGGTGTTTGATTGAACCTACCACCATGATGGTGTTTGATTGAACCTACCACCATGATGGTGTTTGATTGCATGCACCAACATGATGGTGTTTGATTTCACCTACTAACGTGATGGTGTTTGATTGAACCTACTTGCATGATGGTGTTTGATTGCACCTATTAACACGATGGTGTTTGATTGCATCTACTAACACGATGGTGTTTGATTGCACCTACTAACGTGATGGTGTTTGATTACACCTACTAACGTGATGGTGTTTGATTGCATCTACTACCATGATGGTGTTTGATTGCACCTTCTACCATGATGGTGTTTGATTGCACCTACTACCATGATGGTGTTTGATTGCACCTTCTACCATGATGGTGTTTGATTGCACCTACTACCATGATGTTGTTTGATTGCACCTACTACCATGATGGTGTTTGATTGCATCCACTAACATGATGGTATTTGATTGAACCTACCACCATGATGGTGTTTGATTGAACCTACTAACATGATGGTGTTTGATTGCACCTATCATGATGGTGTTTGATTGAACCTACCATGATGGTGTGTTTGATTGATGGTGTTTGATTGCACCTACCACCATGATGGTGTTTGGTGTTTGATTGCACCTACCACCATGATGGTGTTTGATTGAACCTACCACCATGATGGTGTTTGATTGAACCTACCACCATGATGGTGTTTGATTGCATGCACCAACATGATGGTGTTTGATTTCACCTACTAACGTGATGGTGTTTGATTGACCCTATGATGGTGTTTGATTGCACCTATTAACACGATGGTGTTTGATTGCACCTACTAACACGATGGTGTTTGATTGCATCTACTAACACGATGGTGTTTGATTGCACCTACTAACGTGATGGTGTTTGATTACACCTACTAACGTGATGGTGTTTGATTGCATCTACTACCATGATGGTGTTTGATTGCACCTTCTACCATGATGGTGTTTGATTGCACCTACTACCATGATGGTGTTTGATTGCACCTTCTACCATGATGGTGTTTGATTGCACCTACTACCATGATGTTGTTTGATTGCACCTACTACCATGATGGTGTTTGATTGCACCTTCTACCATGATGTTGTTTGATTGCACCTACTAACATGATGCGTGATGGTGTTTGATTGCATCTACTAACATGATGGTGTTTGATTGCACCTACTAACATGATGGTGTTTAATTGAACCAACAAACATGGTGTTTGATTGCATCCACTAACATGATGGTGTTTGATTGCACCTATCATGATGGTGTCTGATTGCATCTACTAACATGATGGTGTTTGATTGCATCTACTAACATGATGGTGTTTGATTGCATCTACTAATATGATGGTGTTTAATTGAACCAACAAACATGGTGTTTGATTGCATCCACTAACATGATGGTGTTTGATTGCATCTATCATGATGGTGTTTGATTGCACCTACTAACATGATGGTGTTTGATTGAACCTACCACCATGATGGTGTTTGATTGAACCTACCACCATGATGGTGTTTGATTGCATGCACCAACATGATGGTGTTTGATTTCACCTACTAACGTGATGGTGTTTGATTGCACCTACTTGCATGATGGTGTTTGATTGCACCTACTAACGTGATGGTGTTTGATTGCATCTACTAACATGATGGTGTTTGATTGCACCTACTAACACGATGGTGTTTGATTGCATCTACTAACATGATGGTGTTTGATTGAACCTACCACCATGATGGTGTTTGATTGCATGCACCAACATGATGGTGTTTGATTTCACCTACTAACGTGATGGTGTTTGATTTCACCTACTTGCATGATGGTGTTTGATTGCACCTACTAACGTGATGGTGTTTGATTGCACCTACTAACATGATGGTGTTTGATTGCACCTACTTGCATGATGGTGTTTGATTGCACCTACTTGCATGATGGTGTTTGATTGCATCTACTAACGTGATGGTGTTTGATTGCACCTACTGATATGATGGTGTTTGATTGAACCAACAATGTTTGTTTTCTGTTATTGCTGTACTGTTGGGGCTTCTATCAAGATGGTGTTTGATTGAACCAACAATGATGGTTTTCTGTTGTTGCTGTACTGTTGGGGCTTCTATCAAGATGGTGTTTGATTGAACCAACAATGATGGTTTTCTGTTGTTGCTGTACTGTTGGGGCTTCTATCAAGATGGTGTTTGATTGAACCAACAATGATGGTTTTCTGTTGTTGCTGTACTGTTGGGGCTTCTATCAAGATGGTGTTTGATTGAACCAACATTTATGGTTTTCTGTTATTGCTGTACTGTTGGGGCTTCTATCAAGATGCCGTCACAGAAGTAGAAATTGCCTGAGTTGTTTTCAGGTCACTTTGGATTCCCTGGAATATTTGCCAGGCTGCAAACAAAACAATCTGTGTAGTACATGTATATTAAAAGCTACTTCCCGATCCTTTGAAATGTTTACTCTGTGTCAAAGAAAATCATTTGCGCACAACTTCAGAATTTGACAGCTCTGCTCATAACTGCCGTTTATGATAATTGATTTCATGATTGATGTTAATACTTCCCACAACAGGCCAGGGATTTACAGGACGCGAATTCCTGCATCCTATACGCATGCAAATTATGCAACGAAATTTATTTGCGCGGCCACAGGGACGCAGAAAAAGTCCAAAAGCTTTTTGTAAAAATTTCAATCAAGTAACAATAAGTTATCACTGAGTCTGCTACTAGCCGGGTATAATTTGCAATTTAATTACTGTAACAATGTGATAATCATGATGCACAATACAATAACAGTAAGTGAATTACAACAATATTACAACATAGTATTAATAATAATATTTAAGTCTCTGGGACCCCCATTTTGTAGTCCAGAACCCCTGAAAATTAAGAGTCTGAGTCCCAGGGACCCTCAAATACAGGACTCAAGGTAAATCCCTGACAGGTTCTCTTTTGTCTTTGTACAGGTGACCTTTGAAAGTATAGGTGGCTTGGGCAAGCATATACGTGCCCTAAAAGAAATGATTGTGTTCCCTATTATGTATCCTGAGATCTTTGAGAGGTTCAAGATTGCCCCACCAAGAGGAGTACTTTTTCATGGGCCTCCAGGTTAGTACGCCATCACCATTACCCTCACCAGTACACCTGCACTGATACACCCCTTACTGCACCCTCCTTGCAACACTTCACCTGCGTCACTGATACTTCCTGCAACACCTTCACTGATACATCCTCCCTGCTACACCTTCACTGATACACCCTCCCTGCTACACCTTCCCTGATACACCCTCCCTGCAACACCTTCACTGATACGCCCTCCCTGCAACACCTTCACTGATACACCCTCTCTGCAACACCTTCACTGATACACCCTCTCTGCAACACCTTCACTGATACACCCTCCCTGCAATACCTTCACTGATACACCTTCCCTGCTACACCTTCACTGATACACCCTCCCTGCTACACCTTCACTGATACACCCTCCCTGCAACACCTTCACTGATACAACCTTCCTGCAACACCTTCACTGATACAACCTCCCTGCAACACCTTCACTGATACACCCTCCCTGCTACACCTTCACTGATACACCTTCCCTGCTACACCCTCCCTGCAACACCTTCACTGATACAACCTTCCCTGCTACACCTTCACTGATACACCCTCCCTGCTACACTTTCACTGATACACCCTCCCTGCAACACCTTCACTGATACAACCTCCCTGCAACACCTTCACTGATACACCCACCCCACCACTGCAATACCTTCACTGATACACCCTCCCTGCTACACCTTCACTGATACACCCTCCCTGCAACACCTTCACTGATACACCCTCCCTGCAACACCTTCACTGATACACCCTCCCTGCAACACCTTCACTGATACACCCTCCCTGCAACACCTTCACTGATACACCCTCCCTGCTACACCATCACTGATACAACATCCCTGCAATACCTTCACTGATACACCCTCCCTGCAACACCTTCACTGATACACCCTCTCTGCAACACCTTTACTGATACACCCTCCCTGCAATACCTTCACTGATACACCCTCCCTGCAACACCTTCACTGATACACCCTCCCTGCAACACCTTCACTGATACACCTTCCCTGCAATACCTTCACTGATACACCCTCCCTGCAACACCTTGATACTGATACTTTCTACACCCTGCTACACCCCATTGCAACTGCTACACTTCACTGATACACCCTCCCTGCAACACCTTCACTGATACACCCTCCCTGCAACACCTTCACTGATACACCCTCCCTGCTACACCCTGACTGATACAACCTCTCTGCTACACCCTCTCTGCTACACCCCATGCTACACCCCATATTGTACCCTTCCTGCTACACCCTGACTGATACAACCTCCCTGCTACACCTTCCTTGCTACACCTTCCTTGCTACACCTTCCCTGGGACACCCTGCTACACCTCACTGGTAGTTTCTCTGCTACATTGTAGTTGTGTTCGTCCTCTGCCACAGTCTATATACAGAATATTGTAGTTGTGTATTCCTCTTACAGGAACTGGAAAGACCTTGATTGCAAGAGCTCTTGCTAATGAATGTAGCTCCTCTGACAGAAGAGTGGCTTTCTTCATGAGGAAAGGCTGCTGACTGCCTCAGTAAATGGGTCGGAGAATCAGAAAGACAGCTTCGCCTGCTGTTTGATCAGGTAAATATTCTGTTGAAGTCACAGGATAATTTGTTGGTTGTATCAAGTAGAGGAGCTACATGGACAGAATGCACAACTGTTGAAACTAGTCAGTTTCCAGATGTGTACAATCATTCCCAGACTAAAACACTGTTTATGTTCATTACATTTGTGTACACATGAAAGGCATGATATAGAGAGGTCCATTGTGTTTCTCCAATTCCTGTGATGTTGAATTCAGATTTCATAACGTATCTTTTAAAGAAAGTATTTGACCACATAGCAGAATCCTGCTCTCCTATTGTTTCCTTTTGTGAGAATCCTACAGTGTGAGCAGCTGCTCAGTAAAAGTATGTTGAAGCTTTATCAATGGTTTTATAACATTAATCTTGATTTTGTTAGATGTTATGTAATTCTGGTTGCTTTTGATATACTGCAGTTACCAACATGAAGGGTGTACTGCTTCTAGTTTGTTCTGACATAAAGGAAGATGTCTTCATCCATATATTTTCACTCACCATTTGGAGATGGTTTGCACAACAAGTAGTCAGGTTGAATATTCTCTTAAACACCATAGACTGCCTTCTGATAGTGCATGTAATGTTCATAGAACAGCTGACAGCTTCTGTACGGGTCTGTGAGGGGCGGTGGGGTAGCCTAGTGGTTAAAGCGTTGGCTCATCATGCCGAAGACCCGGGTTCGATTCCCCACATGGGCACAATGTGTTAAGCCCATTTCTGGTGTCCCCCGCCGTGATATTGCTGGAATATTGCTAAAAGCGGCGTAAAACTAAACTCAGTCAGTCAGTGTACGGGTCTGTTTTCTTCCTAGGCTTACCAGATGCGTCCTTCCATAATTTTCTTTGATGAGATTGATGGCCTTGCCCCTGTACGCTCAAGTCGTCAGGACCAGATTCACAGTTCCATTGTATCAACCCTGCTTGCTCTCATGGATGGTCTTGACAGTAGAGGAGAAATAGTTGTCATTGGTGCTACCAACAGGATCGACTCTATCGACCCAGCACTGCGGAGACCTGGCAGATTTGACCGAGAGTTCCTCTTCCCTTTGCCCTCTCATTCAGCAAGGAAACAGATACTGAAGATTCACACAAAAGCATGGAGTCCCAAGTTGGCTGACGGCTTTGTCACGGAACTAGCCCAGAGATGTGTGGGTAAGACTACTGAGATCATGATATAGTCTGTGTACGTTCTGTCAGGACAGCTACAGTGTATTCGTGTATTATACCATATATGACCGTAGATAAACCCAATTTTGAAGACAAAAGAAGCAGCCTATAGAAGGGGGTCTGCTTATCTACGGGTAACACTTTTGTCAAAAAAGATTTCTGGTGACCGGTAAGAAAACATTGTATCGTTTCACGTGAACGAACAAGAGAAAACGACTTTATCAGTGAAGACGTCAAATTTGCAATTGAATCACTAGACAAGATTATTTACCTTTTCTTTTTGCTAGGCATTGTATTATATGCAGGGATTAAGATTACCGTGTGTATTTGTCCCGTATATAGAGCTGGAAATAGCAATCAGCTGTGCACGCGTTTCCACACCTCACCCAACACTAAGGTTATACGGACCCTCATGAACATGGTAAGCGGAAGTTGTACACACATGGAATGGAGTGAAATAAGCATGCTATTTCACACACGTTTTCACCAATGTTACTGTAAACGAGTGGTCCATGGAAAACGAGGCGATAATCAGTTCGTGATTGTTGATAATGTGATGTGAAATTGGTGCTATTGCGGTTGGAGTGAAAAATGTACCCTCATGAACGTGGTAAGCGAAAGTTGTACGCACTTGGAATGGGATAAAATAAGCAAGCCAGTTTTGTTGACATGTGATCGACCAGCTACAATAAATATAATATCTAGCAAAACAAAATATATTATCCATTTTCTGTCAACTACGCTTCATTTCGAGGTGTGAGTAGACGACTTATCTACCTAAACATACCATTTTGATACTTATTTGGGGCTTATCTATGAGATCTGCTTATCTACGGCCTGGAATTCAGTCACATTTAAATGAAATACACATTAAGGAACCTTCTTTACACAATATCCAAACACATGTATTACATTACAATTTCATTGCCAGATTTATAATTATTAATGATTTTCTGCAATGTTACTGAAAAAAGAATTCTCATACACATACTTCCGCAACAGTTCCACATGGGGAATTGTGTCAAAGAGCAAAATAAAGATGTTTCAAGCAAATCTTTCCAATGAATTTAATGAGGTAATATATAAATCAACATAATTACTAATATAAGTTGACAAACTTACATCTAACTGACTATATTTATGTTTTCATGCTATTGTGTAGTGTTAGTCAAATGACATCTCGGCTTTTCTCACCTTGATTTTTCCCTTGGACGCAATGTTTACTGTGAAAGTATATGCATGAGAAAGTGTTGTCAGAGGTCACAACCTAGTACAATACATCCACAATGTCCCATATTTTAAGTATCAGTAGCAATTCCCTGCTTAAAATATTCAGAATAGCACAATTTTACTAAACAAAATCCTCTAAATCTGACAGTTATTGTACACTAAGGACAGTATCCATTGCTCTAATGTGATTAGCTGCCTTAGGTCACGTGCTTTATTTTGACCAATCACGATCCTAATAGCATTTGTATTGTCATTAGAAACCAATTTATATCCAGTAAAATCATTTGTTGCAACTGCAAATGATACTCCTGGCAAGGGTATGGTGATATTATTAATGTTCAGAACTTTCGAATGATACCCAACATCAAACAGATCTTCTGTGTGTTAAACTGAGGTATTACCCTGTGTTTTCTCAGGGTACTGAGTGGAAAGCCACTCTTATCAGGAAATAGGTGACCATACATATTATTTAAAAAAACGTTTTTGTGCTAATTTTTCGATTTCGTAGACTTGACAGTATCAATGAAATAGGCAAGAGGATATTATGATGTCTTATTACTGACAAAAAATGGCTGCTTCCTCCATGGTTTGTCTGGACATTATGAATGTGTAGGCTTGCATTTTCGTAAAAAAATATACTGAATTAAGTTGTGGTTTTATTATTTGAATAAAATGATGAAAGTAACATTTTTCCTTATCCTGACTCATGATCTTTTGCTTATCTCCTTCTATGCGAATGTTAGTTGAACACTTGAATCACTTGTAGTTCCCTAACGTAAAGGTTCACTCACCCACAAGTTACCTCCCTTTTCCTGCTAAAACAGTCATGTGACCAGCCATACTTGTCACTCTCTCCTTCATCGCCCACGCGGATGGTTGGGGGAGCACTGGAGTCTCGTATACGGCATTATATCCTTTACATTTATATCCTTTTATCCAAATTATGCTGTGTATGGTTTTCAGTTATAACTAGCTTGCATTATATGTAAAAATGTTTAAGAAATTATTTGTATTTTGTGACTTATTTCATCGTTATGTAGTTGGTTACATTTGATGAAAACTTGCAGTGTTTGCAGGTTCCGGCTTTCAGTGGCTGATCCTCACCCCCAAATGCCCGTTGGGGCGGTGGGGTAGCCTAGTGGTTAAAGAGTTTGCTTGTCATGCCGAAGGCCCGGGTTCGATTCCCCACATGGGTACAACTTGTGAAGCCCATTTCTGGTGTCCCCCAGATATTGCTGGAATATTGCTAAAAACGGCGTAAGACCATACTCAGCCAGCCCAATGCCCGTCATGCATTAATCAATGTTCTTCCACCTTGCGTTGTAGATATTGCATTGATTTATCAAATTTGCAATTTAATCAATGTTTGTCTTACATCTATAGACGTGCGATGGATCGGGTGTCGAAGTCATCACAAGTCACGGTTGATAAACCTGGAGATCAAGCCGGTAACCGTATGTTGTTTGCTACTGCCGAAATACATAATTCAGGTGCTTTGTCGAGTACGTTGCAGGGGCAGTCGTCTGTTACTGGGTCTAAGTTGAGGTCTGCTACGACCGAGTTGACGACATTGCTGAATAAGAAGAAGACGTCTTCATCATCTGCGACGCAGAAGAAGTCATCTGCAACTAGATCGTCGTAAAATCAACTCGTCCAAGTAAGACAACACATCAGAGGTCGTTTAATGAAGAGATTGTCCCGAATGACGAAGCAGACGTGTTTGCTGACCCTCCAATACTGCTACCTGAAGTACCTATTAAACCTGCCAGAACGGCCATGCAATCGACCTCCACGACGACACGATCATCTCCTGCAACTACGACAGCTGCTCAGCTGTTTGACGACCAACCACCAACTACGCAGACGTCAGTCATCAGAGGCAACATCAGCGAAGTAGACGCACACAACACCTCGGCGTTCGCGAACGCTTTGTCCACGCCGCATCAGTTCCAGACAACACCGAACTTGGATCCGGGCGACTTTATGAGACAGTTTACTACGAAGATGATGGCCATGATGGAGCGTCGGTTCGCCGAGGAAGAAGAGGCACGTCAGAACCCTACGAGGGCAAGCAACTTTCGCAGACCCTCGGACCTTTGTGAACCTGATGGACCTACATCTACGCCTCAAAGGTCTACATCTGAAGATCACGTTCACGAAGATCCTCTCACTCAGATGACTCAGTCATTATGTATGAAGATGGAAGGTTCGCGAACGTCCCTGAGACTATGAGATACGTCTTCGAACCCTCAACGTTCGAGAACGTCTAGAAAGCCCTTTCCGAGATCCAGCTGTTCCACATCTAGATCCCGCAGCCCTCACAGACGTTCGGAGGAACGTTCAGGAAGGGAAGGTTCAGGAAGAGAAGGTTCGCAAAGGCAAAGGTTCGCAAAAGGAAGGTTTGCGAAAGGAGGGTTCGCGAAGGCACAGTTCAACTGACTCGGAACTATCTGAGGAACAGGGTGACTACGTCTTCTCAGAAGCTGAGGTCACATCTTGGATAGCTAATGGATTGGACTTCGAGTCCCCCTCCAAGGAATCGGATGAAATATGCGCATATAAGATGTGGAAGGACGACTTCGACTCTCTTACGATTCCACCAATTGAACCGATATGCAAGGTGGCTACGAACCTACGCACAGCTTTTGAGAAAGCAACTCGTTATCAGAATCAACATCTACCATCATTCAACGTGAGGAGGTTTCCTCTACATCACATGGATCCCTTCATGAGAGCGCCCGGACTTAGACAACAACATGAAGTTGGTTAATGACTTACGGAACAAGGCCTATAAGGTGGAGGATAAAAAGTTGGCTCAACTCGACACCTCAACTAGGTGAACTTTCTTCGTGTTAGCAAGGTCTAGAGCGATCAATGAGGTATTGAAAATGAAATTCAACTACCCTAGGTTGGAAGAGGATAGGATGATACTATCAGCTCTACTAACTCAGAAAAAGGACCAACACTTCATGTCGGATCACTTGGACTCAACGTCGGCGGGTCTCACATTATTTTGTAGACAGGGTCTACTAGCATCTTGTTCCTGGAGTGACAGATTTACCCAACCGCTACTAAGAGCTCTTTCTGCGGCGCCTACTATCTTCGGAGGGGAGATTGATGAAGCTGCTAAGGAAGCTACTCACGACTCAAGAGAAGTCATGATGATCAAGTCTATAGACACTTTGGCCAACGTCATTCGCCATACTTCACAGAAGTACAGCAACAAGTCCCAAGTTTTCCGGTATTCAGAAGGCAAAGGAGAAGAAATACTCCAGCTTCAGGGCCGGGAAGAGCTCTTTTCGTCGCCCATCCGGAAACTACAGAGGGAACCCTGGGAGAGGACGAAATCCCAGAGGTTCTAGAGGAGCTAGATGCTGAAAATGGGGTTCGGAACGACTGGACACTTCCATCCCAAGCCGTTCCTGTACAACCATCGATAGTGGGTTGACGTCTACAAAGGTACTGGGAATATTGGAGGACAACTATGTCTCTCAAGTACTGCGAGAAGGGTACAGAGTGCAGCTCAAGGCCACACCACCGTTAACCCGCAGACCGATAGTCTTCGACTATGCAGACGAGCAAGCAGACAAGTTAGAAGAAGCCATCAACTTGCTTCTAACCAAGAATGCGGTAGAGAAAATAGATCAACATCATCTCATGCCAGGCTTCTACTCCCCAATTTTCCTAGTACCCAAGAAGAATTCCTAGACGACAGCATACAGGTTCTTCAAAGTGCCAATCAACTCAGACAGCAGCTGAACTTCACAATCAAGTTGCTCATACAACTGGGATGGCTAGTGAACCTGATGAAGTCAGAGTTGGAACCGAAACAAGATCTTCAATTTCTAGGAATAAGATTTATCACAACGCAGAATCGCAGGACTTGACTCGCACAGGAAGATTACAACTACGCCCGTTGCAGTGTTTCCCGGCAAAACATCTGGACAGCATCGACCTGATCTCGCTACCAGACAATCTCAAGACGTACCTGCTATGGTGGACTCACAGGTCGATTGTCTGCAGAGGGACCTATTTACAAGAGCCGGTCTTCGACGCACACCTTTACGTAGATGCATCACTACAGGGATGGGGTGCGCATCTCAAGAACCAAGTAGCATCAGGAAAGAGGTCGAAACTAGAACAGCATCTTCACATCCATCTGCTGGAGATGAAAGCCGCGATCAACGCCTTAGAACATTGGTCGAGCTCACTGATCAACAGAATGCTGATGGTCCACATGGACAACTCAGCAGTGGCTTTCTCCATAAATCGGCAGGTATCAACGAGATCACCAAGCCTACTTCAGCTCACATTCCAGTTGTTCAACATCACGGAGGAAGCAAACATCTGGCTAAAGGCGTGTCACATACCAGGAGCCAAGAACGTACTAGCAGACGCTCTATCTTGTCCACTTCATCCGTCACCCACGGAATGCATGCTCCACCCAGAGGCATTTCGGTTCATCATAATGGAAATAGGATCCCCATGCATAGACCTGTTCGCCACGAGGTTCAACAAACAACTACAGACATTCGTCCCACCAGTACCAGATCCTCAAGCCTGGTCAACAGATGCACTGAGCATATCATGGGAAGGACTAAATGTGTACGCGTTTCCGCCTCCGATCTTACTACCGAAAGAACTATTGAAGATCAAACAGACCCAAGCACTACAACTGACATTGGTCGCGCCCTATTGGCCAGCTCTAGAGCATACTTCCTTCGAGCTACTTACACAGAAAACTCTGTTCCTCCTTGCCCTAGCTACGGCAGCTCATTGTCAGAGATACATGCTCTGGATTTTGGACGAACTAGATTCGACATGGGGCACCGTGCTGCAGTACATCTAGGACTTAGATGTGATTTTATTGCAAAGAATCAACTACCTGGTCAACCAGATAGACAGTTCCATGTTCCAGCTCTATCTATGATCATCGGTCCAGAGGACACCCAGGACTTATTCTTGTGTCCTGTCTGAGCTTTGAAAATATATCTTCAAAAGACTAAAACAAGGAGAAGAAAATTCAAGTGCCTTTGCATCCCCTTGTCGACGGAGACATCGGTGGAGGTCTCAAGAACGACAATATCATTTTGGATGAGAGTCATTATACTAAGAGCCTATAAAGCAGCAGGATTAGAACCTCCAAGAGCTTCCAACCCACATGAAGTCAGAGCACTGGTGTCTACACTCACTCTGCATGGAAACTGCTCAATAGCATCAATAATTGAGGGCTGCTTTTGGAAGTCGGATACGGTGTTTGCCAACCACTACCTCCGAGACATAGCCACCGGAAGACGTCTCAGGCATTCACCAGTTTGGGCCTCTTGTTGTAGCACAACAACTAATGCTTCCACAAAGGCGCTGAGTTGGAAATCTCACCCTTTATCACGTTGACTTGTTGATAACTTTTACTACGAAAAAGTTTTAGTTTGAAAGTCCATGCGCACAGTCTAGACTAGACTAGCATGAGTGATTAAGACTCTGTACGGGTAACGATCTTACCTGTACGTTAAGGGGTCGCAACTCATTGATGATAACAATCTTATCATAATCTATGGGTTGTTACAGGGGATACAGGACGCATCTAAGGACAGCTGATGAATCCACGAAGTGGCTTGACCCACCACCAATACGTCGGATTCGATAAGCAAAAGATCATGAGTCAGGATAAGGAAAAATATGTAATTTTTTAAGTAAAATTGATATTTTATACTTATCCTGACTCATGAGGTCAAGCCCTCCCAACGTCCCCCGCTGAGGACACTTCGTATTTCACAGTAGATCCAAGTGCATGGGCTAAATTCAGGAGAGTGTGGCAAGTATGGCTGGTCACATGACTGTTTGCGTGGGAAAAGGGAGGTAACTCGTGGGTGAGTGAACTTTTACGTCCGGCTTTAGGGAACTACAAGTGATTCAAGTGTTCCACTACCATTCGCATAGAAGGAGATAAGCAAAGATCATGAGTCAGGATAAGTATAAAATATCAATTTTACTTAAAAAATTACATTTTTCATATTTATCAAGAATAGGATTAGACCTTTCAAATGATGTACACGACATGTAGTAACAATAATAGTTTACAAGCTGATATTTTCTTTGATAAATGTAAGCTTCATCTATCATCTCACAATTTCTGGGAATTCGAGTCCTAGCGGTAAAAGCTCCTTGTTGATTGATGTGGAAAGAGTCGATTCTGATGAGAGATCTCTAGTAACTCATCAGACATTTTTGTTACAATGTCCTTATTAGTAGTATACAGCTTTGTTTGGATAAGTTCAGGAAAACTGAAAAACGGTATTTTCATGTCAAGTCCGAGAGACCTGCAGAGAGATAATGTGGGGAAGTCCGAGAGGTGGGATTTATTACAGCACAGCAGCACTGGGCAATCCAAACTAGACTTCCTACAGAGGATAATGTAAGTTGAGACAGCTGTTAGATGATTGCTTGTGTTGTACAGTGCTATGTGTATTTGTTATTGATGTACTGGTATGTTTGACTTGCAGGCTACTGTGGTGCTGACCTGAAGGCCCTGTGTACAGAGGCAGCATTGCATGCCTCCCGGCGACGCTATCCACAGATTTACACCAGCAATGAAAAGCTTCAACTCAACGTCTCTTCTATACATGTCTCGGCAAAGGATTTCTTCAAAGGAATGCAGGCTATAGTACCAACTGCACAACGATCTGTCTCATCACCATCTCGATCTTTGACTTTCGCTGTGGAGCCACTGTTAAAACGCCAGTTCCAGAAAGCACTAAGCTTACTGCAGGATGTGTTTCCAAGTGTGCTGTCTTCTCTTGCTTTGAAGGTATTTGTCTGGATAATTATGTATACATGGTGTCTTCGTTCAAATCCAGTCACACATGACAAAGTTTGTATGGTAAAGGACAACAAACTTAAAATGCATTACTTTCACTTAGCCAGAGCAAGGTCTAATTGGTGTCTTTTGTCTCCCCTGGCGAGGAAAAGGTGTAAATACGGCCATGCTCACTGTGTAATGGAAGGCCTTGTGTCTCCTTAAACATAGTGACCTCTCATAGGTTACTATAGAGGTATAGCTAGTATCCTTTACACTTTTTTGACAATTCCGTGTATTAGTTTGTAATTTCAAAAATCTGGACAAGTTCACAATTCCGCGTTGCAGTTACTGCATTGAAATAAATTTAATAAATATCATATGCTGCAGATAGATCTAGACATCCCAGGTAAGATGCCCTATATTTTGTAAATTAGGAAATCTGTGTCAACTTAAACTTAAATGCAGAAGCAAGGTCACCATATGTGAAGGTATAAATAACAGGACACATTTTATGTCTGGATATATTGATGTATACATGGTGTCTTACGTTCACTGTAATGGAAGGAAATAGTGACACACATGACAAAGTTTGTAATTAAAGGACAAGTTCACATGAAAATAAACATATTATCCTTGCACTTTTTCCAAAAATAAGTATTGACATTACTTTCATAGCCAGAGCAATAGACATGTGCCCTCCTCTCCAATCCTTTACTTCGATGTTGAACAAAATTTATGAACAGAAACAGAAATTGCCTCTTCTTCAGGATTGTAGGTGTTTGTTGACATTCATCAGCTATATTGATAGATACAACAAGAAAACATGACACAAGTAAATGTTTAAATTTAGTTTTGGCACATATATATGAAGATATACATTGGGGGCTGGCTCGGCTAGTAATGGGTGATAACCCATGAAATGTAGCGCAGGTGTCCTGGCTGTTAAGCCCGGACATGTTGGTGAGAGCTGCCTTGGGGGCATAGCCGATTGCTAGGAGGAATGGCTGAATACCCAAAACGAGGTTATACCGAGAGCCCCCAAGAAGGTGGAATAGTGATTAAGGGGACGGAATTGAATTGAGCATAGTAAGGGAATGCCTACTGAGGTTAAGCATGAAGATACTGAATGTGAGCAAAATAAGTAGGATGTAATGGTGTGACAATATATGGCCTGGTACATAATGTAGATAACACAACAACTTCTACATATATATGAGGGAAGTGGACGGATACAACTATTTACACGAGACCGGTAAGCTGTGGGTTAACTGCCAAGCATAATGGTGGTATCCTGTAAACACCCAACTTAGTTATTTAAAGCGAGAGATTTTAACATGGAGAGTCAGCACCAAACATTCCATTCTGAGTTGAGACTTGTGGTTTTAAATGACTGCTACATTAACTTGAAGTGGAGGTTGCGCCCAGTAAAGTTGCAACAGGGATACAAGCCAAGCACAACTGCAGCTGAAACTGAATTCATACAAAGAGTCTGTGAAGTTTTAGTTTAACTCGAGTCTGTTTATGTTGGCAAACTAAGGCCTCATAATGTCATAACATTTTAACACTTATTTTGAGCTCCATACTTAAATCATGAGAAAAATGAGTATATTTTCGTACATTGACACTAACTAATTCTGAAGTTGTGTTGTCCCTTTTAACACTAGACTTGGACACTGCTGCTATACTAAGTTATTCATCAAGTGTCGTTTGTTGTCAACAGAAAATGTCATTTGGAATTTCCTTTTCTTTCTGACTTAATGAAGCTAGGTGGCTAGGTCACATGTCAAGCAGTTGCAAGATAGCAAATGGTATCGCCATGGTGCTATAACTTGTCATTTGTCTACACCAAATCTTTCTTCCGTTATTTAACTTTGAGTGAGTGAGTTAAAATTTAACGGCACATTGGCATTATTTCAGTCATATAGTGACTGATGATGGCCTTGATGGCCTTGACCTTTGAAATGACCCAACTGTGAGACAAAATACTTGCTATACTTGATCTGGCCTCCCTGACATGTGCAGATAGAGATGTCTCTATAACATGTGCAGATAGAGATGTCCCTATAACATGTGCAGATAGAGATGTCCCTATAACATGTGCAGATAGAGATGTCCCTATAACATGTGCAGATAGAGATGTCCCTAGTATAACATGTGCAGATAGAGATGTAAAATGTGCAGATCCTCCCATACTTTGCAACATTGACTTTGTGCAGATAGAGATGTCTCTAAGCATGTGCAGATAGAGATGTCCTAACATGTGCAGATAAGATAACATGAGATAGAGATGTCCCTATAACATGTGCAGATAGAGATGTCCCTATAACATGTGCAGATAGAGATGTCCCTATAACTATAACATGTGCAGATAGAGATGTCCCTATAACATGTGCAGATAGAGATGTCCCTATAACATGTGCAGATAGAGATGTCCCTATAACATGTGCAGGTAGAGATGTCTCTATAACATGTGCAGATAGAGATGTCTCTATAACATGTGCAGATAGAGATGTCCCTATAACATGTGCAGATAGAGATGTCCCTATAACATGTGCAGATAGAGGTGTCCCTATAACATGTGCAGATAGAGATGTCCCTATAACATGTGCAGATAGAGATGTCCCTATAACATGTGCAGATAGAGATGTCCCTATAACATGTGCAGATAGAGATGTCTCTATAACATGTGCAGATAGAGATGAGATCCCTATAACATGTGCAGATAGAGATGTCCCTATAACATGTGCAGATAGAGGTGTCCCTATAACATGTGCAGATAGAGGTGTCCCTATAACATGTGCAGATAGAGATGTCCCTATAACATGTGCAGATAGAGATGTCCCTATAACATGTGCAGATAGAGATGTCCCTATAACATGTGCAGATAGAGATGTCCCTATAACATGTGCAGATAGAGGTGTCCCTATAACATGTGCAGATAGAGATGTCCCTATAACATGTGCAGATAGAGGTGTCCCTATAACATGTGCAGATAGAGGTGTCCCTATAACATGTGCAGATAGAGATGTCCCTATAACATGTGCAGATAGAGATGTCCCTATAACATGTGCAGATAGAGATGTCCCTATAACATGTGCAGATAGAGATGTCCCTATAACATGTGCAGATAGAGGTGTCCCTATAACATGTGCAGATAGAGATGTCCCTATAACATGTGCAGATAGAGATGTCCCTATAACATGTGCAGATAGAGATGTCTCTATAACATGTGCAGATAGAGATGTCTCTATAACATGTGCAGATAGAGATGTCTCTATAACATGTGCAGATAGAGATGTCTCTATAACATGTGCAGATAGAGATGTCCCTATAACATGTGCAGATAGAGATGTCCCTATAACATGTGCAGATAGAGGTGTCCCTATAACATGTGCAGATAGAGGTGTCCCTATAACATGTGCAGATAGAGGTGTCCCTATAACATGTGCAGATAGAGGTGTCCCTATAACATGTGCAGATAGAGATGTCCCTATAACATGTGCAGATAGAGATGTCCCTATAACATGTGCAGATAGAGATGTCTCTATAACATGTGCAGATAGAGATGTCCCTATAACATGTGCAGATAGAGGTGTCCCTATAACATGTGCAGATAGAGGTGTCCCTATAACATGTGCAGATAGAGATGTCCCTATAACATGTGCAGATAGAGATGTCTCTATAACATGTGCAGATAGCGATGTCTCTATAACATGTGCAGATAGAGATGTCTCTATAACATGTGCAGATAGAGATGTCCCTATAACATGTGCAGATAGAGATGTCCCTATAACATGTGCAGATAGAGATGTCCCTATAACATGTGCAGATAGAGGTGTCCCTATAACATGTGCAGATAGAGGTGTCCCTATAACATGTGCAGATAGAGATGTCCCTATAACATGTGCAGATAGAGATGTCTCTATAACATGTGCAGATAGAGGTGTCCCTATAACGTGCAGATAGAGGTGTCCCTATAACATGTGCAGATAGAGATGTCTCTATAACATGTGCAGATAGAGATGTCCCTATAACATGTGCAGATAGAGATGTCTCTATAACATGTGCAGATAGAGGTGTCCCTATAACATGTGCAGATAGAGATGTCCCTATAACATGTGCAGATAGAGATGTCTCTATAACATGCACAGTGCAGCTTGGGATGCTGCAGTCTAATTCCTTCCAAAGCTTAAAGCATCTCCACTTATATGACCATGATGGAGGCTGCTAGCAAATGGTATCTTTCAACATTATCACCATGGTGCTATATCTGGGAATTGTATGGAATATTATCTTTTCTTATGCTAGAATATTTGCCTTTCACTAACTTTCCTGGCACAGTTTCCGGTCAGATGTCAACATTGGCATTACTTTGTGTTGCATTGTTTTCATGATATACAGTATTCCTTGAACAGTCTGCTAAACAAGTTGTTTATAATCTTTTAATTAGATGTTAGGAGTGATAGAATAATGACTGACACATGCATTCCTACTTTACACAAGTACTCAGATTTGACTCCCCTGACAGCTTTAGTATTTGAAAAACACAAGCTCACTACTGATACAGTATATGTCTTTGCATGAAATCTTCTCTATTGGCTTTAGATATATTTGCATCTCTGTTTCTGTAATTATATTCATCTTCTTCTTTATCTTGTGTCAGCATTTTAACATGACTATGTCTGTTTTGTTCAGAATGTTGGTGTGATTGTTCATGAGTGTTAAATTGAAATTTTGCAGCTACCAATTCCCAGGCTGAGAACCAAAAAGGGGAGGTAACCCTGGATGAGTTAGCCAGTGATGATGATGAAGAGATGCCATCAATCTATGAAAAATGTCGTAATCGAAAGCGATCAAGTCTGGAAGCTCCTATCCCTGATCATGCTCCAGCTTATCTCAACTTTGGCAGGTTAGCTATTAAACATGGGTTACTATCTCACCCGAGTTCAAAAGATGATTTGATTGCCGATTTTAACCCTTTGAAAATTATGGCTGCATTGTTGCAGGTTAGTGAGTGAAATAATTGCATCATTTGAAAACCCTCTGAGCTAAATCTTTATGTACACAGGATCCAGGAACTGATGTGGTAATAGGAATTGCTCCAAACCATGTGGGGAACTCAAGGGTGACAGTGTTCCCTGATCATTCAAAACACACATTCAGTTCCTCTTGTGGGTACAGTGTGCAGAGCCATTCTGAGCACACACTTTTACATACCTACTTCTGCCCAGTCCCACACAACAGAAATTCATTCTTTGAGTTACCAGAATAATTACTATGACATAGATTTTCATATCGCTAATGAACAATATTTGTTTTTAAAGTGCACATAATATTGACAAAAACATGGTTGGAAGTATTCTTGAATATCTAATGTCATATCTGAAGATCTAACAATGTTCAATCTATTAGTTTGCTATGCTAAGGGAAGAGGTTGGATCACTATTCTGTGATGCACCTTGATGAGATAAGTCTTATGCGTCTGAGTTTTGAATTCAGAGGTGCATTTGTTCCAGATTACAATATTTGTTCCAGATTACAATATTTGTTGGATCAAGTTTGCCATCAACTTTTATTAAAGTCAGAAGTGGCTCCACACTTTGACCTTGCCTTTCACATGTAAAACAATTGTCCATGCTGTTATTGACAGAAGTATATGAATATGCACATACACAAGGGAGGTAACTGAGAATTAACCTTGAATTAAACTTGCATTTTGGAATTAAGGAAACATTTTAAAGATCCTAGGTAAGTGTTTATCATTGAACACATGAACGATACTTGAAAGCACCTGTTATACCTAGCATACCAAAATGATTTTGTGATACATATTGTGGTAAGGATGAAGTTCAGTTTACCAATATTCCAGTATTTCTGTGCACCCTTAGTTGAAATTCAGTGTGTGTATTTTTCTCAGACAATCCTACCAGGTTCCAACAACATATCGGCCACGACTGTTACTGTGTGGAAGTCGTGGGCAGGGACAGACATCTCATCTTGGACCAGCTATTCTCCATCACTTAGAACAGCTGCCGGTGCAAGTGCTGGACCTACCCACAGTGTATGCAGCTTCTGCCAAGACACCAGAAGAATCATGTGCACAGGTACTTCCAGCATCTCATTGTAGTAGCCAGAAAAGAAAAGCTACCTGTTGAACGACCATTCATTGATCTTGACTTTAAAAAAACACCTCCAAGGACTATACAGTATATAAACTAAATATGATGTCCCTGAAAGTTGAATTTGGTGCGGCAACAAGAATATGGATCATAGACACCCTCACAGGATGATGAGTACCACTTGTCACTTGTCTACAACAAATCTTTCTTCCGTTTTTTAACTTTGAGTGAGTGAGTTAAAGTTCACATTTCATTATATGAGCAGACTATGCAACTTCATATCATTTGTTATCAACGTTAACAGTTATACCTGATGAGTTGTATTCCCAATGTGTTGCAGGTATTTCGTGAAGCGCGGAGGTGTTCCCCCAGCATTGTGTACATGCCATATGTTGACCAGTGGTGGGAGGTGCTCAACGACACGCTGCGGGCAACATTCCTCACCATGATCCAGGATCTGGACCCCACCACACCCATCCTTATCCTGGCCACCAGTGAGGTTCCGTACCCACAGATAGACAGCCTGGTTAGTTGGCTTGTCTTCAGTTTGGGGATGTGAAGTACTGTGATAACTTTGTGTACTTTGATGAATAATTGTTGGCAGTTTCCAGAGACAGGAGTGCCCACTAGTTTAAAGTCAACTTCCAGCTACTTATTCTGTGCTAAACAGACATGCCCAGAAGATGACTACCTTACATGCCTCTATTATTGTAAGAGTGAAAGAAATGTGGCAGTAATATGTAGCTTTGCTCAGGTAAACTGTTATGTTATTTGTCTGCCAATGTTGAAGTCTCAAATCCTTTCTTCTTGTGATAGTTGACATCTTGGCATGTTTTTGATGTAAGGGACGTAGGCTGGGAGATGCAAGGCTGAACACAGAGGCTAGTGGACACTCCTGTATAGGGAAGATGAATGACTGTGGTCAGCACTTGGGACATATGATGAAATCTTGGGTTGTTATTGAGTATTTGATATCTTCAAACTGCATTTGAATCGGACAGTGACAACACTTCAACAGTCAAACCTCAGAAGTTACTTCCCTTAGGCCAGTGTTTCTACAAATATTAAAACAGCTGTAAGATAGACGTGTCATCCTCAAATACACGGTATGGCGTCAAAACATTATTTGATGTTATATTTGTACATGACGACAAAACAATGACAGGAAATGTTTGCACAAGACTTTGGGGAAGCTGAATGCATATCTAAGTTGTCACACAGAATTCCTCATGCTTCAGTGTGACAAACCCGTGAAGGTCCGGGTTAGAATGAACCTTCAGTAACCCATGCTTTTTTTTCCTTTTTTTTCTAAGTATTTTGATTTCCCAAAGTACATTTTGTTGTTGTCATAGTACATTGTACAAAACATCGTACACAACATCCTCATCATCAAATTGTTGTTGTCGTAGTACATTGTACAAAACATTGTACACAACATCCTCATCATCAAATTGTTGTTGTCGTAGTACATTGTACAAAACATTGTACACAACATCCTCATCATCAAATTGTTGTTGTCGTATTACATTGTACAAAATCATCAAATTGTTGTTGTCGTGGTACATTGTACAAAACATAACAACATCCTCATCATCAAATTGTTGTTGTCGTAGTACATTGTACAAAACATCATCAAATTGCATTACATTGTAAAAACATCGCACAACATCCTCATCATCAAATTGTTGTTGTCGTAGTACATTGTACAAAACATACACAACATCCTCATCATCAAATTGTTGTTGTCGTAGTACATTGTACAAAACATCGTACACAACATCCTCATCAAATTGTTGTTGTCGTAGTACATTGTACAAAACATCGTTCACAACATCCTCGTCATCAATTTGTTGTCATAATACATTGTATAAAACGTCATACAAAACATCCTCGTCATCAATTTGTTGTCATAATACATTGTATAAAACGTCATACAAAACATCCTCGTCATCAATTTGTTGTTATAATACATTGCACAGAACATCATACACAAACATCCTCGTCATCAACAATGTGCAAGCATCATCATCACCATCAATACAAACAATCATCATCATATGTTCAGGGTGGATTTACTATAATGTATTTGTTATCCTTGCCCAAGGCTAATATGTATACCAGTACATGTATTCAGATGCACTTGTCAAATTGTATTATTATTATACTTATATAACATCTAGGTTGGTATAGTTAGCAAGAAGTGTATGGAAGGAGGACCAGAAAGCATAAAATTTTGCTGGGTTTGCTTTAGAAAATGCTGTATATTTGGTAGCTTTATAGTAGTTGAGTATTTCCCTTTGAATCACTTTAAAATAAGTGCAAGTGCAAGCAGTAACCCATGCTTGTCGTAAGAGGCGACTAATGGGATCGGGTGGTCAGGCTCACTGGCTTGGTTGACACGTCATCGGTTCCCAATTGCGCAGATCGATGCTCATGCTGTTGATCACTGGATTGTCTGGTCCAGACTCGATTATTTAGAGACCGCTGCCACATAGCTGGAATATTGCTGAGTGTGGCATAAAACTGAACTCACTTACTGACTCACTCACTCACTCAATGTGACAAATGTAAGAGAAATTATTATCATGTTTTGAAGATTTGAGAATATTTCTGGGCTTTGAGTCCTAGCAGCTTTTTGCCAATCTGATCAATGACATGTTCACATTTACTTGTTTGCAGCTTCAGCTTTTGTTTGACTCTCACGGTGGAGAGGTCCTGGAGATGCGAGACCCCAAGGCAGATGAACGAAGAGAGTACTTCAAGGATCTTCTTCTCAATCAAGCAATCAGACCTCCACCTCTCAAGAAGCAAGCAGGTATGTTCATTAGAAGCAAGAGAGGGTTATCTTCGCCATCCTAACTCTGAATGCATAACAGGAGTATAATAGACTAATAAGTAGTCGGTTCTTTTCTGATCAAGATCTGAATCGATTGTCATTTTAACCTGTCATAAATGCATGCTCAATGGCTGTTTGTTCCTTTCTAGTGTAGAATTGAACCAAGCCTTGCTACTGCTACATACACTGTTGGTCCCACTGCTGTACCTAATACCCTACTTTGTGTTGTTTCTCTCACTTTGTCTGTGTTTGCTTGTCTTGTGGTAGGCAATGAAACTCTGCGAAAGTTGCATCTTAAGCTCAGAGCAAAGTCACCATTGTTGAAACCTTCTGAGGTTGAGGACGGTATGTACTTGAGGATGTTAAGAAACCCAGAGTTGAGTTTGCCAGTGATTGCTGTTGACATGTTTGCCTGATGCACTTTTCTCTGTGATCCTTCGGCCATGAAAAGGAAGAAAATGTTTCTCATCAATTTACAGGTCATTTAGACACTGTCGCGTGATCTTTTACATTGTAGTTCTGTGAATTTCAAGAATTTATTGATGAGTTTTTTCGTTGATGTAACCGTCATGCATTGGTTGCCAAAGATTTCATTTTTTTTACTGAAATGCCAAATAATTGGTCAAGAAAATCTGTAAATGAGAAACATTATGTAACTTTAAAGGTCGTATTGATCAGCAAGTAATTAGTTTGTTTTTGATTTCCTTGTCCCAGTGACATTTGTTTCAGTCTAATTAGTACCTTCCTGTCAAATATTATGCACAGCTTCTTTTTTGAACCAGTGGTAATATTTTCCTAAACCCACATGGCCGATGTACAGGAATCTCCTGCTTTGTGTCCTGCTATGTGATATGACCAAACTGTTGCCGAGGGTGATATGAAATGACATGAAATAACCTTCTTTGTGTATGACACAAATCACTTGCTGGAATTTCTTGTGATCAATTGAACAAATGATGTTGTGTATTGCCATCTTTAGTGATGGATTCTCTGTGTGTTTAGCTCTACGAATGTTGGAGGTCCTACCCAAGGCTCCTCCTCCTGAGCCAGCCAAACTGACGGAAGCTGAGTCGAAGAAACTCAAGCAACAGGAGGAGGCCACGTTCCGGGAGCTGCGTATCTTCCTGCGTGATGTCCTCAACAAACTGGGCCGAGATAGAAAGTTCTCCATATTTACCAAGCCAGTGGATGTGGAAGATGTAAGTACTTCTCTGTACTGTAGTGATCTGGAAACAAAACAGCCACCTAAAACATCCGGCAATGACATTCTGGCACTAATTGCTAGTAGTAGATCAGTATGAGCCTATGTTAGAAGATTTTGACCATGTACCGTGATACCGGGAAATTTTCGAAGTATCTAATTTTCGAGGTTTTCGAGGTTAGAAACGCAACCTCGAAAATATTATATCCATGAATTTTTCCGAACTTCAAACCTTTGGGTTAGATTTCCTATCGATAAGCATTTCAACTGCTGGCAACCAATGACTTCCTGACATGCGCATTAACTCTTTAATGCCTGTCTACAACTAATCTTAACATTCAGTGACCCTGAACGGCCTGAATAAACAAACAACAGAAATGCGGTGTCGAGACTATTTAATTGTGTTGTAATTGTTGGTCCAGAATAACATGCATTACAAAAAATAGGTAATTCAATCAGTGTCTTCCATGTTAAGTCAAACCAACTGTCAGTACACTCGGTGTCACTCTCTGACCAAACGGACTGCATCGGCGATGCCAGGTTTGATGAATGCGCGTATTTAAGGGGATTGTTTACACAAACATCCTGGGGCTGTAAGGCATCCGTGCAGTTGGTCAGTTTCACTAAAGAGGTCAACTTGTCAGCTTTCTAACAACAACACAGTTTCAGCAGAGACCCATCATACATGCTTATAGTTAGTTGTTAAAAAAACAATATTGTCTGAGAAAAAATGGCGCCATGTTTGAACACTGCCGACAGAGTGTTCTCATGGGTCATTTATCATTTATATATTAATCCCTTGTTTCTGGCATGATGTGTATAACTTGCTTGATGATGGTGTTAGCATCTACTGCCAAATGTGGCATGTATTGCAAGAAAGAAGTTTTAGATGATCATTTCCTCATCTGTTTAGGTTCCAGACTACTATGAAATCATTCAGCATCCGATGGACCTTTCAACAATGATGTCCAAGATTGATCGGCATGAGTATCAGACAGTTGCTGATTTCCTTGGTGACATCAACCAGATCAGTCTGAATGCTCTTGAGTACAACCCAGACAGAGACCCCTCAGGTACAGAAATCATACTTGTCCAGGGTGTGTCATCTAAACTTCATTACTGATGTGGGCCAACTTGACTGGTAGCCACCAGATATTGTTATATTGTCGACTTAAACATCATGCTCTGCCTTGTTCTATATACATAGTTTGGTATGAGTTTTCAAGACAAGTCAGATTACCTGTAGCATTTTCATTCTACACTTTCCCACGTCCCAAGAGGAGGTTTTGTCTTGTGTTTCTTCCCAGTGGTTCTGACCTGTGAAGATCCGGGTTAGATTGATCTTCAGCAACACATGCTTGTTGTAAGTGGCAACTAATGGGTTTGGGTGGTCAGACTCGCTGACTTAGTTTATGGACATCATCGTATCCCTATTGTATAGATCAATGCTCATGCTGTTGATCACTGGATTGTCTGGTCCAGACTCGATTACTTACAGACTGCTGCTGGAATATTGCTGAGTTTGGTGTTAAACAATAACCCAACCAACCGACCTAGTGGTTCTGTGAGTGCTATGAGGATCTGCATGTCGACTGTTGGGAATCTGTAGATAAGCAGTGCTCCTTTGGTCCCTGATGTCAGACCTGCGCCTTTGAGAAGCCTTCTTCTCCTGCCGTTTCTTGATGACCATGAAATTACATACCAAGACTCCAGGAATAGTTCTTACAGAAGTCGAACTTATTTCTGATAATCAGTCAGACTTGGGGAAGCTCCTCCCTGTCATATCTGATTGTGATAGAAGTCAGAGTCAGTCCAGCCAAAGTTTGTCACAGAAGAGGCCTTCCTTATCTGTGGTTTTGAAGCTGTTTGGCGAAGATGAAGGGACTAGCAGATTGGATAGAGAGCCAGTCTGTACCTCTGTCAGCCACCAGCACCTCCTCAGATGTCTACCTAGTTACTCAAGATGTGGACTATCACTTTGTTGTCATGGATCGTCCGAACTCCAGGAGTTCAGCAAGGGAGAATACGCTTGAAGTCATGGTCTCCATGGACCATAAGAGATCTACTGATCCTATTCTGGGACATCCACAGGGGGGATCGGCTTTAACAGTACATGATCTTTAGGCAGCACCACCAACAGGGCTGCATATGCAGCTATCACAGCAGGTGTCACGCAGCTTACAGTCAGGAGAGGGAATGCCTGGACTGCACAGCAGCATGGGTTGTATGGTCTGAGATAACATAAGCACTACTAGTATAGATGATAGAGACACCCTTGTCACAGCGACTGACGGGATCGGGGGGTCGGGCTCGCTGACTTGGTTAACACATGTCATCAGTTCCCAGTTGTGCAGATCGATGCTCATGCTGTTGATCACTGGAATGTCTGGTCCAGACTCGATTATTGACAGACTGCCGCCATATAGCTGGAATATTGGTAAGTGCGGTGTAAAACTAAACTCACTCACTCACCCCTTCTCACATGGTCATACGGACCATGGTGGATCTTGAGGGTTCTGATCATGCTGCATTGGACCTTAGGACTGAATCTGTGAACCATCTCGCAAACAAACTGGCAGTACTGGAAGTTTTGTTTGCAGACCCAGTGCCTCCTTTACTGTTCCAAGGTGTTATCAGAAGTACCAATAACTGGAAATTCTTTAGTCCATCATTACAATTAATACAGCAGCATGAAGGATTCTCAAGTGTTAACACTACCACCATCACAGTTGTAATTGGCCGATCAAGTAGCATTTAGTCACTGAGGTGTTATTCTAAGAATGGTTATTATTGTTGATAATGTTCAAGATTCAGTCCTGTAGAGGAATGTGCACATAGTTCATATACCCTCTCCAGTGCTCCACAACTTGACAGAGACATCCTTACTTGGAATCCTAAATGCAGGGTTGGCACCTCTAGCAGTGGGGACAAGGAAATGGCGCACATCCACACGGATCAGACATACACTCCCAGTTTTGTTGGTGATCCTGTCAGCTGTAGAACTGCTTGCTTTGACAGTCCTTTGGTCAGCAGTCGTACTGGTCCACAATCAGTTCCAATCTATCCTGGAGCAACATAGCTATATGTTGGGCTACATCACAGCTATCTAGGTCAGGTGGTTCTTGGCTCTGTCAACAACCCTGGTCCACATACAGCACCCTGTAACAGTGTCATACTGCAGTCTGCTATAGGTGCTCAATCTGTATGTCCAAGAATCGGATTAGCTCTTACATCTTCAACTGGAAGTCACCTCACGGAGTAGACAATATTCAAAGTCACTACAATCTCTATCCTCGACTGAATTGCTTCATAGTTATTCATGCTTATGAATATTTACTCTCTTATTCCTGTTTGAATGAGTGCAGTATCAGCCTCTTTGTAGATGTATGACAGTTGGCTGTGTGTGCCCACTTTCAAGCTGTGGTATAAACACACTATGTGAGATTGGATAAGTTTATACATTTAAGAAATTCTAGTAAATTCTTGGTTTACACCCACCTAGTCAACCCAATCTCTGATTCCAAGCCAATTTTACACAAAGAAGACAATGACTGAAATGGGGAGGGGCAGGGTTCACTTGGAGCTGCTGCATGCTTGTGGAAGGGTCCAACATGAATGGGTTGTGTTGTGATATGGTGTTTTGAGGTCAAAAACATGAAAGATAAATTTTGTTTCCATTCAGTGTTGAGAACAGATAGCAGAATGAATTATGTGAAACAGAATAAGTCATTAACATATCAAATTTGTTAGAAATTCATAATTTTTATTATGCCTTACGCCTCCCTGTTGTTTGAGCAGATTTACATCTGACCGTTTTTTATTTTATTATGCCTCTCCAGATAAAGCAATTCGCCACAGAGCGTATGCCTTGAGAGACACAGCCCAGGCAATCATTGAAGCTGAACTTGATCCTGAGTTTGAAAAAGTCTGTCACAGTATAGCTCAGAGTCGAAAGAGAAGAGGTGAGTTTGAAAATTGTTTCTAAAGTGTATAGCAAGAGCACAAGTATTGAACAACATATCACCAAAGGCTTGTGCACAAGGAATGGAACCCCTGAAAAGTAACTTGAAACCCCCCCCCCATTTATACCTGCATTCGTTTAATATGGTGATCAGTGACAGGAAAACAAAAGTTAATTTTCCATGTTATCCTGAGTTGACCTTCCCTTTTTAGTTTGTTGTTTTATTGCCTGTTATAAGAGGTCATGGAACTTGGTCAGGGTACAGTAGATGAACCCTGCTTGTACATTCATCATAATGTTGTACAGATAAGTACAGTAGATGAACCCTGCTTGTACATTCATCATAATGTTGTACAGATAAGTACAGTTAACTAATATGTAAGAAAGTAAGTGTAATGAATGAGTCCTGATAGATTCGAACAAAAACACTAATTGATGACAAGTTTGCAATTTATGAGATTAACCTTTAGCCTCCTGAATTGGCTTCACTCTGAAACCTGTTTGAATAATTTGAATTTAATTTCAGTCTCTCTATATCATATACCAAGATCATTTGTTTCATACTGTTACTGGCAGGTGCAGTGAAACGTTGCTTTGAAAAAAAGAAGAAGTTAAAATCCACAATAATTTGTATTTGTTTTTGTTTTTGTTTTCCTGTGATGTAAGTGCACTTCCTAACACTTCTGTTGTAGGTGTAGTGAAAGAAGCCTTTACACCAGCCTTCTACTTTACCAGACCTTTACACAAGCAAGGCGATCAGCAACAACAGCAGCAGCAACCTCCATCTGCCAGCCAGGACCCAGCAGCTCCTGGTGTACGGCACAGTCGCAGGGTGAAGGGCTTGGTTGCTGAACATCTACCTGCCCTAGAAATGGTGGAAAAACAGTGGCAGGAAGTGAAACGTGTGGGCAGGACTTCCCAGAAGGACTCTCCATCCCCCTCATCTCCCAAATATAAAAAGAACAGTCCCAGTTCAAGGCAGCATCAAGATACACACAATAGTGCAGCACCAAATTCAGCCTCAAAGACTCCATATTCAGGGAAAAAGGCAAAGCCTAAAAAGAAATGTATTTGGGCAGTAACCAAGCGACGGAAAAAGCGAGGTGCTGCAGCAAAGAAACAGAATAGTTCTAATGTGACTACTGATGCTTCAGGTCTTTATGTGGACAATGAGGAAGAGGTCAGTGATGATTCTGACAGTGAGATTATCATTGCTGAGAGCCCTTGTAGGAGAGAAAATGACTCTGGGTCTAAACTGTGCCAACCAACCTCCTCAGGGAAAGAAACACCTGCATCTAATTTTATGACATGCAAAAAATCTCCTACCTCAAGATGTCTCGAACTGATGCCTGGTCATGACAGTGGAGTTGGCAGCTCTGTTGATTCAAATGGAGACTCGGTAGACAGTGTTGATCATGCTAAGGAAAAAGATGGAAAGGTATGCTGGTCTGGATATGAACATTTGTGTCACAGATGCGTACAAGTAATATGCCACTCATTTGTTTCAGGTAGAAAATTCAAATTTTGTTCAAAGCTTCTGAACAGAGAGCTGTTAATTTTAACTGAAATACAACCTTATATATTTTCCTTTATAAAGGTAGTACCCAGTAGCGGATATTTGATACCATGTTTCAGGTTGCAAGAATCATTTTGAGAATCTGCTTGTTTCTTCCACTTCTATTGATTTGTAAAATGGTTTTGAAGCAGGAAACGCTTCATGAGTGATATTTTGTGTTCCTGTGAATGGCCTTCTGCGTATCTCTTGTATGGTATCAAAACATGAATCTTGGATCCTTGAGTTGGACCTTTTCTACGTTCCCCCTTCTGTACCAGATTGTTGTGTTTCAGCTGTTAGAACATTCCTCAGGGGCAACAGACATGGTCAGAAATGATGACGATGAATCTCAGGATCAAGGTCAGTAAATGCCACTGCTGGGATTCCTTGGCCGAGTAGGTGCCCAGTACTAAATGCTTGACATAATAGCTGACTGAGAAGTGGCTAATGGCATGAATGGTTGATTCTGTGTTGGTGTATTCCGGCAGAGTTACCCTATCTGTACTATGTAAGAACTGACATAAATATGTTTTGCATTTATGGGTGCATTAATATATATATCAATGGAATCACCATGTTTTATCTGTGGAGATTGATTTCGGTTTCAGAATCTACTCTGAAATGTTGCCTCAGTCGTACTAAAGAAGGTCATTTTGTGTGTGTGTGAACATGTAATTGTCAACCAACATCTAAAGGCTGCTCGGAGAACCCTGAAACCTACACTCACTCACTGAGAACACTTGTTTAATGTGGAAGCAATTGGCGTTGGTCACTGTTCAGTATATATTACACAACAATCATTGTTGGTTGTCATCAAGAAAACAAAGCTAATTGATGATTACTGTCATTGTTGACTTACTGAAAACCATTTCAGGAGTCTTGCTGCACTTGTTAATGACTTGCTGACCAACCGTGTGATCAATCTTACTGCATTTGTGAATGACTAATTTCATTTTATGTTGTTTTGGTGTAACAGAATCGCAGAGGAAGTTCCGCTCAACAAAATCGCGCCTTCAGACACAGCAGCAACAGCGAGCACTGGAACTCCTGGAGGAAAGTTTACCACCGCTCGTCTTTGACCTACCTCGCCTACAACGATTACTTGATAAAGTAGTAATTGTTACTGACAATTACTGTCTTGAACGACTGGAGAAGCTGTACAGTGTCTTCAGTCAGTGCATCTACAGACACAGGAAAGATTATGACAAGACTGAGCTTTCTGAGGTACGTCATCTTTAATCCGTGTGCTGAATTGAAATAATGTCCAAGGGAATTACAGGGCAGCATGAATAGCTCCATGTGAGATGTCAGGGATGCATCATACATTATATTTGTACTCCCAACATGTGATATTTACCACTCCATAAAATACTAGAAATTTTGACATATTTTTATTTCATCAAGCTACCTTTGGATACAGCATATACCAGAGCTGCTAATCCAGGCCATTATTTTATGTTGGTAATGATTTTACCCCCAAACTTTCAACAGTATTTCAACCAATAGTTTGTGCATGTGACTTTTTGATATTATTACCACCACAGTGCTGGTGATTCTATGGTGTGAACATCATAATAAACACTTCTGTCCTTCAGAAAGATCTCTGGATTTTCTCCCCCACCAGGTATTCTTAGTGGCAACAGATTTGCAAACATGTTTACAGAAGCTTTTACACCATGAACATATGGAATCCTTTGTGTGAATTTATCATCATAGAACATGGCACATCATTTGTGAGCTAGAGTTGGTATCACATCGTGTAGAGCTAGTTGGTATCACATCATTGTGTAGAGCTAGTTGGTATCACATCGCTGTGTAGAGCTAGTTGGTATCACTATCATTGTATCACATCATTGTGTAGAGCTAGTTGGTATCACATCATTGTGTAGAGCTAGTTGGTATCACATCATTGTGTAGAGCTAGTTGGTATCACATCGTTGTGTAGAGCTAGTTGGTATCACATCATTGTGTAGAGCTAGTTGGTATCACATCATTTGTAGAGCTATCACATCATTGTGTAGAGCTAGTTGGTATCACATCATTGTGTAGAGCTAGTTGGTATCACATCATTTGGTATCACATCATCATCATGTGTAGAGCTAGTTGGTATTACATCGCTTGTGTAGAGCTAGTTGGTATCACATCATTGTGTGTGTGTAGAGAGCTAGTTGGTATCACATCACATCATTGTGTAGAGCTAGTTGTATCACATCGTAGAGCTAGTTGGTATCACATCATTGTGTAGAGCTAGTTGGTATCACATCATTGTGTAGAGCTAGTTGGTATCACATCATTGTGTAGAGCTAGTTGGTATCACATCATTGTGTAGAGCTAGTTGGTATCACATTGTGTAGAGCTAGTTGGTATCACATCATTGTGTAGAGCTAGTTGGTATCACATCGTGTGTAGAGCTAGTTGGTATCACATCGTTGTGTAGAGCTAGTTGGTATCACATCGTTGTGTAGAGCTAGTTGGTATCACATCGTTGTGTAGAGCTAGTTGGTATCACATCATTGTGTAGAGCTAGTTGGTATCACATCATTGTGTAGAGCTAGTTGGTATCACATCGTTGTGTAGAGCTAGTTCAAGCTTTTCCTTGTTGGCAACCTCATTTGTGTCTGTTGAATAAATAGAGATTATTAACCAAGTGTGTTTCCGTGTTATTAGTATCATATATTAGGAATACAAATTGTATTATGTGAGCCTTTGGTGAGCATAGTACATAATTTATATTCCTAATATATGATATTAATGATATGGAAACACACGAGGTTGATAATCTCTTTATCATATAATGTCATTCTTAAAATTACTCTAAAAAAGAAGCAAATTGTACGTGAATTTTTATGTGAAGAGAATCAAGCCTTCGCATAAGAATACTTAGCGGTACACCAAGATGAAGGTCGTTCATGATGGCGGCATATGGTTGTGACTAGTCGCTAATACAGTGTAAACATAACTCATGCCTAAAAAAAACAACTTTCTGTCTAAAAGAACAACAATTGCACCGATAACACCCTCCATTAGATGATAAATGTGTTTATTTATTGTTTTTTTACATTCATGAAAATGTCCATAATGAGATAAAGTTAATGTATGACCACTGCATATGCACATTTCTTTTTCTTTTAAGGAACTTGAGAGCAAGTTGGACTACCACTCCAAGCAATGGCCCTCAAGTGTGTAAACATCAGAGCTCGAACCTGTGTGTGTGTACGTGTGTGTGTGTGCGTGCATGCATATATGTATGTTTGTATGCTTGTATGCAAGGTTGTGTAAATGGGATTACAAGTGTGCATGTCAGTGGTATGTTTGTTTTGTGCTCAAATATGCAAGTGCCTCAAACCCAGGTAAAAATCAGGTCAACTTTACAAAGTCGAGAATACTTTCAGGAGAGGTTTATACACATTTCAATTCCATACTGACTTTTGTATGAATGCAGCTCAACCGTGCCAATACCAACGACCATTTGAAGTATAAATACCTCATATCAGGTCAAGGACATAATAAGTGCAGCATAATCATCGTTCATCTGCATGATGTGGACCAACCATACTCCCTCGGCGGCCTCGTCTCCACCAACATCTCGGAGTGACTTACTACCTGTTTGTATCATAGCATCATATTTATTAGGTCCTATTTATTGTGTACAGTGTCACTAGGCTATCATGTGTATTGCCAATTCTCTCTAGGGCCAAACATTTAGGCACCAATGTTTTAATCTGATTATTGATGTTTTTACTAGACTGATTTAAAATGACGAGAAAAAAATACCTTGAATCATGTATTGGTTAATGTATGAGGTTTTAGTGATGGATATGTATGTATATGATATTATAATGAAACATGCTGATTTCATGGGAAAACAGTGAAGAATATGAAAACTTTGTTTTAAGGCATTTATTTGAAACATACCCTTGTCAGTATTAGATTTGTGCTGATTCATTCTGTTAAGAATTAGAATTTAATAGTTTCTAGAGAAGAAGTACCATTGTGAAAGGTTACTGACATTGCTGTATTTGCTCTTTAGATTTTTAGATCTGGGTTAACTGAGAGCCACATTGTTGCAGTGTGAGTTAACTAGGATGTCATCATTGGCACATGGGGCTAAACAGCGCTGAGATTACTTTGTGCAACCCTGTTTGGTTGTGTCCAGCAATTCTCTGTTTGCTGTCTCCTTTCAATGTCATCGGAAAACATGCTTCAGTTGATGAAACCCCAAACTGCTGTGTACAGGATTTTTTACTTTAATATTTCTCAGGCTTAAAAGGTAAATTTATATTTATTTTGGCTGTTTACATTATTTATTGTAGACGTTATATAATGATTATCTTATGCTACTGAATATTGTGATCTCATCTCTGTTTCCATGTAAGTCTTTGTCACTTGTAAATCTGATTGCACGTGTGTAGTATGCTATGAAAGATATGCTTTCAGTTGTTGATACATGTGTAGAAAGTTGTTAACAAGTTAAACATTGTCACCAAAATTGCATATAGGGGAAAATGTTTTTATGAATCAGAAGTTTGGGAGTTTAGTTTAATAATGGTTGGGTTTTTTTCAAATCATGATTGATTGCAATTGATGAATATGTCAAAACATGGCATCTGTATTTTTGGCATATTTATGTTTTGTTGTCACTATGAAGAATGAAGTTCCACTGTTTCGTCCTTAAAATGCTTAGAAGGACATAATGGTGAAGATATAAACATATATGTAGGTTATTAAGACAATCACTCCCCATATTTTCTAATGTCTATTTTTGAACTGTGGAATGTTTTTTGATGTATATATTGATATATTTAACATATTGATCAAACTATCCTATACTGGCCTGAAATTAGTTGGTATTACTTTGATATGAGAGTTAGCAGTTTTCTGCAGTTTAGTGAAATGATCAAAGGTGAAAGATTTCTGAAAGGTTTGTTTCAGTATCACTTTAGGTAATCCAGTTAAACCATGTGAGTACTTATCATTTTGTGAAGTTCCATTCCATAGTTTTGAGTGGGTAATTGAAAGAATTGATCAGCCTCTAGTTTAGAGATTTCCTGATAGAAACAACTGCAAATATGACATTAAGTAATTCAGGAATATAATTTTAACAAATGTACGACCAATGTTAATGTATGCTACTCCAAAATAGTTAATGAAAAGCCGCACCTTTCATATTACTGTGTTTACTATACATCGAGTACGGCATGACAGTGGGACATAGTAATGTGAAAGAATCACATGTTCTTCAACATTATTCTGAGTAGTGTACTTGACTTTTCCTCTCTGTCTGCACGTTGAAGTGGGGTGCAAGAACAACTGATGGTTGAACCCAACACTGGTCCATCGCACTTGCTGTCTTATGTATGTTCTGAAGTGACTTCATCTCAGGATCTCCAGATGGCAGGAAACTGATTCGACATTCCATGTAGTTGAGTGAGTCTGCCCCACTTCAAATGTACAGATCTTAGACAATGTTGTATGTCTACATCGGTTACGAGTAGCTTCTGCATATGTGTAAACAAAGGAAGTGGTCTTTAAAAGTTTCTGTTGGGTATGATCTAACTGTTTTTGCAATGTCTAGTCCATGTCCGTTTAACACGTCATCATTCTCAAGTAACTGGTTTTCATTTTCACATGTTAATCGTTAACACAATGCAAATTCCATGAAACTCAGCTACTTGTTTCAACACTGCCAGACTTTTCTATTGATATTTCATTACTGAATACATGCATTGACTTATGTTTATATATGAAGTCGAGTGATGCCAAGGGACCTTGGATTAGATCAGTTACAGAAACTGACCCTCATAGAACATGAATGTTTTCCTGACATTAACTGTTCTTCACTATGCCAAGTGTTAATTGTGTAAATCAATGTAGCATTTGAAGTTGGGGGTTAAGTAGTGAAAGCAGTAAATCAAATGTATGTTTTTCGACAGGTTTTATTCTTTTTACTTACACTCTTGTGTGACTTATTTGTAGAGGTGACATTTCGGCCTATTTTATTTTCGCATGTATGTTATGTCAGTACTGAAAAACGAATTGGAAGATACATGTAACAATTTTTCTGTCAGAGAAACATAGCACTAGATTGAGTTTCTTGTTTTAATCCTTAAATAACCAGTTATTTTGTCCAGTATTGGTTTGTATGTAATGTAAGGTGATGTTTGTTTAGGACATCTGTGTAATATGTAGGTGTGAGACACAGTGCTACCATCAGCCGATTGAAGTGTAGGTGCTATGAGATTGACATGCTTGATACTTGGACAAGGGTCAACTGCTTGGTTTACTGGGTGCTCTTGCATCAAACGTGCTGAAAATGTAGATGAGGAAAAATTGGATGATGACTGCTAGTTTGTGTTTTTCAGTGAGTGAACATTCATTTGGAGTGAGCCAGATGTCACTATAGGGACATGGCAACAGCAAACATCTCAAGACCGAGATCAGCGTCTTGCATTTGGCAGCCTGCAGTAACAAAATGGCTCCTACTTTTCTCAGGCAATAACATTGTAACATCTGTGTGTTGATGTAAAGGTACATGGCAAACTAACATGTGATATTTGTCATAGGGCTTTATTGGACTGGTCATATTCATGTTGACAACAGAGCTTGTATGAAATCAACTGCCAGCATCATCTCATGGTTGTTTGTCTTCCACGCCATGCACACATCACTCTGTATAGGGCAAATACTCATGGACACAACTCCTCCAGTCATGAAACCCGATGGGCCCCGATCTCTTCCTGCCCCATTATCCACTGTAAGTCACACAGCCATGTCAACAACAGTGCTGACCTTTCAGTGAAAACACTTGCATGCTATGCAAATGTTTTCATTTATTTTAGAGTAAGAACATTTTCATATGTTCAATATATTTATTGTTGCATTTTGTACATACTTGTATTTGTATATTAAACTATTTTACCAACCAGTAATATAAAGGCTGTAATTGCTTGTCTTTAAAGGCACTATATCACACCACACTTCTTTCAATAGTACTATCAGCCCTCAGGGAAGCTGCTATATAACTGATTAAATTACAATATTAAACTAAAAAGTTACATTAAATCGACTCTGTACAGACCGAACATTATTTCAAGCGAACCCCATAGAGTCATGTCCCTTGGAGCACTCTTTACACAACTTGTGATTGAAACCAGTTTTTTCAATGTATGGAGAAACTGTAATGTTCAGAAGTGTTTGGGCTACTAACGTCCCTGTATTCAAGGGGCAGTGGGGTAGCCAAAAGCAGCCTTCACACGGCAAACTTAAGTTGACAACACATGTTGTGGAAATTTAAAAAGTCAAACTCGCATTTTCACACATCAAACACATGTCTCTATCGGTGGGGGTCACATGGCGATTTCGTCAACTCCAATTGGTTGTTTCTGAACGACACAAGTTTGATGGAAAAGTTGGTGAGAATAGAGACCGATCCTATTTCTCGACAACAGTTTGACAACTCTGTAATTGGTATTGGTGGTGAGTTGTTGGAATGTTCACACACTCAAACTTTAGTTTGCCGTGTGAAGGCCGCTTAATGGTTAAAGCATGAGCTGGTTGAGCCCCAACATGGGTACAATGTGTGAAGCCCATTTCTGGTGTCCCCCTGCTGTGATATTGCCAAAGTGACGTGTTGAACACTATTAAAATTATTGTGACAGGCATTGAAATGAGTAGCTACAGTATTACAATATAATACTATCAGTGTCTTGCTTGCATTCAGAATGACCTTCATATAGTCAAAACCTTTTTAGATTTGGGGCCCACCAAACAAATGATTTTGATATCATCTGAGTTATGCCTCAAACCAATTTTGTTTAGAATATGACTTCAGAGATAGATCTGACACTAATGTTTCAGTAAGGAGAATGAAATTCTGCCTAAATCCTATGCCATTACCTACTGGTGTAGTGGGCTGCACACTGACACAATGTTTGAGAAAAAAAGGGTATGGTCAGAGGTATAAATACTTTAATATACACTCGAACAAAATCAACAATTCTTTTATCCAAACTGATGATTGTGTTACACAGCACAAAGTCTCCCGTCTGATGTACACACCTTGTTATGTCATTGGTGTTGTATACATGTCTCTTCTGGTAGCACTTTCCACAAAACTGAGCAGAAATATCAAAATATGTCATAGTCGACGACCATCCAATGTAACAGTAGAAACAGCATGAATTCACAGTATTTACACAGCTCAATCTGTGGAGGAGCTGTACAGTCAGTGATGAATGATGGATCATAGCGGTATATACAGAAACAAGCTGTAGTACTCTATTTAGTTGGGTACCTTTCAACGACCATGGCATGACCCTGAAACAAAGAAGTGAAATAAAAGTTTCTAAAATTAAATCTTTGGAGATTGGAATATGATAAATAATAGTTAAGTCTACATGCAATGTATATTCGACACTATTTCGAGTAGGTCCTAGTTTTATAACTTATCAGACAAGAAGCCTTCACATGGCTTTGGACCAGTGGATAAATCATAATATTTAGGAGATAAACATCACGTGTTGGCCAATTTCCGGGTGTTATTGGGTATTTGAAACACAGGAATTCATTTGGAACCGACCCGGAAATTGGCCAACACGTGATGTCTATTGACATTGTAAACACAAAAGTACACCAAGAGGCCCACATGGGTTTTACTGACTGCACTCGTTGACATTGAGTACAGGCACAGCAGTGAAGTGTCATCAACTGGCTGTTTCGGCTGGTTCCCATGGTAGCATCTGGAACTGCTCATTTGTGACGTCATTCCGACTTTATGTCACAATATGATTTGAATGACGTCACCACTGCTGATAACTCAACAATACAATTGTGTGCGATGTTTGTACGTGTTTTGCAAAAATTTTCCAGGAATCTAATACCATTCGATCATGTTTTTTAACCAATCAGATTAAAGAACACGGTGACTTTTTGTTTACAATCTACAATGTTTCCAGCTTGAGTAATCACACAGTGTTAATTCTACAATATTACCAGCTTGAGTAATCACAGTGATATTCTACAATGTTACCAGCTTGAGTAATCACACAGTGATATTCTACAATGTTACCAGCTTCAGTAATCACACAGTGATATCACAGGATCTACAATGTTACCAGCTTCAGTAATCACACAGTAATATTCTACAATGTTACCAGCTTCAGTAATCACAGTGATATTCTACAATGTTACCAGCTTCAGTAATCACAGTAATATTCTACAATGTTACCAGCTTGAGTAATCAGTGATATTCTACAATGTTACCAGCTTGAGTAATCACACAGTAATATTCTACAATGTTACCAGCTTCAGTAATCACAGTGATATTCTACAATGTTACCAGCTTCAGTAATCACACAGTAATATTCTACAATGTTACCAGCTTCAGTAATCACAGGGATATTCTACAATGTTACCAGCTTCAGTAATCACAGTAATATTCTACAATGTTACCAGCTTGAGTAATCAGTGATATTCTACAATGTTACCAGCTTCAGTAATCACACAGTAATATTCTACAATGTTACCAGCTTCAGTAATCACAGTGATATTCTACAATGTTACCAGCTTCAGTAATCACACAGTAATATTCTACAATGTTACCAGCTTCAGTAATCAGTGATATTCTACAATGTTACCAGCTTCAGTAATCACACAGTAATATTCTACAATGTTACCAGCTTCAGTAATCAGTGATATTCTACAATGTTACCAGCTTCAGTAATCACACAGTAATATTCTACAATGTTACCAGCTTGAGTAATCAGTGATATTCTACAATGTTACCAGCTTGAGTAATCACACAGTAATATTCTACAATGTTACCAGCTTAGGTAATCACAGTAATATTCTACAATGTTCCCAGCTTGAGTAATCAGTGATATTCTACAATGTTACCAGCTTCAGTAATCACAGTAATATTCTACAATGTTACCAGAAGCAGTAATCAGTGATATTCTACAATGTTACCAGCTTCAGTACTCACAGTAATATTCTACAATGTTACCATCTTCAGTAATCACACAGTGATATTATGAGTTGTTGACTGGTCTCGAGGGGGACATAGGCTGATGGGACCAGTGAAAGTATTTATCTTACCGAACACCTAAACTGTAATTTTGAACTGTGTCGGATCATAGTATGGAGTACCAGACGACAAGAACAACAAATTTTGAGTTATCTCCCTTCCAATCGAATTTGCAGTCACAAAATATCGGTAATTTCCGTACATCATACGTGATTCAATGTTATTTGCGATAAAGAATTACTACCACGAAGTACCAAATGAGTTGGCATTCTCAGCGGGGTACATAGAAAATGTTTCTTGCTTGTTAGCGGAGTACATTGAAAATAATAGAAGAGCGCTCAGCTAATCAGAAAACGACATTTATGTGTGAGGCAAGATAATCTACAATGTTACTAGTATTTATGTGTGAGGCAAGATAATCTACAATGTTACTAGTGCGTGTGGTGCCTCCATGGGGGTCAACTGATCTTTGTGCATACTGACCAGTCCTCCTGCTGCACATGCTGCAACAACAGCGTACTGTCCATCCTCGGCCTCCAGACGATTGGCTGCTGTTGTCACCAGCCTTACTCCAGTGGCTCCAAACGGATGGCCCAGGGAAAGTGAGCCCCCCCACAAGTTCAGCTTCTCCATGGGCGGGGCTCCAAACTGCACAAATCAACATTAGTGTAGGTAGGTAATAGTAATAAAAAAGTAACTGTTTTTGATTTGGTTGTCAACATTGTGAAACTTCATTAACATATTGTCTTGATAAATGGAACAATAGAAATGAAAGTTTCTCCACACCAGTTAACCAGAAACCAGGGCAGCATATTTCAGGTTGTACTGAAGTCACGCAACCCCGGCACTGCAGCATATTTCAGGTTGTACTGAAGTCACGCAACCCCGGCACTGCAGCATATTTCAGGTTGTACTGAAGTCACGCAACCCCGGCACTGCAGCATATTTCAGGTTGTACTGAAGTCACGCAACCCTGGCACTGCAGCATATTTCAGGTTGTACTGAAGTCACGCAACCCCGGCACTGCAGCATATTTCAGGTTGTACTGAAGTCACTGCAGCATATTTCAGGTTGTACCCCGCAACCCGGCACTGCAGCATATTTCAGGTTGTACTGAAGTCACGCAACCCTGGCACTGCAGCATATTTCAGGTTGTACTGAAGTCACGCAACCCGGCACTGCAGCATATTTCAGGTTGTACTGAAGTGCAGCATATTTCAGCATATTTCAGGTTGTACTGAAGTCACGCAACCCTGGCACTGCAGCATATTTCAGGTTGTACTGAAGTCACGCCTGGCACTGCAGCATATTTCAGGTTGTACTGAAGTCACGCAAACCCTGGCACTGCAGCATATTTCAGGTTGTACTGAAGTCACGCAACCCCGGCACTGCAGCATATTTCAGGTTGTACTGAAGTCCGCAACCCCGGCACTGCAGCATGACTGAAGTCACGCAACCCTGGCACTGCAGCATATTTCAGGTTGTACTGAAGCACTGCAGCATATTTCAGGTTGTACTGAAGTCACGCAACCTCGGCACTGCAGCATATTTCAGGTTGTACTGAAGTCACGCAACCTGCACTGCAGCATATTTCAGGTTGTACTGAAGTCAACGCAACCCCCCGGCACTGCAGCATATTTCAGGTTGCAGCATATTTCAGGTTGTACTGAAGTCACGCAACCCCTGGCACTGCAGCATATTTCAGGTTGTACTGAAGTCACGCAACCCTGGCACTGCAGCATATTTCAGGTTGTACTGAAGTCACGCAACCCCGGCACTGCAGCATATTTCAGGTTGTACTGAAGTCACGCAACCCCGGCACTGCAGCATATTTCAGGTTGTACTGAAGTCACGCTGAACCCCCGGCACTGCAGCATATTTCAGGTTGTACTGAAGTCACGCGCAACCCGGCACTGCAGCATATTTCAGGTTGTACTGAAGTCACGCAACCCCACTGCAGCATATTTCAGGTTGTACTGAAGTCACGCAACCCCGGCACTGCAGCATATTTCAGGTTGTACTGAAGTCACGCAACCCCGGCACTGCAGCATATTTCAGGTTGTACTGAAGTCACGCAACCCCACTGCAGCATATTTCAGGTTGTACTGAAGTCACGCAACCCGGCACTGCAGCATATTTCAGGTTGTACTGAAGTCACGCAACCCTGGCACTGCAGCATATTTCAGGTTGTACTGAAGTCACGCAACCCCGGCACTGCAGCATATTTCAGGTTGTACTGAAGTCACGCAACCCCGGCACTGCAGCATATTTCAGGTTGTACTGAAGTCACGCAACCCGGCACTGCAGCATATTTCAGGTTGTACTGAAGTCACGCAACCCTGGGCATATTTCAGGTTGTACTGAAGTCATATTTCAGGTTGTACTGAAGTCACGCAACCCTGGCACTGCAGCATATTTCAGGTTGTACTGAAGTCACGCAACCCTGGCACTGCAGCATATTTCAGGTTGTACTGAAGTCACGCAACCCGGCACTGCAGCATATTTCAGGTTGTACTGAAGTCACGCAACCCCGGCACTGCAGCATATTTCAGGTTGTACTGAAGTCACGCAACCCCACTGCAGCATTACTTACTGTATGAGAATCACAATCAACTGCTCACCTTCGCTGATCTGTTCATGTACGACTTGCAGAAGAAGTCAGAGTCCAGAGCCTTGAGGTTTGCCATTATTTGCCCCTGCAAATAGGGTACAACTGATAAAGGGAGGTAAACCAGTAAATCGAGGTACAACTGGAAGACGGGGTTAAACTGATAATGGGAGAGGCCACTATAAATGTGTTAAATGTAGCTGGCTACCATGCATGTGTTAAATGGGAGCGGCCACCATGCACGTGTCACATGGGAGTGGGCACCATGCACGTGTCACATGGGAGTGGCCACCATGCACATGTCACATGGGAGTGGGCACCATGCACGTGTCACATGGGAGCGGGCACCATGCACGTGTCACATGGGAGTGGGCACCATGCACGTGTCACATGGGAGTGGGCACCATGCACGTGTCACATGGGAGGGGCCACCATGCCGTCACATGGGGATGGGGAAGTGGCCACCAATACTGCGTCATGCATGCGTGTCACATGGGAGTGGCCACCATGCACGCGTGTCACATGGGAGCGGGCACCATGCACGTGTCACATGGGAGCCGCCACCATGCCGCGTGTCACATGGGAGTGGCCACCATGCACGCGTGTCACATGGGAGTGGCCACCATGCACGCATGGTCATGGGCCACCATGCATGTCACATGGGAAGTGTCCACCATGCACGTGTCACATGAAAGTGACCTCCATGTTGACAAAAGTCTGACATGTAAATGGTGACCATGAGAGTGACCTCCATGTTTGTGCCATGTAAGTGGTGACATGACAGTGACCTCCATGTGAGTGCCATGTGAGGGTGACATGAGAGTGACCTCCATGTGAGGTGAGGTGAGGTGAGGTGAAATTGGGTTTAACGTCGTGCTTGAGAATATGTCGCTCATATGACTACGTGCATGCGTGTGTATGTGTATGTGTGGCTGCTTGTACTAGCCCAGACTGAAGCTGGTTTTATAGTGCTAGCCCACTGAGATACCATGCCACAGTGAAGCATGAATACCCCACTCAGACACATTATACTGACTCCGAGCCGACGAGTCCTTGTTGTACCCATTAATGCCGAGCGCCAGGCAGGGACCAACAAGTACCATATTTAAATGTCTTTTGGTATGACGCGGTCGGGGATCGAACCCGCGACTTTCCTCTCTCCGGGCGGACGCTCTAACCACTACACCACGGAGGTGGTCGACCTCCATGTGAGTGTCATGTAAGTGGTGACATGACAGTGACCTCCATGTGAGTGCCATGGAAGTGGTGACATGACAGTGACCTCCATGTGAGTGCAATATAAGTGGTGACATGACAGTTACCTCCATATGTGTGCCATGTAAGTTGTGACATGACAGTGACCTCCATATTCGTGCCATCTAAGTGGTCACATGACAGTGACCTCCATATTTGTGCCATGTAAGTAATTACATGACAGTGACCTCCATATGTGTGCCATGTAAGTAGTGATATGACAGTGACCTCCATGTTTGTGCCATGTAAGTAGTGACATGACAGTGACCTCCATGTGAGTGCCATGTAAGTGGTGACATGACAGTGACCTCCATGTGAGTGCCATGTAAGTGGTGACATGACAGTGACCTCCATGTGTGTGTAATGTACGCTGTGACATGACCGTGACCTCCATGTTTGTGCCATGCACGTTGTGACATGACAGTGACCTCCATATGTGTGCCATGTAAGTGATGACATGACAGTGACCTCCATGTGAGTGCCATGCAAGTAGTGACATGACAGTGACCTCCATATGTGTGCCATGTAAGTAGTGACATGAGAGTGACCTCCATGTGAGTGTCATGTAAGAGGTGCCATGAGAGTGACCTCCATGTGAGTGTCATGTAAGAAGTGACATGACAGTGACCTCCATGTGAGTGTCATGTAAGAGGTGCCATGAGAGGACCTCCATGTGAGTGTCATGTAAGAAGTGACATGACAGTGACCTCCATGTGAGTGCCATGACAGTGACCTCCATATGTGTGCCATGTAAGTAGTGACATGACAGTGACCTCCATGTTTGTGCCATGTAAGTAATGACATGACAGTGACCTCCATGTTTGTGCAATGTAAGTGGTCACATGACAGTGACCTCCATATGTGTGCCATGACAGTGATCTCCATGTTTATGCCATGTAAGTGGTGACATGACAGTGACCTCCATATGTGTGCCATGTAAGTGGTGACATGACAGTGACCTCCATATGTGTGCCATGTAATGACATGACAGTGACCTCCATATGTGTGCCATGTAAATGGTGACATGACAGTGACCTCCATATGTGTGCCATGTAAGTGGTGCCATGACAGTGACCTCCATAAGTGTGCCATGTAAGTAGTGACATGACAGTGACCTCCATGTGAGTGCCATGTAAGTAGTGACATGACAGTGACCTCCATGTGAGTGTCATGTAAGAGGTGCCATGAGTGTGACCATGTGAGCTCCATTCAAGTGGTGATGTGAGTAACAAGGGGACATACTGCAAATGCTTCATGGTACTCGAAGACGCTGATGTCAGAGAGAGTGAGTCCAGCCTTCTCCACAATTCTTGGTGTAGCGTATGCTGGGCTGTTGAAAAGGAAACAGATGTTCAATGGAACCCCAACACACAGGATTGGTTATGCTGTAACAATCCTATCATCAAAACATGGCAACAGTCTGTTTTGGGTGAATGATAACAAAACAAGTGTTTATCTTCAAAAAGTCTTTGTGAATTCTGAGGAGGCATCTTCTAGTAATCTACACAATCCAATTCATTCCACCTTACATAAAGTAAAATGAATATTTCAATTCAACAAATGACGTGCACTCAAGAGACTCAATCCCAGCAGCGGGCAACCTTTCTCACCAGTGAGTATGACCTATCTCATCAGCATGTGTTACATACACGACTAGACTGAAGCGTGTGACCTACCCCAGCAGTGTGTGACCTACCCCAGCAGCGTGTGACCTACCCCAGCAGGGTGTGACCTACCCCAGCAGGGTGTGACCTACCCCAGCAGCGTGTGACCTACCCCAGCAGAGTGAGACCTACCCCAGCAGGGTCTGACCTACCCCAGCAGAGTTAGACCTACCCCAGCAGTGTGTGACCTACCCCAGCAGTGTGTGACCTACCCCAGCAGTGTGTGACCTACCCCAGCAGCGTGGACCTACCCCAGCAGAGTTAGACCTACCCCAGCAGCGGATACCTACCCCAGCAGGGTCTGACCTACCCCAGCAGTGTGTGACCTACCCCAGCAGCGTGTGACCTACCCCAGCAGAGTGAGACCTACCCCTGATTTGGGTTGTGAGGGGTTTTGATGCTTCACCTTGATAAGCCTGCCCACAACTGCAGTGGACGTGGTATACTGTTCCTTGTGGCTGTTGCTTAGTCTGTCTCACAGTCCCTGAACCACATTAATTTCCCTACTGCCAAGCCCTCTCTGCAGTGCTAAAGCCCTAAATAAAGCAAGTCTAGATTTCCTCAGGTTCAGGGTCTGTTAACATCTGCAAGAAAACTAACTCACTTTGGGGGTCGGATTACAAAGTAAACATATCTAACTACCATGGCTGGCCGGACCAACATCCTCACCAGTTGTCTGGAATCTTGCCTCACATTTTCATCTGTCAACTCTTAATTAACAAGCACATTGGGTGACATGAAGCTATAGTGGAGGCCTTGTGCACAGTTTCTGGTCTTGAAGAGACAAATCAGCAAAGTCTTGGGGAAAGGTTCCTCCTGAATGTAATGTTGTAAAAAGTATTGTTTCATTGTCCGACTTGGGTCCACACATAGCAGCCCAATTGTAAATGCGGTTAAGGATTTAATTGTAATTAAAACAAGGGTTATTTTTCTTATTCCTGATATAAGATTTTTGCTCAACAGTAAAACATATGGCAGGGACCTAGCACTCATGAAGAGTGAGTGAGTGAGTGAGTTTTGGTTTACACCGCATTCAGTAATGTTCCATAAATGGCGGCGGTCTGTAAATAGGTCGAGTCTGGACCAGACAATCCAGTGGTCAACAGCATGAGCATCTACGCAATTGGGATACGATGATGTGTCAACCAAGTCAGCAAGCCTGACCACCCGACCCCGTTAGTCGCCTTCTCATGAAGAACCAAATTCAAAAGGCACAGCATCTCGGAATTAAATCTGTTTACCTTCGTGATGTGATTGAGGCATGCAAGGTGAAATCTAGTGAGGATGAAGTAGTATCTAGAAATACCCAGAACATCTTCAAGCATAAGACAGACGCTGGCCCCATTGAACAGTTTGTTTAAAAAAAGGTGGTTATCTATATCCTCTTCGCATATATACAAATGGAAACTTTTGAAGTTGGAGATAAGTTCAAATTCATAAATAATTTTGTTGGTGTTCCTCACAAATCTTGAACTTGGTCATCTAGTGTCCAAGTGACATTGTGGGCTGCAAGTTTCCCAACAGTAAAATGTTAAGCAGTAGGGGCACTTGACCAGCCCACATGAGGTGATGACAGCATGGAGATAGGACAGGGCTTAACAGGAGGGCCAATAAATATGCCTTTCACTTATAGCGTTATCTGATGGTTGTATGATGTGACTTCTAATTGGTAATGACCCCAGCACGTGTAGCCCCAATGCAGATGTTCTTAGTCTCTGAATCTCTGGTCTCCCTAGGGCTCCTTTTCAATATAAATGGGCTTGTTTGTTACTATCAAAATTATATATATTCAGAGACTAAGCCTTAGTCTAGCTGTTGCTGTGTGACCTATCCTAACAGCACGTGTGATCAGCCCTAACAGTAAGTGACCTATCCTAACAGCATGTGTGATCGGCCCTAACAGTAAGTGACCTATCCTAACAGCATGTGTGATCGGCTTTCTCCTCAGACATGATGAGACAGGCAGAGGCTCCATCTGTCTGTTGGGCACAAAGAATGTCAAGTTCTTACCATTTTTCTTTGACTGGCAAATGAGGAGTTGTAGAAAAATGTGTTCGGTTTGACTTTAGCTGAATAACTATGGGGTACTGAGGTTATCTTTATCTGAATCACTATGGGGTACTGAGGTTATCTTTATCTGAATCACTATGGGGTACTGAGGTTATCTTTATCTGAATCACTATGGAGCACAGAGGTTATCTTTATCTGAAACCTTATGGGTACTGGCGTTATCTTTATCTGACTCACTATAGGGTACTGACGTTATCTTTATCTGAATCACTATGGGGTACTGAGGTTATCTTTATCTGAATCACTATGGAGCACAGAGGTTATCTTTATCTGAAACCTTATGGGGTACTGGCGTTATCTTTATCTGAATCACTATGGGGTACTGAGGTTATCTTTATCTGAATCACTATGGGGTACTGAGGTTATCTTTATCTGAATCACTATGGGGTACTGAGGTTATCTTTATCTGAATCACTATGGGGTACTGAGGGTTATCTTTATCTGAATCACTATGGGGTACTGAGGTTATCTTTATCTGAATCACTATGGAGCACAGAGGTTATCTTTATCTGAAACCTTATAGGGTACTGGCGTTATCTTTATCTGAATCACTATGGGGTACTGACGTTATCTTTATCTGAATCACTATGGGGTACTGAGGTTATCTTTATCTGAATCACTATGGAGCACAGAGGTTATCTTTATCTGAAACCTTATGGGGTACTGGCGTTATCTTTATCTGAATCACTATGGGGTACTGAGGTTATCTTTATCTGAATCACTATGGGGTACTGAGGTTATCTTTATCTGACTCACTATGGGGTACTGAGGTTATCTTTATCTGAATCACTATGGGGTACTGAGGTTATCTTTATCTGAATACTTATGGAGCACAGAGGTTATATTTATGTGAATCACTATGGGGTACTGAGGTTATCTTTATCTGAATCACTATGGGGTACTGAGGTTATCTTTATCTGAATCACTATGGGGTACTGAGGTTATCTTTATCTGAATCACTATGGGGTACTGAGGTTATCTTTATCTGAATACTTATGGAGCACAGAGGTTATATTTATGTGAATCACTATGGGGTACTGAGGTTATCTTTATCTGAATCACTATGGGGTACTGAGGTTATCTTTATCTGAATCACTATGGAGCACAGAGGTTATCTTTATCTGAAACCTTATAGGGTACTGGCGTTATCTTTATCTGACTCACTATAGGGTACTGACGTTACCTTTATCTGAATCACTATGGGGTACTGAGGTTATCTTTATCTGAATCACTATGCAGCACAGAGGTTATCTTTATCTGAAACCTTATGGGGTACTGGCGTTATCTTTATCTGAATCACTATGGGGTACTGAGGTTATCTTTATCTGAATCACTATGGGGTACTGAGGTTATCTTTATCTGACTCACTATGGGGTACTGAGGTTATCTTTATCTGAATCACTATGGGGTACTGAGGTTATCTTTATCTGAATCACTATGGGGTACTGAGGTTATCTTTATCTGACTCACTATGGGGTACTGACCGTCATCTTTATCTGAATCACTATGGGGTACTGAGGTTATCTTTATCTGAATCACTATGGAGCACAGAGGTTATCTTTATCTGAATCACTATAGGGTACTGACGTTACCTTTATCCGAATCACTATGGGGTACTGAGGTTATCTTTATCTGAATCACTATGGAGCACAGAGGTTATCTTTATCTGAATCACTTTGGGTACTGGCGTTATCTTTATCCGAATCACTATGGGGTACTGAGGTTATCTTTATCTGAATCACTATGGAGCACAGAGGTTATCTTTATCTGAATCACTTTGGGTACTGGCGTTATCTTTATCTGAATCACTATGGGGTACTGAGGTTATCTTTATCTGAATCACTATGGAGAGGAGTACCAGTAAGGACAAGAACAGCCAACCATTAAAATATTTTTTTCATGGTAACTATGGATACAGGAAGCCTAATAAGGTGGACTAGTTCATGATCACTATGGATACAGGAAGCCTAATTAGGTGGACTAGTTCACGATCACTATGGATACAGGAAGCCTAATTAGGTGGACTAGTTCACGATCACTATGGATACAGTGGGCCTAATTAGGTGGACTAGTTCATGATCACTATGGATACAGGAAGCCTAATTAGGTGGACTAGTTCACGATCACTATGGATACAGGAAGCCTAATTAGGTGGACTAGTTCATGATCACTATGGATACAGTGGGCCTAATTAGGTGGATTAGTTCACCGTCACTATGGATACAGGAAGCCTAATTAGGTGGACTAGTTCATGATCACTATGGATACAGTGGGCCTAATTAGGTGGACTAGTTCACGATCACTATGGATACAGTGGGCCTAATTAGGTGGATTAGTTCACAATCACTATGCATACAGGAAGCCTAATTAGGTGGACTAGTTCACGATCATTATGGATACAGTGGGCCTAATTAGGTGGACTAGTTCATGATCACTATGGATACAGTGGGCCTAATTAGGTGGACTAGTTCATGATCACTATGGATACAGTGGGCCTAATTAGGTGGACTAGTTCACGATCACTATGGATACAGTGGGCCTAATTAGGTGGACTAGTTCATGATCACTATGGATACAGTGGGCCTAATTAGGTGGACTAGTTCACGATCACTATGGATACAGTGGGCCTAATTAGGTGGATTGTTCATGATCACTATGGATACAGTGGGCCTAACTAGGTGGACTAGTTCACGATCACTATGGATACAGGAAGCCTAATTAGGTGGATTAGTTCATGATCACTATGGATATAGTGGGCCTAATTAGGTGGACTAGTTCACGATCACTATGGATACAGGAAGCACAGGATCACTATGGATACAGTGGGCCTAATTAGGTGGATTAGTTCATGATCACTATGGATACAGGAAGCCTAATTAGGTGGATTAGTTCATGATCACTATGGATACAGGAAGCCTAATTAGGTGGACTAGTTCACAATCACTATGGATACAGGAAGCCTAATTAGGTGGACTAGTTCACGATCACTATGGATACAGGAAGCCTAATTAGGTGGACTAGTTCATGATCACTATGGATACAGTGGGCCTAATTAGGTGGATTAGTTCACGATCACTTTGGATACAGGAAGCCTAATTAGGTGGATTAGTTCACGATCACTATGGATACAGGAAGCCTAATTAGGTGGGCTTATTACTTACGACTTGGTCAACTTACCAGAAATGATGCATTAGCTGCTGTGATTGTACCATGTGGCTTGATAAATGCTGCACGAAGTTTTCCCATGTCCTGGATGGATGACGGACGGATACCGTTGTCCTTGTCAACTGGTGCAGAAACACCTGAGTGGAGAACACATGATCATAATAAACCAGCAGAAACACCTGAGTGGAGGACACGTGATCATAATAATCCAGTAGAAACACCTGAGCTGGAGGACACGTGATCATAATAAACCAGCAGAAACACCTGAGTGGAGGACACGTGATCATAATAAACCAGCAGAAACACCTGAGTGGAGGACACGTGATCATAATAAACCAGCAGAAACACCTGAGTGGAGGACACATGATCATAATAAACCAGGAGAAATCACCAGTAGAAACACCTGAGTGGAGGACACATGATCATAATAAACCAGCAGAAACACCTGAGTGGAGGACACATGATCATAATAAACCAGCAGAAACACACCTGAGTGGAGGACACATGATCATAATAAACCAGCAGAAACACCTGAGTGGAGGACATAATGCAGAAACACCTGATCATAATAAATAAACCAGCAGAAACACCTGAGTGGAGGACACATGATCATAATAAACCAGCAGAAACACCTGAGTGGAGGACACATGATCATAATAAACCAGCAGAAACACCTGAGTGGAGGACACATGTGATCATAATAAACCAGCAGAAACACCTGAGTGGAGGACATGTGATCATAATAAACCAGCAGAAACACCTGAGTGGAGGACACGTGATCATAATAAACCAGCAGAAACACCTGAGTGGAGGACACCATAATAAACCAGCAGAAACACCTGAGTGGAGGACACGTGATAAACATAATATCAAAACCAGCAGAAACACCTGAGTGGAGGACATGTGATCATAATAAACCAGCAGAAACACCTGAGTGGAGGACACGTGATCATAATAAACCAGTAGAAACACCTGAGTGGAGGACACGTGATCATAATAAACCAGCAGAAACACCTGAGTGGAGGACACGTGATCATAATAAACCAGGAGAAACACCTGAGTGGAGGACACGTGATCATAATAAACCAGCAGAAACACCTGAGTGGAGGACATGTGATCATAATAAACCAGCAGAAACACCTGAGTGGAGGACATATGATCATAATAAACCAGCAGAAACACCTGAGTGGAGGATCATATGGATCATAATAAACCAGCAGAAACACCTGAGAGTGGAGGACATGTGATCATAATAAACCAGCAGAAACACCTGAGTGGAGGACCACGTGATCATAATAAACCAGCAGAAACACCTGAGTGGAGGACACGTGATCATAATAAACCAGCAGAAACACCTGAGTGGAGGACATCATAATAAATCAGCAGAAAAACCAGTGGAGGACACGTGATCATAATAAACCAGCAGAAACACCTGAGTGGAGGACATGTGATCATAATAAACCAGCAGAAACACCTGAGTGGAGGACACATGATCATAATAAACCAGCAGAAACACCTGAGTGGAGGACACATCATAATAAACCAGCAGAAACACCTGAGTGGAGGACACGTGATCATAATAAACCAGCAGAAACACCTGAGTGGAGGACACGTGATCATAATAAACCAGCAGAAACACCTGAGTGGAGGACACCAGCAGAAACACCTGATCATAATAAACCAGCAGAAACACCTGAGTGGAGGACACGTGATCATAATAAACCAGCAGAAACACCTGAGTGGAGGACACGTGATCATAATAAACCAGCAGAAACACCTGAGTGGAGGACACGTGATCATAATAAACCAGCAGAAACACCTGAGTGGAGGACACATGATCATAATAAACCAGCAGAAACACCAGAGTGGAGAAACACCTAAACCAGCAGAAACACCTGAGTGGAGGACATGTGATCATAATAAACCAGCAGAAACACCTGAGTGGAGGACATGTGATCATAATAAACCAGCAGAAACACCTGAGTGGAGGACACATGATCATAATAAACCAGCAGAAACACCTGTGGGTAATGATGGATAGGTGATGATAGACTACCAAACTGTCAGCAGCACCTACCTGGAACCTTGTATGTCAGCTTGTCAGTGAGCAGTCCTTTGTCGGATGCAGCCTTGGCTAAAGTGTGTGACCTCACAGCGAACTCATCCTGAAACAGACAAATCGAAAACTATGACATGTTGACACCAAACAAACAGTAGATGAGGTCAAACATCAGTGTCAACTACTCAAAACACCTGTATCAACTTATCCGACATTCTTCCATTACATACAAATACATACAACTTATTTTCAGTCATTACTTTCCACAATACAACTCTGTATTTTCCTTGGCACATCATGTGATAACCGTACCAACCTGTTCCTGTCTGGTGATCCCGAAGGCTGCACACAGTCGGTCAGCTGAGTGGCCCATGGTCTCCCCAGTGGAGAATTCTGCTACTGCTGGCAACTGTATCATATTGGAAATTTTAACTATAAATTGTATATTTACATACTTATCCTATCTCACGGTATGCACCTCTCTCTTCGTCTTCGACCCATATGTGGAAATGTGCTGTAGGCTAAGTTGAATCAAAACCCTGTACCACCTGACCTCTGCCCCCACTCCGATAGCATCACCTGTCAATCATCTCTATAAGCGTGCAGTGCGCTCACATTATCCCACGGTTGGCTGGAGGGCCGCAGATTACCCTGTGTCAACTCTACAACTGTGAGGTCACATTACACAAGGAGGCCAGGAGTAAGCACCTACTCCCGATATGCTAACTCCGAACTTGTGATGGGTTGCTTCTGATAACCCCTTGGCTTACACAGCACAAAAACTCTAGGCAGTGGGTGGTCCCGAATTAATGTGGTTTTCAGCCGCAACTTTTGACAAGCAAAAGGACGCAGTTTTGCAAGTAGACCTCGCCTCCCCACGATTTATGAAGTGACCCCAGTGAATTAAAGTTGAAGAGGTGGTCTATGCCAAAATATAATCCATACCAATAAGAAAGATAGGATTAATATCTTTCATTAAGACCGACACAAAGTTAGGAACTGCATCTTATCTGCGTTTGCGAGCTGACGACAACTGCTGCGCCAGAACCAATGGACCCAGTTGGTGAAGACCTTCCACGTCAGTGACAGACAGATCCCGGAGTTAGGGTGAGGTGAAAATGTCCAATCCAATCTCCAAACACAACCCTCCATGAATCCGTGAAGGGAACAGTTCTGTGTAGCGCCATCGTAGAGGTCAAGGCTCTTGTCTCATGAGGGTTGGCCGTAGTAGGAGGAGGAAGGTCATCGTAGGCGTAGGCACGAAGGATGGCAGATCGCATCTAGAATGCCAGTGTGGTAGGAGAGACCTCTGTAGATGAGGCAGGTGACAGAGGAATAAACAGTCTCTTGCGTAACCTACGACGGTCCTTGGAGGCAGCTAAATAGACCTGTAAAGTCCGGAGAGGACATAGGCAGAGATCCTCTGTGTCGCCAGTGCCCAGAATAGTAGACAGCGACGGAAAGGCCAATCGTCTGTCCAGGCAACTGGTTTCAGCGACGAGATCCCACCTCAAACCAGGGAGGACTTTGGCATGTCTGGTCCTCTCGAAGCGCAACCGGGTGACATCCAGTGCGTGAAGCTTCGGAGATGCGGGCAGCAGTCGCAAGAGCCAGGAGGAAGAAAGTCTTAAACGTGACATGCTCGAAATCCTTCTCCGCCAGAGGTTCGTATTCTTTGGACGTGAGATGGTTATGAACCCGGAACTTCCGGGATTGATCAGCAACTTTGTAATAACTGTGTTAAGCGCGGCAAGTTACGTAGACAAGGTAGAACTTTTCAATTCCTAGGAAGTTCTAGGACGCTGGAGGTACTCTGCGACCATCTGCGGCGATGCTGTAGTGGGAGATACAATACCCCTCGCCTTTCAGTACGCTTCAAAATTCTTCCATAGTCATCACAGAGTGACCTGGTGGAAGTTCGGTGTGCCGTGGTAATCGCCGTAGCGACTCGCTTGGAATATGCCTTTGCAGTTAGTGATTCATGTAAATGTGCCAGGCGTGAAGATCGGGAAGTGGTACTGGAATGGGTCGGCCAAGTCTTGCAGGTCTTCGAACAAACTTCTGGCTGGCCAAAATGGTGCGACCCAAAATCAGTGTCATCCGCTGCGTCGTGCGTAACTTGAGCAGTATGCGTGGAAGTAGCACCACTGGTGGAAACGCATACGCGTTCAAGTCGTCCCAGGGGATGGCTAGAGCGTTGTGTTCCTAGGCCAAAGGATCCGGTATCGGGGACACGAACATTGGAAGCTGGTGATGGAAGCAGGTAGCAAACAGATCCACTGTCGGGTTTGACATTGGAAGGCACAAAGTCTGGAACACCTGCGGATGCAGTTTCCATTCCATAGGGTATGGTCGAACCAGATGGGACAGGGAATCTGCAATGACGTACTTCACCTGAGATGTGATTGGCCTGGACCGTGAGAGAGTCCACTAAGTGGAAAAACTGTTGTGTCCATTGAAGAAGCTAAGGAGACCCCGTGGATCCCATTCGATTAATGTGCCACGCATAGTCCGATCGAATCAAAAGCTTGGTTGATTGTAACAGGTGTTGCCAATGAGTGATCGCAAGAATCACTGCCCTGAGCTCCAAAACGTTGATGTGACATGCGCAGTCTGCGGGAGACTTCCATTGTAGGTACCGTAGTGTGCGAACTAGCAAACAAGTCATGATGACAGTAGGCGCATAGACGTAACCAGATGATTCGGCGAAAGCTTGGAGCGGCAATCTGGTATGGTGTGGTATGATCTAGGTTGGTTCGACAATCTAGATCGAATAGGTTATCTGGTTCAGCAGGGTGATCTGGTTCAGCCACGTTCACGATCTAAAACGTTGAGACAATCAGGACCGGTGCATTCGTCTAAAATGTTGTACCATACAGTAATGGTGTACTGGACTGAAAAGGTGTTCCAACCAAAAAACAGTTCACTAGGTGAAAACGGAACACTGGTCTGAAGCGTTGATCCAATCCAAAGCAGCGCACTGGGCTAATGAGTTGGACCGAACGAGAGCGGTGAACTGAAGTGAAACAATGCACTGGTCTCTTCTTCCCTTTGTGAGAGCGACGAATTGGTACAAAGTGCCGGACCGAACTGAAACGACGCTCTGGCCTGCAGTGACGAACCAAACACAAGCATACTGCAGTAGATCCGCTCTGAAGCGTCGAATTGTGTGAGTACACTCGACCCAGACATAATCAGCGCACTAGAGCGTAACACCGAATGGAAGCGGTGCACTAGACGGAAAATGCCGAACTAACAGGGATTGTTGAACTTGATATCATCACTGGAGTGGGAGGGATCGCCGTAGACAAGCTCCGACTATAATATATCATTGTAGGTAAGTTAAATGCCAATCCAGAAAATTAGAGACACATTGCCAGTAGGCGCTGACAATGCCGTATCAGGTGTTCGAGAAAAGTCACTAGAACTGTCAATCGGGAATGTGACGGCGAAGTATGAAGTTCACTGCCGGAGTTGGGGGAGTCATCCTGCCCCGATACTGGACTTCGAAAGTCTGGGGACAGAAAAAACAACGTAATTCTTGCTGAGGTAGGAATCCGATGCTGCATCGAGAAATCTTCGTCTGGTGATGGTGATAAACGGCGAGCTGTTTAGTACGGACTACGGACGATCTCACTTCAAATGTTGAGATGAGGATGGAACCTCGGAAAGCTTCCGACGAGCCCTGTCTGCCACTCGTCTTGTGCCCATTCCACGATAACGGAAAATGCTTCATCATCCAAACTGTCACATTAAGAGCAATGGTGAAGCCCGTCACACCATCTGATACAATCAACCTACAGTGTGTGAGGATCAGCGGCAGGAAAACTACTTCTGTCATTGTCACAAAGATCAATTACTTCCTCATGATAAACAGTAGAGACTAGTGGCAGACAGCATAACACATGTCCACAGCAATGGGCGACAAGAAAGAGAATGACAGCTAGGGGAGGTCAGATGATCATCTGAGCGCACTGCACGCTTCTAGAGATGATTGACAGGTCATGCTATCGGAGTGGGGACAGAGGTCAGGTGGTACAAAGGCCAAGAAGTTTTGATTCAACTTAGCCTACAGCACATTTCTACATATGGGTCGAAGACGAAGAGAGAGGTGCATACCGTGAGATAGGATAAGTTTAAAAAAATTCTGAATAGGTATTCCATGCTCAGAACACATGTTATGGCAAGGATTCAGGACACAAAACATTCACTGTTGGCAACTGTAGAATACTTATAGGTTAATACTCTGTGGATATTACACATGTCTATGGATGAATTCAGGATACAAAACATCTACGTCTGGCAACTACTGATCTTGTGGTGATGGATTTACGCACCTGCCTTCACATACAGAACTTACCTCTGGTGTGAGAGCTGATGCAGACAGCACCTGCCTTCACATACAGAACTTACCTCTGGTGTGAGAGCTGATGCAGACAGCACCTGCCTTCACATACAGAACTTACCTCTGGTGTGAGAGCTGATGCAGACAGCACCTGCCTTCACATACAGAACTTACCTCTGGTGTGAGAGCTGATGCAGACAGCACCTGCCTTCACATACAAGAACTTACCTCTGGTGTGAGGCTGATGCAGACAGCACCTACCTTCACATACAGAACTTACCTCTGGTGTGAGAGTTGATGCAGACAGCACCTACCTTCACATACAGAACTTACCTCTGGTGTGAGAGCTGATGCAGACAGCACCTGCCTTCACATACAGAACTTACCTCTGGTGTGAGAGCTGATGCAGACAGCATCTGGCTGATAATCTGCAGCCGGGCCGGCAAAGTCTTGGCCTTGTTTATAGACAACATCAGCTTGCGCATCTTGCGGCTGTGGCGTATGGGAACATCCGACATGAACTCCACCCCACCTGCAACGACCGAGTCACACCCACCAGATGCGATCATCCCGATCCCAGTAGTGATGGCCTGGTTGGAGGAGATGCAGGCCTGGGTGACGGTGTGGGCAGGGATCCTGTTAGAGAAACCAGCACCAAGAGCTGCCTGCAGGAACACAAGACATCGTAACATTCCAAGGTTAACACAAGACATCGTAACATTCCAAGGTTAACACAAGACCCCATAACATTCCAAGGTTAACACAAGACCCCATAACATTCCCAGGTTAACACAAGACCCCATAACATTCCAAGGTTAACACAAGGCACCATAACATTCCCAGGTTAACACAAGACCCCATAACATTCCAAGGTTAACACAAGACACCATAACATTCCAAGGTTAACACAAGACACCACAACATTCCCAGGTTAACACAAGACTCCATAACATTCCCAGGTTAACACAAGGCACCATAACATTCCAAGGTTAACACAAGACACCATAACATTCCAAGGTTAACACAAGACACCAACATTCCAAGGTTAACACAAGACACCATAACATTCCCAGGATAACACAAGACCCCATAACATTCCCAGGTTAACACAAGACCCCATAACATTCCAAGGTTAACACAAGACCCCATAACATTCCAAGGTTAACACAGGGTACAATAACATTCCAAGGTTAACACAGGGTACAATAACATTCCAAGGTTAACACAGGGTACAATAACATTCCCAGGTTAACACAAGACACCATAACATTCCAAGGTTAACACAAGACATCATAACATTCCAAGGTTAACACAAGACATCATAACATTCCAAGGTTAACACAAGACATCATAACATTCCAAGGTTAACACAAGACATCATAACATTCCAAGGTTAACACAAGACATCATAACATTCCAAGGTTAACACAAGACATCATAACATTCCAAGGTTAACACAAGACCACATCATAATATTTCAAGGTTAACTGGAAGACAACATCACAACATTCGAACATTAACACGAGACAACTTTATTACATTCCAAGCTTAACATGTTGTGCATAAGATAAATTTAACCTGAAGCATGCATAATACAGCTGAAACAATACCTACCTCACGTGCAATGTTACTGGTCTTCACCTCTTGGATCACAGTTCCGTACACAATGTAGTCAACCATGTCTGAAGACAAACATTCAGATGTTGTTAGTTTACTCCAGTCAAAGGTAAAGTAAAATGTCAACCTGAATGCATACTGGAGAAGTACAAAATGTCTACCTGAATGCATATTGGAGAAGTACAAAATGTCTACCTGAATGCATACTGGAGAAGTACAAAATGTCTTCCTGAATGCATACTGGAGAAGTACAAAATGTCTACCTGAATGCATACTGGAGAAGTACAAAATGTCTTCCTGAATGCATACTGGAGAAGTACAAAATGTCAACCTGAATGCATACTGGAGAAGTACAATATGTCAACCTGAATGCATACTGGAGAAGTACAAAATGTCTACCTGAATGCATACTGGAGAAGTACAAAATGTCAATCTGAATGCATACTGGAGAAGTACAAAATGTCAATCTGAATGCATACTGGAGAAGTACAATATGTCTACCTGAATGCATACTGGAGAAGTACAAAATGTCTACCTGAATGCATACTGGAGAAGTACAAAATGTCAACCTGAATGCATACTGGAGAAGTACAAAATGTCTACCTGAATGCATACTGGAGAAGTACAAAATGTCTACCTGAATGCATACTGGAGAAGTACAAAATGTCAACCTGAATGCATACTGGAGAAGTACAAAATGTCTACCTGAATGCATATTGGAGAAGTACACAATGTCAATCCGAATGCATTCTGGAGAAGTACAAAATGTCTACCTGAATGCATACTGGAGAAGTACAAAATGTCAACCTGAATGCATTCTGGAGAAGTACAATATGTCTACCTGAATGCATACTGGAGAAGTACAAAATGTCTACCTGAATGCATACTGGAGAAGTACAAAATGTTTACCTGAATGCATACTGGAGAAGTACAAAATGTCTTCCTGAATGCATACTGGAGAAGTACAAAATGTCAACCTGAATGCATACTGGAGAAGTACAAAATGTCTACCTGAATGCATATTGGAGAAGTACACAATGTCAATCCGAATGCATTCTGGAGAAGTACAATATGTTACGTGAATGCATACTGGAGAAGTACAAAATGTCAACCTGAATGCATACTGGAGAAGTACAATATGTCTACCTGAATGCATACTGGAGAAGTACAAAATGTCAATCTGAATGCATACTGGAGAAGTACAATATGTCTACCTGAATGCATACTGGAGAAGTACAAAATGTCAATCTGAATGCATACTGGAGAAGTACAATATGTCTACCTGAATGCATACTGGAGAAGTACAATATGTCTACCTGAATGCATACTGGAGAAGTACAAAATGTCAATCTGAATGCATACTGGAGAAGTACAATATGTCTACCTGAATGCATACTGGAGAAGTACAATATGTCTACCTGAATGCATGCTGGAGAAGTACAAAATATCAATCTGAATGCATACTGGAGAAGTACAAAATGTCTACCTGAATGCATACTGGAGAAGTACAAAATGTCGCAAGCGTCCTCATACTTTAACTATAATAGTTCAGGGCGAAAGTGTGCTTGATTACACTATACATGGTGGTAGAGCGAACTGTATTTCTTTTCTAGACGCCAAGTTTAATACTTTCTAAGGATAATTACGATTAATTTAAGGCAGAAAACAAACGAAGGTGTCGGTGACCTAAATTAAGAATCCTCGCGCAGGGCTAACTGGCGCGCTGTTCTATTGATGTGTCTGCCCCCCTACGTTAAGACGAACGTTACCAGAAAAAAACAAATGATAACAGTTTGATGACGGTTTACGTTCGGTTTAAATATCTTCTCTGAATTATTTTAATTACATCTGTCATTAACATAAACCATATGGGGCAATATGAACGTTGCATTTCTACTACCAACGTAACTTTAGATCAGTACATCCAGATGAAGCTGAGTAGTCAAGCGACATTCCACGATTGCATTGTTGGAATGTAAACATTGCGAACGTTACCGTGTTGCTGAAAACTTGTGAGTCAAATTGACACATTTTAACCATCGTAAAACATAAACGTAATGTTTCCACCAGTGATGTTAGCTGCGTGAAGCAACTGCAAACCATGAAACGGGATGCAACAGAGTAGTTTACTGTAGGAGGCCGTATGAGGCGATGACAACGGACAAGCATCGTCACGTCGCTTACATTGTGACGTAATGTAAAATGGTTCGATTACAAGGGGGCACACTAGAATGGCGCAGTGACGGGATAACGTCATTCAATTGTTACGTCATCAAAAAACTATACCTTTATTGTCTGATAATGGTTTCTTTTTCGACTGTTCTAACCGCTAGGCATCTTAGAATACCCTATAGTTATTGGGGTCAGTTAGGCTACCAGACATATGGAGAGGACATATAACATCCTTTCCCCAGGCTAGTGGAAATGACTTGTTAGTAAACATTTTATTGAATAGCTTTGTCAGCAATGGGGTTATATAACCACACACACACACACTCTCTCTCTCTCTCTCACACACACACACACACTGGATGCACACACAAGGACAATGTAATGTCACCCTGTATGCACACACAAGGACAATGTAATGTCATCCTGTATGCACACACAAGGACAATGTAATGTCATCCTGTATGCACACACAAGGACAATGTAATGTCAACCTGTATGCACACTCAAGGACAATGTAATGTCAACCTGAAAGCACACACAAGGACAATGTAATGTCAACCTGGATGCACACACAAGGACATTGTAATGTCATCCTGTATGCACACTCAAGGACAATGTAATGTCACCCTGTATGCACACACAAGGACAATGTAATGTCAACCTGTATGCACACACAAGGTCAATGTAACGTCAACCTGTATGCACACACAAGGACAATGTAACGTCAACCTGTGTGCACACTCAAGGACAATGTAACGTCAACCTGTATGCACACTCAAGGACAATGTAATGTCAACCTGTATGCACACACAAGGACAATGTAATGTCACCCTGTATGCACACACAAGGACAATGTAACGTCAACCTGTGTGCACACTCAAGGACAATGTAACGTCAACCTGTATGCACACACAAGGACATTGTAACGTCATCCTGTATGCACACACAAGGACATTGTAATGTCATCCTGTATGCACACACAAGGACATTGTAATGTCATCCTGTATGCACACTCAAGGACAATGTAATGTCACCCTGTATGCACACACAAGGACATTGTAATGTCATCCTGTATGCACACTCAAGGACAATGTAATGTCACCCTGTATGCACACACAAGGACAATGTAACGTCAACCTGTGTGCACACTCAAGGACAATGTAACGTCAACCTGTATGCACACACAAGGACATTGTAATGTCATCCTGTATGCACACTCAAGGACAATGTAATGTCACCCTGTATGCACACACAAGGACATTGTAATGTCATCCTGTATGCACACTCAAGGACAATGTAATGTCATCCTGTATGCACACTCAAGGACAATGTAACGTCAACCTGTATGCACACACAAGGACAATGTAATGTCAACCTGTATGCACACACAAGGACAATGTAACGTCAACCTGTATGCACACTCAAGGACAATGTAATGTCAACCTGTATGCACACACAAGGACAATGTAACGTCAACCTGTATGCACACACAAGGACAATGTAATGTCAACCTGTATGCACACACAACGACAATGTAATGTCACCCTGTATGCACACACAAGGACAATGTAACGTCAACCTGTGTGCACACACAAGGACAATGTAATGTCAACCTGTATGCACACACAAGGACAATGTACCGTATATTACCGTCTATAAGCCAACCCCATAGATAAGCCGACCCCCAAACTTGACCCTTAAAATCAGTGTCAAAATGGTATGTTTCGTACATAAGCCGATCCCCCGCGACGGGGTACTAATCCTGGCAAACACAGATCACAGACAACTGGCAGTTACCAATAATTATAACTTTGGTCCACATTATTCAAAGAATTCACAATCATATTACGTCTACTCATGCATCGAAATGAAGTGTAGTTGTCAGAAAATGGATAATATATTTTGTTTCGCTAAATATCATACTTATTCTAGCTGGACGATGTTAACATGTCAAAAAACTGGTTTGCTTATTTTACCCCATTCCATGTGCGTACAACTTCCGCTTACCACGTTCGTGAGGATATGTTTTTCACTCCAACCGCCATAGCCAATTTCACATCATATTATCAACAATCACGAACTGATTACTGCCTCGTTTTCCATTGACTGCAAGTTTACAGTAACATCGGTAAAAATGTGTGAATTTAAATGGCTTGCTGATTTTACCCCATTCCATGTGCGTACAACTTTCGCCTACCACGTTTATGAGGGTCCGTATATCCTTAATGTTGATTATGTATATTTTACATTTATAGAGCAAAAACTGTTATTAAAATTACCCAATGCTAGGATATATTTCTGTGGGTTAAATAACAGTGTTCTGTATTATATTTTACTGATGATTGCGTCAGAATTCATCCCGTTATATTATTGTGCATGTTTGAACTTGATCGCTTGGAAATGTGTGCACAGCTGATTGCTATTTCCGGCTCAAATACACACGGTAATCTTAATCCCTGCAAATAATACAATGCCCAGCAAAAACAACTTAGGACTTAAAAGGTAAATAATCTTGTCTAGTGATGTTTAATTGCAAATTTGACGTCTTCACTGACAAAGTTGTCTTCTGTTGTTTGTTCAGGCTGAGTGAGTGGTACGATGTTGTTTTCTTACCCCTGGAAAAAAGTTTGACGAAAGGGTAACTCATAGATTGGCCGACCCCCTTCTACAGACTGCTTTTTTTATCCTCAAAATCCGGCTTATAGACGGTAATATACTGTAATGTCAACCTGTATAAACTGTCAACTGTAAGTGGGCAAAACTCTTATGGTGGCCTGTTGGATTTACTAGGAAGGTGTTGGATTTACTAGGAAGGTGTTGGATTTACTAGGAAGGTGTTGGATTTTACTAGGAAGGTGTTGGATTTACTAGGACTAGGAAGGTGTTGGATTTACTATTTACTAGGAAGGTGTTAGATTTACTAGGAAGGTGTTGGATTTACTAGGAAGGTGTCGGACTTGTAGCAAATAATACATTAACAACACTTGTGAGAGAACTGAAAATGGCATTGTGTATTTCACTGAATGTCCCAGTTCTATGCTTTCCTTTCCTGATAAGTCAAGAACTAATTTACCAAATCACAAAGTGACACAAATACTGACTCATCATACCTTTGCTGATGCCTGTCTTTCTCAGCAAACCCCTAGAAAAATGAACAGAACTTGACAGACATGCTTGACAAACATTCAATCAATACTTCCTGCACAGGTATCAGGAACATTTAAATGTCAGAATCACCAGTGTACAGGTCTTTCAATGGCACCTTGAACTGATACACATAAAAGTGGAATTCCTGGATGTCAACTTCTGTAATCTGAGTCAAAATATATTCCAAAATGTTGTGTTGATCATGTTACAAAATTCGACATCCTTAGAATTTCTACCCTCATACAAAAGTAAACATAAATATGATCTCAGACTTAAGTAGGCATCAGGTCAAACTCATATTGGGAAACAGATGTAGATCTTTCTTTAATGGTTACACCTGAAGTCAGTGGCGTATGGACATACAATTAAAGATAAAGCAGATCAAGAAACTATACTAACGGAAAAAAGTAACCGTGCATATAATAAATGTTATTTGAAAAGTTATAAAACAACCCTAAATAGACATGAAGCAAAGCACTTAATGAAATTTGATGTCATGTGTCACACATGGCATGCTTGGGATTAAATGGAGCGACGTAAACGTCATGCCTAGAATTAACCATTGACGTTTGCTGAATTGTGGAACAACATTCCTCAAGCTTTCTTCAATCGCTTAGTGTCATGTATGTATCATCGTTGTCAAGCCTGCATCAACGCCAATGGTGGACATGCACGATACTGAATTTGTGAACTGACTTTTGACACCACACCTCTTCAAGGGTTTGTCATGATGCCTAGTTTCAAATCAAACAGATTTCAATATAATCCTGTCAACAGTTAAACAGTGATTAAGGAAAACACCACAAATCATGTTACCATCTTTTAGCATTACATAAGGGCATAACATGAACTAATGCACAGTTACTTTATTCCAGTAGTATATATTGCAGAGTGGATCCCGTGGACAGGGATGAGAATAGAAGGTACTGACTGGAGTGCTGTGCGAGCAAGGTCGTGTGGCATAAGGTTCTTGTAGGACGTCCCAGACTGTAGGAATGGAGTCCTCACGACGTCCACCAGCACAATGTTGGGGATGCCTGGTCTAGCCAGCGTCTTCTTGCTGGCACCTGTGCAAACAATAAAGTCAGCAATAACCCTGTGAGTGAACTGTAGGAAAACAAATGGTTGATAACAAGAGCAACAATCCACACAGTAGCAGAGACATGGTAGGGGATGGGTAGTGACATCCATTCACAGTAGGAGAGACATGGTAGGGGATGGGTAGTGAAATCCATTCCAGGGTGTTTAGCAATCCTGGTGAACACCATGTCTACAAGTACAAAATATCCCACCAGAGAGTTCAGGGAAACAAACAAGTGCAAACAACTGGTGACAAATTATCACTTTGTATGTAGATTTAAGTGTTTAATGTCTCACTCAGCAATGTCTAGCTATACTAGCTAATAATTGAGTCTGGACCAGACAGTGTCCACATCATAAGCATCATCTACACAGATGGGATATGATGAAATGTGTCAACCAAGTCTGCAAGCCTTGTCACCCGATCCCACTAATTGCCTCTTATGACAAGCATTGGTTTGCTGAAGACCAGTTCTAACCAGATCTTTACGGGTACAAATTAAGTACAGATAAAAGGGTGTCAGCCCGATACCTTGTAAATCTCAAATTATAGAAATATGAAAATGCAATAAAAAGACTGTATAAATCTGTTAGGTTGGGACCGATCGTGCGAAACTTATACAAACCTGTATAGGTTATGAATTCTTTGAAGAAAGTCCTCCTTGGGGTACATATAAGCATAAGACAGACTCCCAAAGACAATTAAGCTGGGAGTAGTATTCTGTCTGACAAAGTGATCCAATCGAAGTAACAATCTACAACCGCACGGAAATAAAAAATTACACTTACCTAGTCACCTGACCGCCGATGTCAATCAAGGCAGGGGCACGTGGCTAGGGTGAGGACCCGGATTGTCAAAGCCTATATGCTGATTGGCTTATCGGTGTCACACCACAAGTGACAAACCCCACCCCCAAACCCAAGGGTTGGACGTGTGTAAAAACAGGGAACTCGCCAAAACAAACTACTGTCCATAGCACACAGCTAGCCAAGCATGGGAAAATGGAGAGTAAAAGCAGGGAGACTCTATAAAGGGGAGTGGTCACTCCTCGGAAAGTTCCTAAGCTATGCCTCGGCTCATCACGTGACCAGTGCAGCCAATATGGCGGCAGCGTAGTTTTTAAGATTGAGCCCGGTTTATTTTCAACAGCTGATTACATACGCTGAGTGTTGTGACAACTGAAAACCTACATGTAGAAGATAAGTTACCTATTCTGTCACTTCATTTTAAGTCAAATACTTGTTATTAGTGTCAGTATAAGTACAGTAGCTCTGTCGTAAAGTTTCAAGTGGGCATGTTGTAGCTCACTGGCTTCAATTCTCAGTACACAGCGAAGAAAGACTAAATTATATCGCTAAAAACTTCTTTCACATATTCGTTTAATTTTTAGAAGGGAAATATACCTTCAGTTAAAAGGTGTTTGCAAGTAATAGTGATATTTTTATAACTAAAAAAATTTGTTAGGCTGTATTTGAGGTGTGTGAAAAATATGACATATCGCCGATCTGCCATTGAAATACTACAGGGCGTTGTTTGAGTGTTTCTAGTTAGTGTTCAAAAACACCTTTCACATACACCTTCAATTTTTATGAGGGGAATATACCATCAGGTGAAAGGTGTTTGCAAGTAATAGTAATAGTTTTATAATTTAAAAAAAAATTGTTAGTGTGTATTTGAGGTGTGAAAAATATGACATATCGCCGATCTGCCATTGAAATACTACAGGGCGTTGTTTGAGTGTTTCTAGTTAGTGTTCAAAAACATCTTTCACATACACCTTCAATTTTTATGAGGGGAATATACCATCAGGTGAAAGGTGTTTGCAAGTAATAGTAATAGTTTTATAATTTAAAAAAAATTGTTAGTGTGTATTTGAGGTGTGAAAAATATGACATATCGCCCGATCTGCCATTGAAATACTACAGAAGTTGTTTGAGTGTTTCTAGTTAGTGTTCAAAAACATCTTTCACATACACCTTCAATTTTTATGAGGAATATACCATCAGGTGAAAGGTGTTTGCAAGTAATAGTAATAGTTTAATAATTTAAAAAAATTTAGTGTGTATTTGAGGTGTGTGAAAAAATATGACATATCGCCGATCTGCCATTGAAATACTACAGGCGTTGTTTGAGTGTTTCTAGTTAGTGTTCTAAAACATCTTTCACATACACCTTCAATTTTATGAGGGAATAAACCATCAGGTGAAAGGTGTTTGCAAGTAATAGTAATAGTTTTATAATTTAAAAAAATTGTTAGTGTGTATTTGAGGTGTGTAAAAATATGACATATCGCCGATCTGCCATTGAAATACTACAGAGTTGTTTGAGTGTTTCTAGTTAGTGTTCAAAAACATCTTTCAGATACACCTTCAATTTTTATGAGAATATATACCATCAGGTGAAAGATTTTTTGCAAGTATTAGTGATAGTTTTAATTATTTTTTGTTAGTGTGTATTTGAGGTGTGTGAAAATATGACATATCACCCGATCTGTTCTCATCATGCCATTGGTGCTTGTGATGCTTGAGTGTTATGGTTCTAAAACTTCTTTCTTTCTTGTTGATCTTAGTATTTGACAAAACTGGAAAGGTGTTTGCAAGGCTTTGTGATAGTTCTAAACTTTCTGTTCTTGAGGGGTCTGTGACAGTGTCAGTTAACATTCTGTCAATGCCCATGTCATTCCACACATGCAAAAAGATATCTGAATTAGTTACTAAACAATGTCTCAAAGTAATTTTTTTTTAAAAAGGACAGCTGATGTTAACATGTGTTCTACCGATAGTTTTGCGTTCTTTAACATGTTTGGGGAGGGATGGCCGGAGTGTATCATTTATTCTTTCATTCATTCACATGTTCTTTTTCTTTTGTTCTTTTTCTTAATTTCTTTCATTCATTCACATAAAATTCTTGCTCTTAATTCATTCATTCATTCATTGTAAAATTCCGACCTATACAATACACTGGCTGAAGTACTGTTAAACGCATAGCCGAAGTTGCGCTGGGACCGAACCAAGTCACTGTGTGCGTTGGAGCATGACAACGCACACGTTAATTAGTACAAATGGTAAAGAAAGCAAGCGAGTGACCTATCCCTGTTGTAGAGTATCCCTGGTAAAAGTAAGGCACCGATATACCAAAGTAGAGCGGGAATAAAAACCATCACCAGATACCGTCACCGATAACAAGGGGCAAGGAATAAAACCCGACACCAAGTGTAAAACAGAGTACATTATCTAGAAAGCTCAATCGGCTTGAGAGGTGCTACTCTGTCCACTGCGGAGAACCGTCTGGCTAAACCGAGCACGCTCACGTGAGTGTTTGTCTAACTGGTAATGGCGGATGAACGTACTCAGTCGCCTCCATATAGCCGTGGAGCAGATCTCCTCAATGGGCAGAGCGGCAGCATACCCCTTGGAGGTAGCTACTGCTCGAACCGATTGAGCCTTCAACCCCTCGGGGGGAGATAGGCCTTTATGTATGTAAGCCATATAAATTGCTGACACAATCCATCTCGATAAGGTTTGTGTAGTAGCCGGATGACCAGCCTTGCCTCCGACGAGAGACACAGTTCTCTTCATATACACTTTAAGTGTCTTGCGTACGTTCTAACACGTGCACTCGGCGTTTCGTGTCACTAGATGAAGCAGGAAGCGTAAAGGCAAGAAGATCGATAGGCGCCGTTACATGAAATGTGCTAGGCGGTGGGACTCACTTAATCCTTATGAAGACTGGTACTTTCCCTATCCTTATGAAAAGCATGGTATGTCACCGATCTGTGACATAGATGTGTATGTCACCAAAATGCTGTTTCCACAAGCTGGAGAGACAAATCGGACAGATCGTAAAAGAGGGGACTGGACATCCAATCTAAAACGATGGACAAGTTCCATGGGGGCTCGTCCGTCGGCCGCACTCTGTCCACGCCTGCTAAGAAACGCTGTACCAGGGGGTGTTGCCCTAAGAGAGCACCCTCGGCAGGAATGTGGAAGGCTGAGATAGCCGTGGAGTAGCCTCGGATAGTAGACGCGGCTAGGCCGGCCTCTAACCAAGACTGTAGAAACTCCAACACCTCGACTACAGTCGAAGAAAAGGGATCAAAGATTCCTGTTTCCACACCAGCGCGCAGAACAGGCCCATCTATCCTCATACTGTACGTGAGTCGAATCCCTCCGCGAAGCCAGATGTGTGTCTGCAACTGGTGCAGGAAATCCGCTTGCTTGGAGGCGATTCCGGACAGAGGCCAAACCGCATTGGTAATAGTACAGGTGGCTGTGCGAGCGACCCAAGTATTACCGGAAACCAGCACTGAGACGACCACAGAGGTGCAAGTAGTCGCGCTGGCTGGGTGGCTAGCTGCGATAGGACCCTGGAGATAAGTTGTATCAGTAGGAAAGCCCACAGAACCCTGTCCATCCAATCGAGCTGGAAGGCATCAGAGGCTATCGCTCTCGGATCTGGGAATTGTGAGCAAAACACCAGAGTCTGGTTCGTCATCCCAGAGGCAAACAGATCCACCTGGAACGACCCGAACAACTGGGAGACAATCCCGAATATCTCCCGGTCGAGTAACCACTCGTGAGGGGCTAGAATATGACGTGAGAGCGCATCTGCATGAACGTGTCCACCCCTGGGAGATAAACAGGCATAAGCTGTATGCTGAACTGATCGCACCACAGTAGAAACTGCCACCCCTCCTAAAAGAGTGACGGAGACACCGTACCGCCCTGCTTCAGGATGTAGGACATCGCCGTTTGGTTGTCCATTTCTAGACGAACCACACGGTTCCGAACCTGCTCCACGAAGCGTTCAAACACCAACCGGACTGCTCTCAATTCTAGCACATTGATGTGCAGGGTCGCCTCGTTCTCGGACCAAAGGCCGGGAGCTGTGAGGTCTCCCAGGACGCTCATGATGACTGCACTCATCATCTGGCTTGCGCACGACCGTATGGCGTCGCGTGCCAAATGTGAGTGCACCTCCGTTAGCTGATTCGCGAACGTGGATGGCGGCACGACGTCGTCCATGCCCCCCTGGTCCACCAGCTTCCTCCACAAAAGTAGGACAGTCTCCCATTCAAACTCTAAAACCTCTTTGTTTCTTATGCACATAAGTACCTCTTTGATTGGCATTCTAGAAGTTGGGTAGATGAAGAATGAGGACTATTTTTATGGATATACAACTTCTTTATACTGTATAGGTGACGTTTCGACATAGATTCTAGTGCTTGCTTGACAACGACATTAGAATCTATGTCGAAACGTCGCCTATACAGAATAAAGAAGTTGTATATATATCAATAAAAATAGTCCTCATTCTTCACATAAGTACCTGTTTTTGTTGAGGCATATTGTGATGCTGATGTTCCAAGACAACGTACGGCACCTGTGACCAGAAAAAGTCAACAGTTAAATGGCTAAAACAATGCAAAACGTTTTAACTTAAAGCAAAATATTCATGCAACATCAACCTATTTGTCACTGGTATCGCTACCTTCCTGCCAATGATAAATTCTCAAGACACACAATTCACTGAGCCTTTCTTAATTAATCAATTCATTCGGTTTTTTAAATAAAAGTTACTTGTACATGGTAAAAACAAATTTGAAGTAATCTGAATAATGCTTCAAATCAGATACCAAAAACAAATTTCTCTTCTGTCATGCAACAAAACAGTAAATGACGCCTTGTCATTCTGCTTTGAACATTACCCTAAAATTACGCAACTACCACAGAGACACACTTATGCGCGTTCTTTGACTTATCCTAAAAGAAACCTGCTAAGAAAACGATAAAGCACCATTTGAAAAACCTACAAGAACTGCCACCAGACTTTGTCAGGGAAAACACTTTCTGCATTGCCGCCGCCATGCTGAAACTGTGGACTTTGAACGGTCATGTGACCTTGTGTTTATCGACAACAAAAATCGTTTAATCAATAAAAACGAACACTTTGAGTATACTCTGTGTATTGGTATTTTATATATAGTTGCACATGATGAACATCGGAAGATGACAAATGCAATTAATGTAAATAATTGCGAAAAACCCAAACGTGAATTTGCGTTACTAGACGAGGAAATACAGGAGTACAAAGTTCAGCCGGCTCCTCTGGAAAATGGCCGGCATGAGAGTTGTTGGGGCTGCGAGGCAGTTAATCCGTGCAGGAGGGCTAGCGTTTCGGGGTAACTGTTCTCTTACAGCGCAAAGTTATTAACTCTGAGATGTTGTCATCTTTTGTGTGCATTTAGATTTATTTGCCAATGTCCCTCACTTTCCAATTTATAAAGTTAAAATTTACTTTGCACTGTTCTGTTGCAGACGATGCTTTCGCTATGGTTGACTATTTTGTGTGGTTTTTAGTCTAGTTTTTGAATAAAGTGCATTTTCATCACTTTATTGCTTTTATCTTAAAAGAGTACCATATTTGTTGTGAAGTCACATTTTCTCTTTATGGCAAAGCATAGGTCAGGAGCAAGAAGGTGAAACTGACAGGTGAGCATGTGGACTTTGAACTATGGAGGTTGTTTTGCCAGTCAGGAGTCAAGAGGTTAACAAGGCGATTTGTCAACATCAGATGTTACAATGATTTGAATATAAGAATGAAGAGATTAACAAACACATTTCTGTATTAGCCTGTAATGACAGTGATATTTTTGTACCAATATAAACTGTTCAGACCTGCATGATCATGAATGGAAATATCACTTTTCTACACCTTCGAACAAATATGTCATCACTTTCATGGTGGGGACATATATTATAATTTATAGTGTATCATGTAATGTTAATATAATGAAAAGAGGACCTTTGCTCTTTTCTCACCTTGATCAGTCTGGTGATTGCTTTGTATCAGTAAGTACCTTTGAGGTCAGGATAGATACAAAAAGTATTCATCATCTTTCTATCATGGAGTAATATTTTCAACAAAACTTCATTATCAGTTGTTACCACTACAAGAGATATATTACGATTCAGATATTAGGGAAATATAAACACAGAATATTAGCTTAGAAAAAGCCAACAGTCTAAAGTAATAAAAACTCATCTTACAGACATACTATTCAAAAAGGTATAAATTATGACTACATAGTCTAAAAGGTGTTTCTAGATAAATCCTAGCCTAAGGTAATAAGGACCCGTCTCTTAGACACAGCAAGACCAAGGCCATGTCTACACTGTTAAACAAATTGCCTTAATTTATTTTATAAAGAAAACATGTCATCACCAATATTAGAATAACATTTAACATTGCAAACAAACTGCTTTCTGTGTAAGCACTGTAATCCATGCAGTTAAACAATCTGTATCAGAGTGATCTGATATTGCATCCATTTGACATGGTCATTTAGACATCCTTGTAGCTATTATTCATACATGTTGATTTTTGAAGGGATTTTTAAAAGGTGAAAGTTACTGAGAATCTTTTATCCATAAAATTGACCAAATTAGTGACTTTGATACACTGAAAATATCAGTGAAGGTTTTAGTTTCAGGAGTGAACATTTCATATCATGGTAAGGGCAACATTCCATCAATTCTTGAGTCATTTCTATCAATGTACATATCACAATGATATGTGATTCACGTAGTTCATTACTAATAGACCTGAAACATTTTTAACTTATTCAACATCACTTACTTTTTCCATCTTGTAATGAGATCATGTTATGTTCTCAAGTGACATCTCACTTTTTGCCTCTTGGACACAATGTTTAATGCAAAATATTTTTGACAATGTTACCAAATGCTTTAGTCTAAATCTAAAAGTTATACATTAGTCACATGCTTGAATTAGACCGATCACAATCCTGTGAAAAAAGCATCATTAGAATCCAATTTGTATGAGGTATTTTTTGGTAGTGTCACATGTTACTGTTATTGGGAAATAGGTAACCATATATGTTATCTTAAAATCAGACAGACAGACAGACAGTTTTATTCAGTAAAAGGCCACTGGCCCATAATACAGTCAAATGCATGATCACACATCACATGAATGGTACACAATGATTTATAAAAATGTTCTGCTCTTAATTCTAATTTGTACATTATATAAAAAATAAAGAAACATTCTTAATCACATCGACATTAGCAGATTGCATAATATGTATAAAGTTGTTTATCGTCGGAGGCTGACTTAAATATTTCACAATATATTTCTCTTGAATATCAGAGAAACATTCACAAATATACAAAATATGCCACTTATCTTCAACAACATTAACACCTTTGGATTTACAAAATAAACAAAATCTTGCATTAGAAGCAATATTTTCATATCTCCCAGTCTCTATCGCTAAATTAAAGTTTCCACATCTAAATTTTGAAAGGGCAGATCTCAAATTTAAATAAATATTACAATTTAAGTATTTTTCTACATCTAACAGAGTTTTATATGGACAATAATAAACAGTTTTATGTGAATTTTCAATGGAAGAATACCAGGATTGCTTTAAATTATCGGTCAGTCTTTGTTTAAAAGAAACATAAAATACTTAACATCACCAATATCCTGACTGACCCATGCATAGCCAAAACCATAAGTAAATAAAATATGTTTAACATTAGATGCCCAAGTTACACGTCCAACATCATCTAATGATTCAGCATTTTGTAACAGTGTTTTGGGAGTCTGTTTGGGGGTAAGTACAATAAATGACACCAATATTTGATAACCTAACCTATTTGATGATATTTGATATACAATTTGTAAAGGGAGTCTACCACTTTCTCCAAGTACCACATTATTATCCCCCACGAAGCGTGGGATATAGTATAAGGCTCCGTCCGTCCGTACATACGAATTGGAAAATCTTAAGAACCGTTTTCTAGATTCTTTTCATATTTGGTACCTAGGTTCATCAAGAAAAGTCCATTTCAGGTTTGGTGACCTTGACCTTCATTTCAAGGTCTCAAGGGGACTTTCACGTTTTACCTGCATGTTAAGCTATCTCAAGAACTGTTCACTGGATTGTCTTCATATTTGAAACCAAGCTTTATCTAGGGAAGGGTGCAGGGCCCAGTCAATTTTGGTGACCTTCACTTAATTTTCAAGGTCACAGAGACACTTTGAAGATTTCAGCATATTAACCTGCAGGTTATGCTTGTCAGCGAGATACCTCACGAACCATTCACTGGAGTTTCTTCATATTTGACACCAAGCTTCATCCAGGGAAGGCGCAGGGCCCAGTCGATTTTGGTGACCTTCACTTAAATTTCAAGGTCACAGCGACACTTTGAAGATCTCAGCATGTTAACCTGAATTGTCAGCAAGATATTTCAAGAACGGTTCACTGGATTTTCTTCAGACTTTCAAGACTTCCCTTAAATGTTTTTCAATAAGCAATTTCTTTAGTACTATTTTTGCATATTTCATACACTATGACATTCATGTCAAGGTCAAAGTCAGTCTTGAAAATATGTGTGTGTTTGAACACCTAAAGAGCAAGATATCAAGAGAGGTTGACTGGTCATGTTTTTGTTGACAGTTAACTTAAACTTTTATTACTTTATAAGTTTGATTTGATAATTTGCGGGGGGATTATGTCACCTTAGTGACAATGCTTGTTACAAGTTGAATTACCAACTTTTAAGAATTACTTACAAAATTTAATTTGTACAGACTCTATGAGTTTACAATAACTGGTGCCCCAAACTTCAGCTCCATAACATAATATAGGTGAGATCATACAATCAAATATTTTAAACAAATCTTTACAATTGACACAACCGATTTTTCTTGGGAAGTTATTTACAGAAAATAATGCCTTATTGGCCTGAGAAACAAGACCTGTCTGGGCTTTACACCATACAAGTTTTGGTGTAAATACAAGTCCTAAATATTTATGAAAAGATACAGATTCAATTTGTTTACCATTGTAATACCATTTTTCATAATCTCTTAGAGGCCCACCATTTCTAAAAACAAGAATCTTAGTCTTTTTAAGATTTACTGTCATACCAGTGAGTTTACAAAATTTCTCAAGAACATTAATCTTTTTCTGTAATTGGTTACATGTATCAGACAGTGCCGAGACATCATCAGCAAACATAAGTGAACATACATATTAACATCTGATGAAACAGTTACACCTGTACCACCCTCCAGTTCCATTAAAGTACATAACTTGTTAATGAAGATAATAAATAATTGAGGGCTTAAAACACATCCCTGACGGGTACCAATATTGCAAAAAAACATTTAGACAAACCTTTTGATGTTCTAACACAAGCTGATAAATTCTGATACATTGTTTTTACAACATTAAATATTTTACTACATATACCAACTTCAGAGAGGGACTGAAGTAAAACGTCATGCCTAATAGTGTCAAAGACTTTGGAAAAATCAATAAAAACACAGTAAAACCTACCCTTCTTTGTACAAGAATATTTCTGAATTAAAGCCTGGAGGAAAATATATGATCAGTTGTAGAATAATTAGCTCTAAAACCTGCTTGGGACTCACTAATAATTTCATTAATATCGCACCATTTCTGAAGGCGTTTATTCAAAATAGAAGTAAATATTTTACAAATAGAGTCAATGAGGGATATACCTCTATAATTATTTGGGTCATCTTTACAGCCAGATTTAAATAAAGGACATATTATGCTCTTACTGCAGCTTTTAGGGAAATTGCAACTGTCAAATATTTCATTAAAAATGGAAGTAAGAAAGGGTACAATATAATTACTAGAAGCTTTAAGAAATTCTCCAGCTACACCATCTGGTCCTGGTGACATATTAGTAGAAATATTCATAACATGAAACAAAACTTCTTGTTGAGTAATTGCTGCATTAAGTAATGGCATATCACAATTGGAATGAGACTTAACAACATTTAGAACATATGTTTCAAAGTAAGGACAAAAAGTGATTGAACCACTGTTGACAAGAAATAGAGGCAGATATGTTACTAGACATTTTATACTGTTTGAGTAATTTCCAAAACTGCTTAAGATCATTGCTGGCTTCAACAAGTTTCTGTCTCTGTATATGCATGTAATTATCTCTCTTGATACTGAATGTATTTTTTGGTAGTGTCACATGTTACTGTTATTGGGAAATAGGTAACTATGTTATCTTAAAATCTTTTTAGAATATATTTCTGATTGCATAAAACTAAACTTTAAAAAGAATTGTTATGAAAATACATGTACTTTTATATCTTACAATTGGCAAACAATCCTAAACGTTACACGTATATTTATACACCCCCATCTCCATCTCCCCAAAACCCAACAAAAACCCAAACCAAAACAACAACAAAACAAACAAAACCCTGTAAGTTGTAATTAAGCCTTCAATGAATACACTATTAGGTAAGTCCGATTTGTTTTTAGAATATTAAGTAATAGTAATAGTCCATTTATATCCATGCACACTGTTTGTTCAAAGTAACTATAAATACTTTGTTTAATATGAAGAAATTGATATAACAAACACAATGTTTAATTGCTTAAGCTGCAATGTTTTAATGCTATTTTCTCTAAATGAATTAAGCAATACATTGCTAACATTGCTGCTAAAAGCCTAAAGACAGTTCCATATGGGGCCATGGCAAATTAACAAAGGTTATGCTACTGCAATCTCTTTGATCTATTCAGTTTTAAGTATCTCACAGGGATTTTCCTTGAGTCCTGTATCTGAGGGTCCCTGGGACTCATACTCTGAAGTTTCAGGGGTCCTGGACAACAAAATGGTGGCTCCAGACACTTAGATATTGTTAGTAATACTGTTATTGTATTGTGTATCAAATGATACCATAACCCAGCTAGTAGCAAACTCAGCGATAACTTATTGTTACTTGATTGGAATTTTTTACAAAAGTATTTGGACTTTTTCTGCGTCCCTGTGGATGCACTAATAAATTTCATTGTGTCCATTGTCAATTTTATGCGTAGAGGATGCAGGAATTTACATCCTGTAAATCCCTGCCTCACTTAGATAAACATCAAACTGGTTCCAAGAAAAACAGGCTCTAATATATTCATAATTATTTGATTCTAGATGCCTTGAGTTCTGAATTGAATCATGAAAGGATATGATTTTGATTCACCGAATAAACGAGTGACTTGTAACAGGACTAGCTGTAATTGTATTTTTTACATATTGTGATGCAAAGAGCTTTCATATTTATGAACAGTAGGATTAGACCTTTGAGATCGCATATTATGATATCGCATATTATGATATCGCATGTCATGTTGTAGCTAGTAGAAGTGTTCTGACATAGTTGAAGCAATCTATAACATTTTCTCAAATTCGAAACACAGACGACTTTGGCACTAGGGCTGTACAATATTACCGGTAAACTGGTATATACCGGTACAGTATCTCGCGATACAATTATTGCGAATTGGTTCAGATTCTGCAATATATTGGGTCATCCAAAGTTAGCTCCATTTGAATTATTTGCCCTTGATTTCCATAGCAACAAAATGTACCCTAAAAGTGCCAAATATACCTGTGTTTCTTTTCTGTTTCATGTAACATTTTACAAGTGCAAGTGTCTTTATAAGTGGCTCCAAAAGTGCCAAATGTTCTACCAAATGCTGTAGGTTTGGGGGTTTAAATGGTTTCATATGTGACGTTTTGGAGGAATTAAGTGGCCTCAAATGGACCAATCTTTCAAGAAAAGCAAGATTTATGGACGTCAACTTCTTGTGAATAACACAACGTTTCGGAGTGTATGGTTGCTCCTCCATCAGGTCATGAATATTTACAATAAAAAGGTTGACAATATAAATCTTGCTTTCCTTATGCATTCCTCTTCTAAATGCCCTTAGAGATTTGACAAGTCTTTTATTTGGACTTATAAGTAGAGCTACTGGCTCTGAGTGACCATTTCACAATTCACGTTATTTTGTTATTTTTGTTTTGTTTCATAATGGGACATATGTTATCAATTTATGATAAAGGCCAAAGTCTTATAAATCCTGTAGGACTGTATATTAATGACATTCTAGGGTCTTAGTTATTGGAGGTCACATGAGATTGTATGCTCAAGTAGTTCACCTAAATCATGTTTTTGTTTCATTTTACAACAGTTCATGTTAACACATGTTTATATTGGAGTTGAATCTGAATGAATCACTGACAAACAGTAACAATAATGACATACTGCATTGAAGTGCATTCTGTTGAAGCAAACAACACTGATCATGAAAATCATGTTATACTATTACCTTTATCATTATGTTCGCAAAACTTTGTTGCAATACAGTTACTTCAATGAAACATTCCACATTAAGGCTCTATATCATTTATCTGTACACCACTGGCATACACCCATACACAATGGGGACAGCCTGAAAAGTATGGTTTAACAGCAACTAAGAAGATGATGTCAGAGAGCTATTACGAATTTGTGATATACGCACTTGGACAGAAACCTTCCAGTCAATATATCACAATATGTATTGCAATATCTCTTGAATTATTGCAATATATCGGAATATGAGAATTAGGGCAATATCCAGCCCTATTTAGAACTACTGGATTTAGTGTTTGAATCACTTGACGATGGAACATATCTTAGAAGTAGTCAGGGCCTGAAAAAGTGTTCAATTCTTAGAAAATTCTCTTGACTTACAGTCACTGAAAAGTCATAACTGAATATTTCTTGAAGAATCTAGTAAGTTTGTGTTCATGATAGATTAGTCATCACTTTAAAGTAGCAAGTTGCAACATTTTACATTGGATGTGAAGTTGCAAATGCAATTTGTACAGCTTCTAAATAAAACAAAAAAACACAGAGAACCACGTTATATTTATCTGCAAAAACAACCTGAATAGGAATATATGATAAATGACGCTAACCAATTTGTTTGATGATTGCTTGTTGGTAATAAACCAATCATCAATTATTGTGAGATTTCAACCAATTCCCAACACTAGTAGGTATTATGTTTTGTGAGATTTCAACCAATTCCCAACACTGGTAGGTATTATGTTTTGTGAGATTTCAACCAATTCCCAACACTAGTAGGTATTATGTTTTGTGAGATTTCAACCAATTCCCAACACTGGTAGGTATTATGTTTTGTGAGATTTCAACCAATTCCCAACACTAGTAGGTATTATGTTTTGTGAGATTTCAACCAATTCCCAACACTGGTAGGTATTATGTTTTGTGAGATTTCAACCAATTCCCAACACTAGTAGGTATTATGTTTTGTGAGATTTCAACCAATTCCCAACACTAGTAGGTATTATTGTTTTGTGAGATTTCAACCAATTCCCAACACTGGTAGGTATTATGTTTTGTGAGATTTCAACCAATTCCCAACACTAGTAGGTATTATGTTTTGTGAGATTTCAACCAATTCCCAACACTAGTAGGTATTATGTTTTGCATGCTGATATTTTCCTTGGTATCTTTGATTTTCCTCAGTCTCCATAGTTCAGTGTCCAAACATTGGAATGTTAGTATTATTATAATTTCTAGCAAAGCCGGGGATTCATCTGTGAAGATATAAGTAATGTTAAATCAGGCCTGGTACAAATGTAGAACTAAAACCTCCAATAAGACGTCTACCACTGAAATTAATAATTAGCAGGGTTATTTCCCTTCCCGTCATGTGACCCCTTTGTCTGGAGATATGACCACCACAAAACTGAAGCTATCATAGCAATATTGACATGTGAGTGAGAATGTATCACAAATATAGTGAAAGGTGTGTCCAGGAGGACAAAATCTAACTCTGAACAACCATGACACCTGTACCATCCAAAGTGCCTCATTCATTGCATGCTGTTCACTGTTTGATTGGCATTCCAGAAGATAGTAAGTAAGATGTCTGATGGCATTCAATTATATGGAAATTTTGTGGATAATGACTGGTTTAGTGCATTAGCAATGTTTAGATGTAGATTTTAACACCATTTGCTCACTATTATCTGGTTCTTTTATTGTATTAGATAATACTGTTAAAATTTGAGAATACTGATTGTGCTCCTTCTATAGTGAAGTTCCCTTTTCAGGAGACAAGGACTGCAGGCTCCTTTCCACGTCAGCTGTGATGTGTGGTAAGCCATAAGTGATTGAATAGTTCAAACAGAAAGTATTACAACCTAAAGTTATTTATGGTTGTTTGGGTTCTGTTTCCTATCTGCATACGGGCGGTGGGGTAGCCTAGTGGTTAAAGCGTTGGCTCGTCACGCCGAAGACCCGGGTTCGAATCCCCACATGGGTACAATGTGTGAAGCCCATTTCTGGTGTCCCCCGCCGTGATGTTGCTGGAATATTGCTAAAAGCGGCGTAAAACCAAACTCAGTCAGTCAGTCCTATCTGCATACAAACTGAAACCCAGGTGATTGCCGATGTGTAGTTGTCCATCAAGCCATGATGGTAGTATGAGGCCTACTACATTTGTGGTCTGGCATGTAGAGTGTTCTTGTGCCCAGATAGTGGGGAGTGTTGCTCACAGTGTCTGGGGCTGGATTGTCAGGTTGTCCATCAAGCCATGATGGTAGTATGAGGCCTACTACATATGTGGTCAGGCATGTAGAGTGTTCTTGTGCCCAGATAGTGGGGAGTGTTGCTCACAATGTCTGGGGCTGGATTGTCAGGTTGTCCATCAAGCCATGATGGTAGTATGAGGCCTACTACATATGTGGTCAGGCATGTAGAGTGTTCTTGTGCCCAGATAGTTGGGAGTGTTGCTCACAGTGTATGGGGCTGGATTGTCAGGTTGAGCCATGAGTATTTACAGGCTGCCCCCATATAGCTGGAATATTGCTGAGTGTGACTTTAAACAACAAAATGAAAGGAAACTAAAAATGAACCCAAAACGTTATACAGTCTAGCATCGTTGTGTCGAACTTGATAACTTATCTGGAGCCCTGTCGATATCTCGGTTGTCTCGATATACCATCTCGGTCCCGGCAAAATCCTTCATAATTTATCATTATTCAAGCTCTTTTAACAGGATATGGATGTCTCGATATTTCGGATATCTCGATATAATTTCATTGTCCCAACAAGCAAAATTACCCATTTAACTCAATATTTTTTCTTGGTCCCATGAATATGGAGACAACGGTGCTGGACTGTATATACAGTTGATTGTGTCAGCATGGTCAGTAGTTGAGTTGCTCTGACCAAACATGGAAGTTCCTGTCTATCATGGGCTTAAGACTGGTGCAGTGATATCAGTAAGATTCTGGGAAATATAGTGAAGCATATCCCCTGAATTCATGATTTGAACCTATTTAATATATTAATTATTATAATGGACCTGTGTAAATACCTGGGTTGAGGTAGTAACTTGTCTTTTGATTAACATGATTAGATGTCTTCATTCATCAGCAGCAAAATAAGCTGACATTAGTGTATGTATCAACACAATTTTATGTGAGAGTGTAGCATACCTTGTGCTTGGTTCTTTAGCTTAAAGTGTTTTCATGGGATATGCCCTGAGTAACCCAGTCACAGGAACTGGGCATCACAGGAACCATTTGAAATTCACATCATTTTATATTTACAGCTCGGAAACACTTCAAAGTTGATCAGAAGGGCGATGTGGCTGTTGTACGGATTGATAGTCCAAACTCAAAGGTAACTTTTTTTTACAACTGTTTGCATTCACTTTACTGCATTACTTCCTGAGGAATGAGACAGCACTTGAAGATATGATAATCTCTAATATCACTTTAAAGCCATTTTTCTTGAACTATATGATTCTTTTTCATAGAGATCCTGCTTGGGGTGCATATAGGCATTAAAATGTCCATTTTAAATCACTACGACTAACTATATTTTCAACTAAAAATATTTACAAAACAAAAACTATGTTTTGTCTTGTGAGACCACCCTTACAGGGCCCCACGGACCCCTGACGGGCAAGAGCAGGTAACTCTAATCTAAAACCTCATACCTCACTTTCAATGCTGTCATTCTTGTAATCAGACGTGTTTGGTGTCTAACAAGTGTTGGACTTGAATTCCTGTAGTTAGGCTACACACACAATTATTGTCATTTATTGTGTTATTCCGCTGATAATTATATATATTGTTCAGTTGAATTACGCTTCATGGTGCGTGTTTTTCGCAACTTTTTTCTGGTAAGTCATTACATAGTTGCCTTATAATGTTTGTGTCTATATTATGCTAGAAGTTATGGTTGTGTCACCCATGCGTGTTCTTGTTTATTATACATGTGTACACGGCACGCTTTGAGTTAGATTTCCTTTTGCAGTAGGGCTCCGGCCTGGGACAGGGCGACTGCTGTCTCTTGGCCCCGATCAACCATCTGAGCCCTTCATGTTCTGCGTCTGTTGTGCCCTCGGCTACCTCTCTCGATTATGAGAGCCCGGCTGCCGAGGAGCGTGACGAAGTAGATATGGAGGAGGACGAGGGGAGAGAAGGGTCAGAGACGGAGGTCATGTACTCCTTCAGGTCGTCCCTGAGGCAAGTCCGTGAGCGTATTGCGGAAGTGTTGCCCCCTGGTGGCTGTTCCCGTGCAAGAGCCTGACCCCACAGAGTTTTGCCTTCCGGGGGAGGCTTTTGCACCTAGCCGGGTGGCCGAGGTGTGGTTGTGCTTTCTTCCTTGGCTGGTGAGCGAGATAGTAAGCTCTGACTGGTTCCAGTTCCTGCTTCGATCTTCCGGAGATCAGCAAACGCGTTAAGTCTGCTTACCATTCCTTCGAGGAGGTTTACCGGTGTGCGTCTCAAAAACTTTGTGTGGCAGTCCACTCTACATACCTGTCTGCTTTGCAGGGGCAGTTGGTGGACCAGGGCTCAAGTGAACACCCCTCCACATCTCGCCAGCGGCCCTCGCCTCTTGCGTCTGCTTATTCTTCCATGTCGGCGGAGGAACCTGCTGAATGGACCCCGCCATTGTAGAGTAAGCGGAGCAAGAGGGCACGAGGCAGGGGCAAGCCTGCTCAGTCGCAGCAGCCTTTTCAGGGCGTTGAGTCTCCCCACAGAGCCCTTACTGCCCCTCGCACATGCAAGTGGAACTTGCCAACAGTGGGGGTACACTGCCTCATGCTACACGTCCCTGTAGGCGGCTGGCTGTCCCTATTCCTTCGGGAGTGGGAGGCAGCCACATCAAATTCCTGGGTCCTGTCCATGCTCTGGGATGGCCATTTTCCACAGTGGAGGCAAGGTCCTCCATCCTGTTCCGGGGTTGGGCACACTCCTGTCCCAGCCACCAGAGTCAAGGCGGAAGTTCTCCGTGCCAAGGTTCAGTCGTTACTGGACAAGACAGCTGTTGAGGTGGTTCCGGAAGGTCAGCAAGGAGAGGGGTTTTATTCCACCTACTTCCTAGTGACCAAGAAGGACAGAGGGTTCAGATCCATTCTGAATCTCATAGGGCTAAACAAGTTAATAGAGGTGCCGTCTTTCAGGATGGAGACACTGCACTCAGTGATCTCATCTGTCGAGACAGGGGATTGGCTCACGTCAATCGATCTCCAAAACACATACCTTCATGTCCCGATGCACCCAGAACTCAAGAAGTGCCGTCAGTTCTCCTTTGATGGGAAGTGCTACCAGTTTCGTGTATTCCTTTCGGCATCTCCATGGCCCGAGGGTGTTCACCAAACTCATGCTAATCCCAGCTCAGTTAGCCAGGTCTCAGGGCAGGTGCTGTCATCCATACCTAGAAGATTGGTCACTGAGGGCCCTAGGCCAACAGTTAAGCCGAGACTCCACACATCGGGTGATGGATATTCTCGTAAAGCTGGGCTGGATTATCAACCTCAACTGGTTCTGACACAAGATCTGGTGTTCTTGGGGGCAAGGTTCAATACGGAGCTGGGTATTGTTTCCCTGGCTCCGGACCGAATTGTCAAAATCCAGAGGACTGTTACGCAGTTCCTCCAGTCCTCCATTGCCTCAGCTCGAACTTGGCTTCGGTTGCTAGACAACATGGCGGTGACAGTTGATGTGGTTTGGCCTGGGCGTCTGAGGATGAGACCTATACAGCAGGTGTTAGCTCAGCTGTTTTCCCACTCGGAGAGCTACGAGTCCTACTCGAGATGCCTGAGTGGTTAATCCCTCACTTGCGGTGGTGGAAGGAAGTCTGGAATCTATCCATGGGAGTCCCTCTGGAAAACGTGACACCTACCCTGTTGATTCAGACAGGCGCCTCCCTTTCGGTTTGGGGTGTGTGTTCTGGGCGACCGGTCGGTCTCAGGCCTTTGGTCGGAGAACTAAGTCCGGCTGCACATCAATGTACTAGAATTGAGAGCAATCAGCCGGGTGTTCGAGAGCTTCGTGGAGCTAAATCATGGCCAGTTGGTTCATCTAGAGATGGACAACCAGATGGCCATGACTTCGATATGAGGGATATGAGGGTAGATTATGCACGGTGGTGTGTCAGCAGGGGGCTTCTTGATACCTTTTCTGCAGATTTAGTCGCTGTGTTAGAATTTCTCCAGTGTCTGTTGGAAGCCAGTCTTGCGGCTTCCACTATTCAAGGATATTCTACGGCTATTTCGGCATTCAATGTTCCTGTTGACGGGAACTCTTTGCGCTTTTTAGTAGGCGTGGACAGAATCCGTCCGGCGGGTTAGTACCCCATGGGGCATGTCAGTTGTTCTCGATTGGTTCCCTTTTTCAGAATCTGTCCGCCGACCCAGCACTAACTGTTTTTCATTTGGACAGAGTTAGTATTCGTTTGCCGGATTCTTACCGTCCTAAGAGAGATGGTGCCTTTCATGTCACAGCAGCTATTGAGCTTCCCGCTTTCACACAATCTTCCCCTTCTGTTACCTCTCTTCGGCGTGCTCACATCTTAGATGTCCGCAAGACCCTTAAGGCTTATATCAAACGACCAAAGTATATCCGTAAGGATAATCAGTTGTTTTGTTGTTATGGCGGGGGTAAGGTTGGTCTTCCAGCGAACAAGCAAACCATATCTAGGTGCCTTGTCTCTGCCATTTGTATGGGTTATTCTTACAAAGGTCGTATCCCACCTGAAGGTTTGACAGCTCTTTGGGTTAGGCCAGTTGCTACGTCTAAGGCATACGCTGCAGCCCTGCCCATTGAGGAGATCTGCTCCGTGGCTATTTGGAGCCGGCCAAGTACGATCATTCGTCGCTATCAACTTGACAGACACTCCATGCCTGTGCTTGGTTTGGTCAGTCAGTTCTCACCAGTTGGCAGGGTTCCACCTCTCTAGCCGTTTGAGCTTTCGACATTTTCAACTATCTGCCTTTCTGAAAGGAGGATCTCTATGAAAAAGAATTGAACAAACCTGTAGAGGTTGCAGATTCTTTGAATAGTGTCCTCCTTGGGGTACGGCCACCCACCTCCCCACATTCTGTCTGTTAACATTCAGCATGGGAAGTGAGGTATGAGGTTTATAGCCTTACCCCCTGTGCTGTTGAGCGCATGTTTGTTTGTGAATATTCATCAAATTTAATGGTTAGTTTACTTAATTCAAGAGTGTTATACGGAACAACAAAATTCCGATTAATCGAAAATGTTTTTTACAATCGATAATTATTTTTAATCCTTCTTTCAATCGATCTTAATCGATGTCAGCAAATAGATATGCAATTTGACCATGTAATTGTCTGCTTATAAACTGTACATCTTGATTTATGTTTTTAATCTATTTTGTTCATTTTATTTAAAATTTATTCAATATTGTTTACAGTGAATTTGGTGATGTTTTTTGTGTGTGAAGTTCTCAGCAATGCACCAACTGGTTTACAGCAACCATGATGAGGTTACCCTATTCACGCCTTGAATGAACTTTGGTTATTTCTGGACAGCCGTGAAGCCTCTGAAGCATGCAGAATGCTCTCCGGTTGATCATGTGACTCCTTTGTCTGATCATTCTCTTTCTGGTCTCAAAGTAGTGCAAACGTGCTGTAGTTGACTTTATGATTTTACTCAGGCCTAAAACACCCAAGAACAAGCAAGATTCTTCATCTAAAAACGGAAATTGTGCTATAAATGCAAGAAAACCTTTTCGAATGCAGATTTACATTCTGCGTGCATTGATTGTATCGGTCTTTGGGACTTGGTGTCACGATGTCAGTTCTTCAAGACTTCACTATTGATAAGTTTAAGGCATACAGAAAAGTATGCTGACGGCGATTGAACGAGCAGGCTTCCAGGCAGAAGTCGGAAAATGGTAATCGTTTAAGATGGCCAAGAAGGATAGGCCTTTCATGACGTCACATAGATCCTTGCCGCCGAGCGTAGACCGGGGGAAGACTTTCTGGATGTCTTATCAGACTCTAATTTGAAGGAAAATTTGATACGCTTCTTCCGCTCTGATGTAGACCTGCCCAAGCCTATGGTGGCGTCCAGAGTGGTGGTGGTTAATTGGTCCAGTCTTCAGTGAATCAGCCGTCTATGATGGTTATAGCACAGCTTACGACTTCACCTGTATCCATGTCCAACGAACCCATCAAAGTCCATTCGCCTATTATTGACAGTCTAGTGTCAGCTTCACATCTCCTGAACCACTGATCGACAAACCGTACCAGTTTGATAATGGCGATCGTATTGAGTCCGGCGACCAATCCCAGTTTGGCATTTCATCTCAATTCTGTGGACCAGTTCTGTTCGGCTAACCACCCCAGTTTGGAGAGCCATGTTATGGCAATACGAACCAGTTGGGAAGGCCACTTAGGTTCAGCAAACCGCATCAGTTCGGAGGGGCAGTTTGGTTAGGAAATAGGAACCAGTTCGGAGGGCCAGTTTGGTTCAGCAACAGGAACCAGTTTGGAAAGGCCAGTTCGATTCAGCAAACCGCACCATGTTGGAGGGCCAGTTTGGTTTGGCCACTCGAATCTGTGAAAGGCCAGTTTGGTTCGGCAAATTACCAATTTGCGACATGAACCAGTTTTGAAGGTCACGTTGGTTCGGAGAACCGCGCCAGTTCGGCAGGCCAGTCCAGTTCGGCGAATAGCACCAGTTCACTCTGCTTCGGCAATGCCAGTCCGGTTTTGCGAATCGCACCAGTCTGGGTGGTTCTGCAGTTCGTTACAGTCCGGTGATTCTATTCAGTTTGGATCTTTACATCGTGCTTCAGCATCTCGTCTTGAGTGACTATGAACCTCTAGACGAAAATCCCTTACTGAAGGAGATGCCAGAAATGTCATTCAAGCCCCTTAAAGAACTATATCAGTGGCAATGTGAGCTGACACAGTCAGCATGTATCCTCACCTCCATATTTATCACAATATTGCAGCCATAAGACATCAGTCTCAAAAGTGACACTGAGTGAAGTAATTGTGTGCATAAATGAATAACAAGTAAACTTATACATGTTCTTTGGTTACCAATGAAATAAATATTATGAGGACCGACTTGTTACCAGTGTGTCAACACAAAACAGCGGCATCTACTGGAGGTACACAAGCGACAAAGCATCGTGAAAAACAATGCAAGGCAAACATGTTTTTATTGCAAATGTAAGGATTCTGTATGCACTGATGAAATGCTTGGCTTGTAGAGGTTGTACGTGTGCGTGTGTGATGATAATGGTATATTACATTTGACCCTTTTCTAATGGCTTTGGGTATTCATAGCTTTGGACATGGAAGCTGTGCTATGTACACTTGTCTGAGGGGAACACAAGTATGTGATCTGGACTACCAGTTGTCAGACTTCCATTTTTGTGGAAGCCATGGTTGCTGACTTTGGGTGCTGGCGATAAGGTGACTTGCTCTGAGAGTGGAGTTCGAATCCTGAATTCCCCCTCAATAGGACTACAATCTGTACGTACCTAAGAAAGTGTAATCCCAAATATAACATGTAACATATTTATGTTTCTACAGGGTACATAGTAAAAGTATTGAGAGTTTTTGCTATGTGATGGTTGTTGCAGGTTAATACCTTGTCAGTGGAGGTCCAGTCGGAGTTCTTGGAGGTCCTAAATGAGGTCCAGAATAACAGCAGTGTGAGCGGCGTTGTCCTCATATCCTCTAAACCGGGATGTTTCATTGCAGGCGCAGATATTGGGTAAATATGTTGTAGTTTGCATTTTGATTATCATTAAAGTGTTCAGATTCCCCACAAAGGTTAGGTGTATATCAGCCCAACAAACGTCGTGCTCTCATTGGCTGTTGTTGCATCTCGTTGTCACAAGTGTTGAGGATTGTGGTCCTGGAAACTTGTTAAGACACATATTTTCATCCTGGTTGTTCCCAAGGCCACAATACCAAGAATGGTTTAAACAATAATTCATAAATTTAGTGTTGTTAGGGGCAATTCAAACAATAGTGTTTGCAATAAATACACTTAGTTTAACTAGTGTCAGATCAAGGCCACTTTGAAGGTCAAGTGTTATTATTATGAATTATGCTGTCGTTGCCTTGAGGTTGACTAATGGGCTTGGACCAAACTTACTGACTTTGCTGACATGTCATTGTGTCTGAATTGTGCAGATAAATGCTCATGATATAAGTCACTGGATTGCCAAGTCCAGACTTGATTATGTACAGACTGCCATCTTTAATAACTTTTCCCTGTATCCCGTTAAATCGGTATTGGTGCTCACATTTTGACATTTTCTGTACTGTTTTGCACAGTAAGCTTCATGTTCACTCACATGTGATTAGACAAGCAGAGAGCAGACTGCAGCAGATTGGGGCATAAGAAGGAAGAATTATCAGATTTATTGTCACCTGCTTCACTGATACATTGGGATAATGCCTCAGTGTGGTGTTGTAAGCTAATTCTGCATGACACTCAGGTGTTATGCAGGAGCACCTCTTCACCATGTGAGGAGAGATCTTGCTGCTCATCCCTATGTTGGTCAAGGCCAGCAGGAGAGATGCTGCTCATCCCTATGTTGGTCAAGGAGCAGAAATGCTTTAGTGGTTTGAAAGGGGCCACCAATGTATGTCCAGGCCCAGCCTATATCATGGATCCTGTAGGCTTGAAAAGAAGGAACTGGCCTTCGACAGATGTCATGCTTCCCTTTTAATATCAATGCGTTAACAAGATTACATCTTATCTAATTGGATCACCAGGGCACATTAGACTTGAGATGCCATGTATCAGCAAGAGAGTGCCTTAGATCTACAATGCTCCCTTTCTACTCCTTCCTATGATTGATGAAGACCTCGATGATCTGGTGAAGACCTCGATGATCTGGTGAAGACCTCCATGATCTGGTGAAGACCTCCATGATCTGGTGAAGACCTCCATGATCTGGTGAAGACCTCCATGATCTGGTGAAGACCTCCATGATCTGGTGAAGACCTCCATGATCTGGTGAAGACCTCCATGATCTGGTGAAGACCTCCATGATCTGGTGAAGACCTCCATGATCTGGTGAAGACCTCCATGATCTGGTGAAGACCTCCATGATCTGGTGAAGACCTCCATGATCTGGTGAAGACCTCCATGATTTGGTGAAGACCTCCATGATCTGGTGAAGAAGTCCAAAACAAGGATGCAGGTTGAGTTGGTTATAATCGGAGACCTGGACAATGTCAACAAGCAGATGTGAAATATCAGCTCTTGCCTGAACTGGGTTGCTTTTGTGCAATCTTCTATCCAACTTAGCAGGGCACAGGTCTTCCCTTTGATTCTCAAATCAACATCACTCTGCAATAGGCTACATTACAGCTCGACAATATGTTCAAAATGCTGGTAAAACTTCCAGGCAGCACTGATATGGATGTAAGTACAGATCTTATGGAAACAAAAATCATCTCATTCTGCTTCACCCAATACCGTATTAATATGTCATTTGCTTCCGTAGCTGTTTAACAGAACTGAGTTGTCACAACCTAGATCTGTCACACAGATGTGCACATCTTCAACAGGTCTTTAAGACTTTAAGACATCTTCAACAGGAGACTAAAGAATATCATTAAAGCATTCATCAGGACAACCAACCATAGGTTTCTTGAGTCTACTGTTAGCATGGCCTCCAAGATCCAGCAGTGACAGGCGGACTACCAGAGTCAATGAGATCCTCCCAACAGGATGACGTTACATGTGGACATCACATCTCAGAAGACATTTAAACTGGCAGTGAAATCAGAAATTGATCTGGGCATGACGTCACAATATGTCATGGGACCCACAATGAAGGCTGCTATCTAGGGAAACTACCCAGTAGTCCCTTTCATGGTGTACATGCTAGGGGTGACTATTGAGGGGAAGCATATAAAATGTACAGTTTGATTTTTCGACGATAGCTGAAAAAATACTGACGCATTTAAGCCTAAACTGTGAATGAAGACCTAAAATAACTATATATAAAATTGACAGCAAAAAACTGACACAGGGTGGAAGCTGCTGAGGAGGTTGTCATATTTTTCGTGTTTAAAAGAGATCATTTTCCGCGATCTTGTTTCGACACTTAGGAGGGTTCCCTTATTTAACGCACAATTGCAAGAAATAGGGTGTCAAGCTATTACAGAAAGATCTGTAAATTTCTAGACCCCTCTGCCAAATGGCAAAACCTGATATACTTGCAAAATAATGAAAATGCGAGGGAAAACTTACTATTACTCTTGCGCCACATGTTCATCTTCCACTGTCCAGCGAGGAAATGGAGTTGCTTCAAAAGCTCTTCCACCCTGACAAGAAACTAAAACCCCAGATCAGGTTTGAGAGGTAACGGGCGGATAACTCTAAATCAAAGTAAACAAATGTCTTACTACCTATATTTTATGCTACGCATTTATCAACAAAAGTCAATTACTAAACTATCGATAGTCACACATATTATTGATGCATCGAGTAGTTTTTCGTTTGTACCATCGATTAATTGCTATCGGAGACTCTACAATTGCAATCGATCGATAGTTCGATGCATCGTTACAGCCCTAATACATGCTGTTCAAAAGAAATATCAAGCAGAAGTTTCATTTTGAATAATTCTAATAATATTTCCTCTGAAACATGAGGAATTAGTCCCTTCCATCTCCCCTGATATATGTCTGCTTATCATGATGTCAGTAATGGATTATTAATGTGATGGTTTCCACCCCACATATGCACGGTGGCATTCCCTGATGAGGGGAGGGTTTCCACCCCACATATGCACGGTGGCATTCCCTGATGAGGGGAGGGTTTCCACCCCACACATGCACGGTGGCATTCCCTGATGAGGGGAGGGTTTCCACCCCACATATGCACGGTGGCATTCCCTGATGAGGGGAGGGTTTTCAGCCCACACATGCACGGTGGCATTCCCTGATGAGGGGAGGGTTTCCACCCCACACATGCACGATGGCATTCCCTGATGAGGGGAGGGTTTCCACCCCACACATGCACGGTGGCATTCCCTGATGAGGGGAGGGTTTCCACCCCACACATGCACGGTGGCATTCCCTGATGAGGGGAGGGTTTCCACCCCACATATGCACGGTGGCATTCCCTGATGAGGGGAGGGTTTCCACCCCACATATGCACGGTGGCATTCCCTGATGAGGGGAGGGTTTCCACCCCACATATGCACGGTGGCATTCCCTGATGAGGGGAGGGTTTCCACCCCACATATGCACGGTGGCATTCCCTGATGAGGGGAGGGTTTTCCTTACATCCGTTAGATATGTTGTCAGTGAAGAAGATGAACATTAAATAAATTTTGCCAATACTCAGTCTAAACTGAATTTATGGCTATAATGCAATAGAGATAGTGTTCCTAAACTTATACACAGTAGTGATATTACAGACAATTAGGGTGTGTTGTACGTCACATGTCTAGGATGATTAGACCTTCACTACAAAGGAGGGAATGTTGTCTCTGTGTGTCTGTTACTGTTCTATGATGATTAGACCTGTACTACAGAGGAGGGAATGTTGTCTCAGTGTGTCTGTTACTGTTCTATGATGATTAGACCTGCACCACAGAGGAGGGAATGTTGTCTCTGTGTGTCTGTTACTGTTCTATGATGATTAGACCTGTACTACAGAGGAGGAAATGTTGTCTCTGTGTGTCTGTTACTGTTCTATGATGATTAGACCTGTACTACAGAGGAGGGAATGTTGTCTCAGTGTCTGTTACTGTTCTATGATGATTAGACCTGTACTACAGAGGAGGGAATGTTGTCTCAGTGTGTCTGTTACTGTTCCAGGATGATTGATTCCTGCAAGACTGAGGAGGAAGTGATGAGAATATCTCAGGCCGGACAACAAGCCTTCCAGACAATGGAGGACAGTCCCAAACCCATTGTTGCTGCCATCATGGGATCGTGCCTTGGTGGTGGTCTGGAGGTGGGTGACCACAGACTGGTTCATTGTGCATTTCTACTTGCTGTCCCAAATGTTTGAGATTTGTTTTTAATTTGCACTTGGGGTTTGTAATAAAATTTCTTCATTAATTCATATGTTTCTTATGCCAGTCAATGAAAAGTATTTCCACAGACATAATTTTTGAAACATGTAACTGGATGGTAACTGTGTAGCCTGCTGCCATCTGCATTGGTCTGTTTAATCAACTGAGATGAAGTCTGAATGTGTTGTGTAAGCAGTGATTTCTCTGACACTGGTTAATGTGTTGCAGGTTGCCCTGGCCTGTCAGTACCGACTGGCTGTGAAGGATCGCAAGACCAGTCTGGCTGTACCGGAAGTGATGCTCGGTCTTCTCCCTGGGGCAGGGGGCACACAAAGACTGCCAAGACTTGTCAGTACATTGTCACACAAGTTCATTTGTGATCATTTTAATGTAATTTAAAGACTTAAGACACTAAGCGCACAAATCAGCCAAATGTTTGTCTGGTTTGGTTCTATAAAGAACTAGTTTGAAAAGGCTTCTTATCAAAAACTTTTTCAAGGTTGAACTTTAAAGGTTTACTTATTGATCATTTAGTCTAAGGAAGAATAAGACACACTGACAAACAACTTTATCATCACAATAAGGTGCGAAACTTAACTGTAGGTTTTAACACAGTTATTAAGCAAGTAATGATTTCACAGAGAACCTACACTGAAATGTGACTCCTAATTGTAATAGTCATCTGTCATCCATGTTTCTTATCTTTCCTTAGTACTCTGACTTCTAAATGCCCCTCAAGGATCAAGTGATCAATTTGTCTACAATGAAATCACTGTACGGTTGAAATAATGATCAGATCACCCTTAAGATTAACTGATTCTGTTGGAGCTCAGTAACCTCAGTGTGTGGAGCTCAGTAACCTCAGTGTGTGGAGCTCAGTAACCTCAGTGTGTGGAGCTCAGTAACCTCAGTGTGTGAAGCTCAGTAACCTCAGTGTGTGAAGCTCAGTAACCTCAGTGTGTGGAGCTCAGTAACCTCAGTGTGTGGAGCTCAGTAACCTCAGTGTGTGGAGCTCAGTAACCTCAGTGTGTGGAGCCTAACAGTGTGTGGAGCTCAGTAACCTCAGTGTGTGGAGCTCAGTAACCTCAGTGTGTGGAGCTCAGTAACCTCAGTGTGTGGAGCTCAGTAACCTCAGTGTGTGAAGCTCAGTAACCTCAGTGTGTGGAGCTCAGTAACCTCAGTGTGTGGAGCTCAGTAACCTCAGTGTGTGGAGCTCAGTTCAGTGTGTGAGCTAACCTCAGTGTGTGGAGCTCAGTAACCTCAGTGTGTGGAGATGTTTCAGCTGTTGTTTCTCATGTTGTTTCAGATTAGTGTCCCAAATGCCCTTGACATGATGTTGACTGGAAAAAATATTCGTCCAGACAAAGCCAAGAAGATGGGCCTTGTTGATAGCTTGATAGATCCTCTAGGTATGTTTCATTGGCATTCTGTATGACAGTCCGAACTGACAGAGCAAACTGGGTGGTCTGTATCTCAACAAACTGGGTGGTCCATACCTCAACAAACTGGGTGGTCAATAACTCAACAAACTGGTGGTCAATACCTCAACAAACTGGGTAGTCCTTACCTCAACAAACTGGGCACTCAGTACCTCAACAAACTCGGTTGTCAGTACCTAACCAAACTGGGCATCAGTACCACAGCAGACTGTAGAAATTGATTTATTTGATGAATTCTGATTAATGTGTTTTGTAAATAGATATATTTTAAAGATTGGTAATTTAGATTAGTAACTTATATTGTTAGTGGCTGTACCCTCAAAGGGGGTTAAAGTAGTGTAAAATTATTGTCCTTCTGAGAGGGTACGTAAGTCCCAAAACTTTCAAAGTAAAATGTAAATTTACCATATTTTAAACGTAGTATCTTTGTTCTTTTAACTGCCGGCTAAATTTTCCTACAATCGCCAGCAGCTGAAGGGATGGTGTAAATCCAGCTAGGGTCCATGCAGGTAGCAAAAGTAATGCAAGTCCCCATGGTTCCTAGTATGGTGATCTACCTTCAGTTGTTGGCGATCTATAGCCTGTCTTTGATACTGTATTGACTTCTTTAATTGGAATGTTTTAACTTTGCTCGCTAGTTTTATATTCATAGCTGTGATTCTCTAGTGATTTTACTGTCCATCATTGACAAGTTTTAATCTTCAAAGTATTTTCACTATTTATTGTATAAATTGTTTTCGTCACGATATGGCTGAGATATTGCCGATGTGACGTTAAATATTAACTCACTCACTCACCCTAAGCTTGGCTCTCTTCCCATTGAACTCACTACCGCTCCAAATCTAACTCGCCCCGACCCTCCACTCATTTAAGAAGGCCCTTAATACATTCCTTTTTACTAAAGCCTACAACTGACTTTTCCCTTCTTTTGTAAATAGTTTTAATTTGCCATGAGCATGCATGAGTGAGTGGACACTGGCTCTTTGTAAATATCCACTATTATTACTATTATTGTTATGTTATTATTAAACCACATTTCTGATCAACATAATTGTGCAGTTATATTTAATGATAGATGCAGAAGACACTGCTCCATGTGTAACTGGTTTCAATGTGTTCTGTAGGTCCTGGCGTTGCTGCCCCGGAGGAGAGAACTCTTCAGTATTTGGAGGATGTGGCCATTCAAACAGCCAGGTAATGTCTCATGGCATGACAGTTGGTAGGAGGAGTGCTTGTGGTGGTATTGCTGGAATACTGTTGTTTCCCAATAAGTGCCATTGATAGTACATTTTCACATATCCTTATGTTGCACATTGTTGCTACGGCCAAGTACTTGCTTTAGATGCATGACAACCTGTCATTCATGTTCCACAAATATCATGAAGTCCTAACACAAGGAATAAGTCTTCCAGCATGATTCATGGTAGCAGCATGGATTTTTGCTTCCATGCATTAAAATACTCAGAATAATATTCTGCTGAGAAAAATAAAGATGGATTATACAATCATTGAACTTGGCAAGATACACCTACAAAAAAACAGATTCCTAAAAAAACAACCAAAAGATATCTACTTTCATGCCTTGCTAAATCAGCGAATACGTGTGTACTGACTTAAAGGGGTAGGTCTTCAAATATGAGATGACACGATGGTCTGGGAGGTAATGTCGGCTTATAGTTACTGATGATGCTCATAGAATGACATCCATTTTCACTTAGTAGTAACAGTACTTAAATATGTAAGCAGGATAAGTGTTTAAAAAATACTGTGATTGTGTAATGTTTTCAGTTCTTGAATATCAGAGATTGTAACAGAGATGAACATGAAGTTTTCCTTCTAAAACCATGGATCCTAACATCTTGTAACTTGTTGGAGCACCAGTGAGGTACCTGCTGCCGTCACTCACATGGTCTAAATCAAACATTGTCTAACATCTTGTAACTTGTTGGAGCACCAGTGAGGTACCTGCTGCCGTCACTCACATGGTCTAAATCAAACATTGTCTAACATCTTGTAACTTGTTGGAGCACCAGTGAGGTACCTGCTGCCGTCACTCACATGGTCTAAATCAAACATTGTCTAACATCTTGTAACTTGTTGGAGCACCAGTGAGGTACCTGCTGCCGTCACTCACATGTTCTAAATCAAACATTGTTTTACTTGAACAGGGGTCTAGCAAACGGGACGCTAAAGAAGACACCCAGGAACAAAGGTTTACAAGACAGTAAGTGTTCAGTGACTCAAGTGATAGATGTAAGCCTCCATCATCAGGCATTTAGAAGTTGGAGCTGTAAGGAAAGAGAAGAAAGGGGGAACAACTTATTTATTACAGTATTACTGAGTAACACAGATGGTGTTCCTCCATATATATTACTGAGTAATACAGAGGGTGGTCCACCATATATATATTACTGAGTAATACAGAGGATGGTCCACCATATATATTTACTGAGTAATACAGAGGGTGGTCCACCATATATATTACTGAGTAATACAGAGGGTGGTCCACCATATATATATTACTGAGTAATACAGAGGATGGTCCACCATATATATATTACAGAGGGTGGTCCAATATATATACTGAGTAATACAGAGGATGGTCCACCATATATATATTACTGAGTAATACAGAGGATGGTCCACCATATATATATTACTGAGTAATACAGAGGGTGTTCCACCATATATATTACTGAGTAATACAGAGGGTGGTCCACCATATATATATTACTTAGTAATACAGAGGATGGTCCACCATATATATATTACTGAGTAATACAGAGGGTGGTCCACCATATATATTACTGAGTAATACAGAGGGTGGTCCACCATATATATTACTGAGTAATACAGAGGATGGTCCACCATATATATTACTGAGTAATACAGAGGATGGTCCACCATATATATATTACTGAGTAATACAGAGGGTGGTCCACCATATATATTACTGAGTAATACAGAGGGTGGTCCACCATATATATATTACTGAGTAATACAGAGGGTGGTCCACCATATATATATTACTGAGTAATACAGAGGGGTGGTCCACCATATATATTACTGAGTAATACAGAGGGTGGTCCACCATATATATATACTGAGTAATACAGAGGATGGTCCACCATATATATTACTGAGTAATACAGAGGATGGTCCACCATATATATTTACTGAGTAATACAGAGGGTGGTCCACCATATATATATTACTTAGAGTAATACAGAGGGTGGTCCACCATATATATTACTGAGTAATACAGAGGGTGGTCCACCATATATATATTACTGAGTAATACAGAGGGTGGTCCACCATATATATATTACTTAGTAATACAGAGGGTGGTCCACCATATATATATTACTGAGTAATACAGAGGATGGTCCACCATATATATTACTGAGTAATACAGAGGGTGGTCCACCATATATATTACTGAGTAATACAGAGGGTGGTCCACCATATATATATTACTGAGTAATACAGAGGGTGGTCCACCATATATATTACTGAGTAATACAGAGGGTGGTCCACCATATATATATTACTGAGTAATACAGAGGGTGGTCCACCATATATATATTACTGAGTAATACAGAGGGTGGTCCACCATATATATTACTGAGTAATACAGAGGATGGTCCACCATATATATTACTGAGTAATACAGAGGGTGGTCCACCATATATATATTACTGAGTAATACAGAGGATGGTCCACCATATATATATTACTGAGTAATACAGAGGGTGGTCCACCATATATATTACTGAGTAATACAGAGGGTGGTCCACCATATATATTACTGAGTAATACAGAGGGTGGTCCACCATATATATTACTGAGTAATACAGAGGGTGGTCCACCATATATATTACTGAGTAATACAGAGGGTGGTCCACCATATATATTACTGAGGAGTAATACAGAGGATGGTCCACCATATATATATTACTGAGTAATACAGAGGGTGGTCCACCATATATATTACTGAGTAATACAGAGGGTGGTCCACCATATATATTACTGAGTAATACAGAGGGTGGTCCACCATATATATTACTGAGTAATACAGAGGGTGGTCCACCATATATATTACTGAGTAATACAGAGGGTGGTCCACCATATATATTACTGAGTAATACAGAGGGTGGTCCACCATATATATTACTATAATACTGAGTAAATACAGAGGGTGGTCCACCATATATATATTACTGAGTAATACAGAGGGTGGTCCACCATATATATTACTGAGTAATACAGAGGGTGGTCCACCATATATATTACTGAGTAATACAGAGGTGAGTCAGAGGGTGGTCCACCATATATATTACTGAGTAATACAGAGGGTGGTCCACCATATATATTACTGAGTAATACAGAGGGTGGTCCACCATATATATTACTGAGTAATACAGAGGGTGGTCCACCATATATATTACTGAGTAATACAGAGGGTGGTCCACCATATATATTACTGAGTAATACAGAGGGTGGTCCACCATATATATTACTGAATAATACAGAGGGTGGTCCACCATATATATTACTGAGTAATACAGAGGGTGGTCCACCATATATATTACTGAGTAATACAGAGGGTGGTCCACCATATATATATTACTGAGTAATACAGAGGGTGGTCCACCATATATATTACTGAGTAATACAGAGGGTGGTCCACCATATATATTACTGAGTAATACAGAGGGTGGTCCACCATATATATTACTGAGTAATACAGAGGGTGGTCCACCATATATATATTACTGAGTAATACAGAGGGTGGTCCACCATATATATTACTGAATAATACAGAGGGTGGTCCACCATATATATATTACTTAGTAATACAGAGGGTGGTCCACCATATATATATTACTGAGTAATACAGAGGGTGGTCCACCATATATATTACTGAGTAATACAGAGGATGGTCCACCATATATATGTATACTTTGTAATACAGAGGATGGTCCACCATATATATTACTGAGTAATACAGAGGGTGGTCCACCATATATTACTGAGTAATACAGAGGGTGGTCCACCATATATATATTACTGAGTAATACAGAGGGTGGTCCACCATATATATTACTGAGTAATACAGAGGGTGGTCCACCATATATGTTACTGAGTAATACAGAGGGTGGTCCACCATATATATATTACTTAGTAATACAGAGGGTGGTCCACCATATATATTACTGAGTAATACAGAGGGTGGTCCACCATATATGTTACTGAGTAATACAGAGGATGGTCCACCATATATATTACTGAGTAATACAGAGGGTGGTCCACCATATATATATTACTTAGTAATACAGAGGGTGGTCCACCATATATATATTACTTAGTAATACAGAGGGTGGTCCACCATATATATTACTGAGTAATACAGAGGGTGGTCCACCATATATATTACTGTAATACAGAGGGTGGTCCACCTTATATATTACTGAGTAATACAGAGGGTGGTCCACCATATATATTACTGAGTAATACAGAGGGTGGTCCACCATATATATTACTGAGTAATACAGAGGGTGGTCCACCATATATATTACTGAGTAATACAGAGGGTGGTCCACCATATATATTACTGAGTAATACAGAGGGTGGTCCACCATATATATTACTGGAGTAATACAGAGGGTGACCATATATATTACTGAGTAATGCACAGAGGGTATATATAATACTGAGTAATACAGAGGGTGGTCCACCATATATATTACTGAGTAATACAGAGGGTGATCCTCCATATATATTACTGGAGTAATACAGAGGGTGTTCCTCCATATATATACTGAGTAATACAGAGGGTGTTCCACCATATATATATTACTGAGTAATACAGAGGGTGGTCCACCATATATATGTTACTGAGTAATACAGAGGGTGATCCTCCATATATATTACTGAGTAATACAGAGGGTGATCCTCCATATATATTACTGAGTAATACAGAGGGTGGTCCACCATATATATTACTGAGTAATACAGAGGGTGTTCCTCCATATATATTACTGAGTAATACAGAGGGTGGTCCACCATATATATATTACTGAGTAATATAGAGGGTGGTCCACCATATATATTACTGAGTAATACAGAGGGTGTTCCTCCATATATATTACTGAGTAATACAGAGGGTGTTCCTCCATATATATTACTCACTAATACAGAGGGTGGTCCACCATATATATATTACTCAGTAATACAGAGGGTGTTCCTCCATATATGTTACTCAGTAATACAGAGGGTGATCCTCCATATATATTACTCAGTAATACAGAGGGTGGTCCACCATATATACTACTGAGTAATACAGAGGGTGGTCCACCATATATATATTACTTAGTAATACAGAGGGTGGTCCACCATATATATTACTGAGTAATACAGAGGATGGTCCACCATATATATATTACTGAGTAATACAGAGGATGGTCCACCATATATATATTACTGAGTAATACAGAGGGTGGTCCACCATATATATTACTGAGTAATACAGAGGGTGGTCCACCATATATATTACTGAGTAATACAGAGGGTGGTCCACCATATATATTACTGAGTAATACAGAGGGTGATCCTCCATATATATTACTGAGTAATACAGAGGGTGTTCCACCATATATATTACTGAGTAATACAGAGGGTGATCCTCCATATATATTACTGAGTAATACAGAGGGTGATCCTCCATATATATTACTGAGTAATACAGAGGGTGGTCCACCATATATATTACTGAATAATACAGAGGGTGGTCCACCATATATATTACTGAATAATACAGAGGGTGGTCCACCATATATATTACTGAGTAATACAGAGGGTGATCCTCCATATATATATTAGTAATACAGAGATTGAGTAATACAGAGGGTGGTCCACCATATATATATTACTTAGTAATACAGAGGGTGGTCCACCATATATATTACTGAGTAATACAGAGGGTGGTCCACCATATATATTACTGAGTAATACAGAGGGTGGTCCACCATATATATTACTGAGTAATACAGAGGGTGGTCCACCATATATATTACTGAGTAATACAGAGGGTGGTCCACCATATATATTTACTGAGTAATACAGAGGGGTGGTCCACCATATATATATTACTGGTAATACAGAGGGTGGTCCACCATATATATTACTGAGTAATACAGAGGGTGGTCCACCATATATATTACTGAGTAATACAGAGGATGGTCCACCATATATATTACTGAGTAATACAGAGGGTGGTCCACCATATATATATTACTTAGTAATACAGAGGGTGGTCCACCATATATATTACTGAGTAATACAGAGGGTGGTCCACCATATATATTACTGAGTAATACAGAGGGTGGTCCACCATATATATTACTGAGTAATACAGAGGGTGGTCCACCTTATATATATTACTGAGTAATACAGAGGGTGATCCTCCATATATATTACTGAGTAATACAGAGGGTGGTCCACCTTATATATTACTGAGTAATACAGAGGGTGGTCCACCATATATATTACTGAGTAATACAGAGGGTGGTCCACCATATATATTACTGAGTAATACAGAGGGTGGTCCACCTTATATATTACTGAGTAATACAGAGGGTGATCCTCCATATATATTACTGAGTAATACAGAGGGTGGTCCACCATATATATTACTGAGTAATACAGAGGGTGATCCTCCATATATATTACTGAGTAATACAGAGGGTGTTCCTCCATATATATTACTGAGTAATACAGAGGGTGTTCCACCATATATATATTACTGAGTAATACAGAGGGTGGTCCACCATATATGTTACTGAGTAATACAGAGGGTGATCCTCCATATATATTACTGAGTAATACAGAGGGTGATCCTCCATATATATTACTGAGTAATACAGAGGGTGGTCCACCATATATATTACTGAGTAATACAGAGGGTGTTCCTCCATATATATTACTGAGTAATACAGAGGGTGGTCCACCATATATATATTACTGAGTAATATAGAGGGTGGTCCACCATATATATTACTGAGTAATACAGAGGGTGTTCCTCCATATATATTACTGAGTAATACAGAGGGTGTTCCTCCATATATATTACTCACTAATACAGAGGGTGGTCCACCATATATATATTACTCAGTAATACAGAGGGTGTTCCTCCATATATGTTACTCAGTAATACAGAGGGTGATCCTCCATATATATTACTCAGTAATACAGAGGGTGTTCCTCCATATACTGTAGGGTCGGTGGGGTAGCCTAGTGGTTAAAGCGATCGGCTCGTCACGCCGAAGACCCGGGTTCGAATCCCCACATGGGTACAATGTGTGAAGCCCATTTCTGGTGTCCCCCGCCGTGATGTTGCTGGAATATTGCTAAAAGCGGCGTTAAACTAAACTCAGTCAGTCAGTCAGGCCATATACTGTTATCCTTCCATCATACGTACATCGTCCAGTAGCTGCACCTGACCTCCATATATATGACAGTAATAAAGAGGATGTTCCTCCATGTACTGTTATCCTTCCACTCACATGTCCTGTTCATTTCTTCCCAACAGAAATCATGGACACCCTGTTACAGTATGACTTCGGCAAGAACTTTGTTTTCAAGAAAGCTCGAGGGCAGGTGATGAAATTGTCACAGGGACTTTATCCAGCCCCTCTGAAGATATTGGAAGTAAGAAGTTTGAAAGTAGTCCTGTGTATGTTGGGTAGTTAGTACAAGCAGCCTTTGGATTTGCAGTGTATGCTTTAATTTATATTTTCACCACCTGCACCATGTCATCAACAATCCTATCACTGTCGCTGACAGTAGATCAAACCTTATTTGCCGACAGAGAGGGATGTTCATGGCCAACTCTACTAATTCCTGAACTGCTCACAATACTGCATGTTATATTTGTGATTACACCCGGTGGCTGAGCAGGTTAGGTGTCTGAGTTTGTGTGCAGGCGATTGAGTGCCTGACTTTACTAAGAAAGTGTAATCCCAAATATAACAAATGTTACATTTGACCACTTTCTAAAAACTACCACTTGTCCAACTTCCATTTTTGTGGAAACCGCATTGGCTGAGCGGTTTAGGCTGACTTTGTGTGCTGGCGATTAGGTGCCTGACTCTGAGGGTGTGGGTTCAAATCCCGGATGGGACTCAACCCAACAAAAGTACTAAAATGTGTACTTTACTAAGAAAGTGTAATTCCAAATATGACAACTGTTACATTTGACTTTCTAAATGGCATTGTGTATTCACATGTGTCTAGTCATTGCATGCAGTGGCTCAATACTTATGGAACATGTGTCTAGTCATTGCATGCAGTGGCTCAGTACTTATGGAACATGTGTCTAGTCATTGCATGCAGTGGCTCAGTACTTATGGAACGTGTCTAGGCATACAGGGGGTAAAACTAGAAATATACTCAGATTGTAAGTGATTGTAGGTTTTGATAAGAGACTACTTGATACCTTTGTAAATGTGTAACCGTAATGTTTTGTACTGACAACAGGTGGTGAGGACTGGTCTTGATGAAGGGAAGGAAGCTGGATACAAGGCGGAGGCAAAGGTAGTCACAGTTCACTCAGTTCTTGCAGCATGATATGTGTGTCAGGACTTGTGTGTTCAAGTCTTCCTGATTGTACTTGGTGCCAGGACTTGTGTGTTCAAGTCTTCCTGATTGTACTTGGTGCCAGGACTTGTGTGTTCAAGTCTTCCTGATTGTACTTGGTGTCAGGACTTGTGTGTTCAAGTCTTCCTGATTGTGCTTGGTGTCAGGACTTGTGTGTTCAAGTCTTCCTGATTGTGCTTGGTGTCGGTGTCAGGACTTGTGTGTTCAAGTCTTCCTGATTGTACTTGGTGTCAGGACTTGTGTGTTAAAGTCTCCCTGATTGTACTTGGTGTCAGGACTTGTGTGTTAAAGTCTTCCTGATTGTACTTGGTGTCAGGACTTGTGTGTTCAAGTCTTCCTGATTGTACTTGGTGTCAGGACTTGTGTGTTCAAGTCTTCCTGATTGTACTTGGTGTCAGGACTTGTGTGTTAAAGTCTCCCTGATTGTACTTGGTGTCAGGACTTGTGTGTTAAAGTCTCCCTGATTGTACTTGGTGCCAGGACTTGTGTGTTCAAGTCTTCCTGATTGTACTTGGTGTTAGGACTTGTGTGTTCAAGTCTTCCTGATTGTACTTGGTGTCAGGACTTGTGTGTTAAAGTCTCCCTGATTGTGCTTGGTGTCAGGACTTGTGTGTTAAAGTCTTCCTGATTGTGCTTGGTGTCAGGACTTGTGTGTTCAAGTCTTCCTGATTGTACTTGGTGTCAGGACTTGTGTGTTAAAGTCTCCCTGATTGTACTTGGTGTCAGGACTTGTGTGTTCAAGTCTTCCTGATTGTACTTGGTGTCAGGACTTGTGTGTTAAAGTCTCCCTGATTGTACTTGGTGTCAGGACTTGTATGTTCAAGTCTTCCTGATTGTACTTGGTGTCAGGACTTGTGTGTTCAAGTCTTCCTGATTGTACTTGGTGCCAGGACTTGTGTGTTCAAGTCTTCCTGATTGTGCTTCCTGGTGTCAGGACTTGTGTGTTCAAGTCTTCCTGATTGTACTTGGTGCCAGGACTTGTGTGTTCAAGTCTTCCTGATTGTACTTGGTGTCAGGACTTGTGTGTTCAAGTCTTCCTGATTGTACTTGGTGTCAGGACTTGTGTGTTCAAGTCTTCCTGATTGTGCTTGGTGTCAGGACTTGTGTGTTAAAGTCTTCCTGATTGTACTTGGTGCCAGGACTTGTGTGTTCAAGTCTTCCTGATTGTACTTGGTGACAGGACTTGTGTTCAGGTGCTTCTGATTGTGCTTGGTGCCAGGAGTGAACATTGAACATCCCAGATAAATGAAATGCTTGTTGGTGTTGAACCCAGTTCAGTCACACTTGCCGTTGTGCCATTGTCTTTGCTTACATTTGTTCTTGACTTGGTTGTTATAGGAATGGCCTGAAATAATTTGTTTTCGGTGGCTGTTTTAGTTGTTGTTGCTTTTACCACATTTGTAATGAGATGCTACATGGTCCTATGCAAAGGGCACAGCTTTTAAATCAGGATGAGGTTCATCAGATTTCTTCTGGGGGGGGTAATTGGATGGGTGACACATTGCAAGTTTGATTCCCAAGACTTCCTACAGTTACGTTGCCATAGTCTCCTTAGTTGAGCACGCAGTTTTGTTCGAAATATAACTCAGTTCACCCAGTAGTGAATAGGATGTGCTTGAAATCGGTCAGTTAACCATTCTGGCACCTTGTAGGATGTGCTTGAAATGTGTCGGTTAACCATTCTGGCACCTCATAGGATGTGCTTGAAACGTGTCGTTTAACCATTCTGGCCACTCATAGGATGTGCTCAAAATGTGTTGTTTAACCATTCTGGCACCTCGTAGGATGTGCTTGAAATGTGTTAACCACTCTGGCACCTCGCAGGATGTGCTTGAAATGTGTCGGTTAACCACTCTGGCACCTCGTAGGATGTGCTTGAAATGTGTCGGTTAACCATTCTGGCACCTCGTAGGATGTGCTTGAAATGTGTCGGTTAACCATTCTGGCACCTCGTAGAATGTTCTTGAAATGTGTCAGTTAACCATTCTGGCACCTCGTAGGATGTGCTTGAAATGTGTCGGTTAACCATTCTGGCACCTCGTAGGATGTGCTTGAAATGTGTCGGTTAACCATTCTGGCACCTCGTAGGATGTGCTTGAAATGTGTCGGTTAACCATTCTGGCACATTCTGTTATAATAGGGCCTATTATTATCACAATAATTGTAAGTGTTTGTCTTGTTTGGAGAGCTCCGTTATACATTAAGTTAAATTTAATGTGGTCTATTGTCTAAATGTCTGGTACTCAGTGTCTATGTTGAAGTTGTCTTATTCCAGGGATTTGCTCAGCTGGGAATGACATATCAGTCTAAGGGCCTTATAGGACTTTACTATGGGCAGACAGCTTGCAAAAAGAATGCATTCGGAGAGCCAAAGAATGAAGTAAAGTAGGTTTGGTTTCCATATTTTCTTTGTCTGTAAATGTTGTGATATGTCGTGTGCGTTTGTCATCCCCTAGTGAGGCCTGTCAGGATGGCCTGTTTATTGTGTTCAGTGTGTAAGTAACTACATGTACAAATAATTATTTCTTTGTGTGACTTGTTGTCAGGACACTAGCAGTGCTTGGTGCTGGTCTGATGGGTGCCGGCATTGGCCAGGTGAGCATCGACAAGGGCATGAACGTTATCCTCAAGGACATGGCCACCCAGGGGCTGGCTCGGGGGCAGGACCAGGTACAGAAGGGCTTCGACACTCAGGTCAAGAAGCGGAAAATCACAACGTGAGTTTGTCATGTTATGGTGAACTGTGTTGTAGAGGCAGATAAGTTTACACTGACTGTAGGCCACTATTGCATGAATTATATGGCTGCATCAATGACCGATCAGGTACAGGAATTGTATGATGTTTGTTAATGTGCTTCAATTTGAAAATTCTGAAAACTGAGAATGAATCACTCAATTATTAAAACCGATAATTGTCAACTTAACAAATATGGTGATAGTGATCCAATTTCTCATGTAGACAGGATAGACTTGAACAGTGTGCGAAATAGCAACTGGCCTGCTAGCCTGTGGCTATTAAAAATTCAGTAGGGCCAGTAAATCTCCACACTCACTGGCCCGACTGGCTCAGGCAAAGCCATTCTCACTGGCTAGCAAAATTCTGAAACTATTTCGCACACTGGACTTGAATGAGTTTGAAATGTTGGACCGTTTGAACAGTGTATCCTTGTGTATTCGGTTTTCGGTCGTGTAAGGATTGTCGACCAACGTAACATAAAATGCATAAATAAATCGATAATAAACAAACCTACTTCGTTTGTTTGTTATTTATTTATGATATTCAAATATCTGACGGATTAACCTCGTGTTTCACCCGCACAGCAGGCCTCGTAGTTCGCTACGCAAAGATCCTGAATGCGGAAGTGACGTCATCTGTTTTCGTTCACTTCATTGGTTCTCCGTAAAACACGAATGTAATCGCAGTATTCGTGCTATGCTGATATTTTTATAATATAAAGTTAATAAACATCCAGTCCAAAAAGAATATTTGTAATAGTTCCAATAATAATTATTAGAAACTATGGTCGTTATAATTTCATGTCAAAGTTAATCATGATAAGACTTCGCTAGTTACATCACATGTCCAGGCATGTTTCACTCCTCCGGTTCGCTGACAAAGGGCACCAAACTCATCAGAAGATCTCACTACACATACGGAGGTGCACAGCTTGAGGTGGACCCAATGACAGCATGCAGGATGAGTACACTGGGCCCATGACACAGAAATATATTAATTGCAGTTTCGAAAATTAAATGAGTATTTTGGAAAATCGTAATAAGAGATGACCCTATCCAGTTTCCATATATTTTTTACGACGGCAACGCCACGCGTGATATGATATGGGGATAATAATACGTCATACTATAAACATGCAGACGACGCTATACTGAAAAGGTGGAGCTGACGATATTTTAGATATAGCATTTTTGATTACATGAAAATTTATGCATTAGTAAACTCGGTTCTAAAACGTAACATTTACGTGTGTTTGCAATCATGTACCTTACTAAATTTCACACGAAGCATTTTGTTAGTCAGAGCTGAAGCAGTCGACATCCTGCTAAAAATAACCTGTCTGGTGACGTAAAATCTCGTTAATAACCGCGAGAAATGAACTTGCAAACTGCCGACCGAAAACAGATGTTGAACGAAAACAGATGACTCGAGGATATGAAATAAGGCTCGTCCGACCGCTCGAGACGGGCTAGATTTCTGACGGATGGTCTAAATTTACACCTAGCCAGCCCAATGGTCTGGTAAAAACTTTGTGTTCCATCCATTCACCATATCTTGGTGTCTGGTCTGGTTAAATCCATTTTGGGCTGGTAACATTTTGAAGTTACCAGCTTAGATGTCTGGCTGTGGATTTGGCTTATTTCATACACTGGTTTGAATAAAAATTGTTGTGTGCTATGTTCATTAGTGTGTGTATGTCAGTGTGTGTGTGTATGTCAGTGTGTGAGGATGTGTGTGTGTATGTCAGTGTGTGTGTGAGGATGTGTGTGTATGTCAGTGTGTATGAGGATGTGTGTGTATGTCAGTGTGTGTGGGGATGTGTGTGTGTGTATGTCAGTGTGTGTGTGAGGATGTGTGTGTATGTCAGTGTGTGTGTGTGAGGATGTGTGTGTATGTCAGTGTGTGAGGATGTGTGTGTATGTCAGTGTGTGTGTGAGGATGTGTGTGTATGTCAGTGTGTGTGAGGATGTGTGTGTATGTCAGTGTGTGAGGATGTGTGTGTGTATGTCAGTGTGTGTGTGTGAGGATGTGTGTGTGAGGATGTGTGTGTGTGTATGTCAGTGTGTGTGTGTGAGGATGTGTGTGTATGTCAGTGTGTGTGAGGATGTGTGTGTATGTCAGTGTGTGAGGATGTGTGTGTGTATGTCAGTGTGTGTGTGAGGATGTGTGTGTGTGTGAGGATGTGTGTGTATGTCAGTGTGTGAGGATGTGTGTGTGTATGTCAGTGTGTGTGAGGATGTGTGTTTATGTCAGTGTGTGAGGATGTGTGTGTATGTCAGTGTGTGAGGATGTGTGTGTGTATGTCAGTGTGTGTGAGGATGTGTGTTTATGTCAGTGTGTGAGGATGTGTGTGTATGTCAGTGTGTGAGGATGTGTGTGTATGTCAGTGTGTGTGAGGATGTGTGTTTGAGTGAAGCTGTCCACAGGCACATGTACAGGCTGTCTGTGTTAATTATTCCAGCTCTGAGAGAGATTTAATCATGTCTAATCTGGACTGTACCTTGTCATATGAGAACTTCAAGAATTGTGACATGGTGATTGAAGCAGTGTTTGAAGACATTGGTATCAAGCACAAGGTTGTCAAAGAAGTGGAGCAGGTGAGTTGTCAGCATGTTGATCTTTCTTATCTGTTGACAAGGTCTCATTATAATCACCTCTTTGTGGTCACTACCACTATACAAAGATCTGTGGCCAATCCATTACATGCCATGTCAGAATACCCTTTTGCAAACTTTGAGTGACCATTGAAATGACTTAACGTGACAGAGAGTCAGGAAGCAGCTTACTTAAGCTTACTTTGAAGAGACAGCCAATGCTTTGTTCAAAATGCCTTTCAAGGTCAACACATGTTTTAAACTTTCTCTTGTTCTTACAACCCTGGAGTAGGAAGGACCTGAAACAAAGTTTTCAGCCTCTTCTAACACATTGAACGAACACACCCCCATCCATTATTACGGACGGAGCCTAATCCCATATCCCCACTTCGTGCTAAATGTGCGGCGGGGGATATAGGATTAGACTCCGTCCGTACCGGAATATCGGAATATGTTAAGAACCGTTGACTAGATTCTTTTCATATTTGGTACCTAGGTTCATCACAGTATGCGAAAGGTCCCAGTCAGGTTTGGTGACCACGACCTTCATTTCAAGGTCACCAAGGGGCCTTAATGTTTTACCCTTGTCAGCAAGATATCTCAAGAACCGTTCACTGGATTTTCTTCATATTTTACACCAAGCGTCATCTAGGGAAGGCACAAGGCCCAAGGCCCAGTCGATTTTGGTGATCTTCACGTAATTTTCAAGGTCACAGCGACACTTTGAAGATTTCGGCATGTTAACCTGCATGTTAGATTTGTCAGCAAGATATCTCAAGAACTGTTCACTGGATTTTCTTCATAGACTTTTAAGACTTCTCTTGAATGTCTTTTAGCGGCATTTAGAAGTTGTTATAGATGACCAAGATATTTGGTGGATTTATGCTTCTATATGAGGGAAAGAATTAGGAAGCATAAATCCATAAAATATCTTGGGCTTCTCTTGAATGTTTTTTGATAAGCAATTTCTTTGTTACTATTTTTGCATATTTCATACACCATGACATTCATGTCAAGGTCAAAGTGAGTCTTGAAAATATTTGTGTGTTTGAACAACTACAGAGCAAGATATCAAGAGAGGTCGACTGGTCATGTTTTTGTTGACATTTAACTTCATCTTAAACTATGATCTTCACTTTCATGACTTTTTAAGTTTGATTTGATAATTTGCGGCGGGGGATTATGTCACCTTAGTGACAACTGCTTGTTAGACTCAATATAGCAGTGTAACGAATAATACTGAGCCTAAGTTTACTTAGACTGTGCTCCTGAGAGTTGTCAATGATCTCAGGTGTCTAGTGGATTTTGGTGACATGGCAGCGCTGACTATTTTAGCTCTCAGTGCAGCATTTGATACGGTTGATCATTACAAGCTTCTGAATATTTGACAGCATCGAGTTGGTATCAGTGGAACCTTGGTGACAATGCTTGTTATCTTCTATGATCACCTTGTCCTAAAGTGGAATGTGTCTTCATTCCCGTTTACATCGTCTATGATTCTGCAACCTTCTGTTCTGTCTGTGTTGCTGATTCCTCTGATGCCTACCATTGGATTGTCGGCTGCAGAAATTGGGACAAGCTTCGCTTGACCTTCAACATTCTACAGCCACATTCACAGTCTCCATTGCGCTCCTTTGCACAGTCATCAATCCAGGGGATTATATGATTAGCCTTGATTTCCAAGATGCATATCTACATGTGTCGATCTTCCATGATGCATATCTACATGTGTCGATCTGCCATGATCACCGGGGCGGTGGGGTAGCCCAGTGGTTAAAGCGTTCGCTCATCATGCCGAAGACCTGGGTTCGATTCCCCACATGGGTACAATGTGTGAAGCCCATTTCTGGTGTCCCCTGAAATTGCTGGTTATTGCCAAAAGCAGTGTAAAACCCAACTCACTCCATGATCATCAGAAGTTTCTTCAGTTTATCTTACAGCGAATACACTACTCATGGAGGGCACATAAACAGTTGTATTCCACCTCATGCAGTTCCTCAGACGCTCCAGAATCAACACAGCATCACCACCCAGTTACTCTATCAACTACATTCAGTGCTGGAAGTCCAGAAGTCAGAGCTGATGACTTTAATTTTATTGGAGCTGAATTCGATACTAAGCAAAGCAAGATTTTGTTTCCCCCAAAGATACAGCATCAGGTACTGTTGGCAATCAGCCATGCAAGATCTCTACAACAGTGACAGGAGCTTCTGGGTCCTCTTACAGTGTCAAGCTCTAACACTCAGAGGATAGTTGCAGCTACGCCTGATGTAAGTTTCCTCACAGCCATATCTTCAGAGAACAGATCTCCTAATGACCTGTCCAGCTTCACATCATTATAGGATCTTGTAGGGCACCTTCGAAGAACTGAAAGGATCTTGGATTCGGGGACATCTTAAAAATCAGGGCTAATCAATAAAGTCTGACTCTTAGCTTCATCATCTGTTCTTAGGTGATTTCTCGTTCTAATCACAGTTCGAGTCAGGTGAATTTGTGTTCAGCAGTTGAGACCAGCCTCCTTGTGAACTTTCCATCTCATGGTTGTGGTCTCTTCCTACTGCCACCATATAGCTGGAATATTGTCGAGTGTTGCGGTACAACAACAAATCAAACAAACCCACTGTTCCTACTCACCAGGGTTATCAGCGGTTATCCCACTGTCCATTTGGATAGATAGGACAAATTTTTTTAAATTTAGCTCTAAATTGTATATAAATAAAACTCATCCTGTAGATTCCGACCCGTGAAGATCCAGGGTAGAATAGGTCTTCAGCAACCCATGTGCTTGCCATAAAAGGCGACTATGCTTGTCGTAAGAGGCGACTAACGGGATCGGGTGGTCAGTTTTGCTGACTTGGTTGACACATGTCATCGATTCCCAATGGCGCAGATCGATGCTCATGCTGTTGATCACTGGATTGTCTGGTCCAGACTCGATTATTTACAGACCGCCGCCATATAGCTGGGATATTGCTGAGTGCGGCGTAAAACTAAACTCACTCACTCACTCCTGTAGATTCCCACCTCACCATCTCTATCTAACTTACCCTGTAGATTCCCGCCTGACCATCTCTATCTAACTTACCCTGTAGATTCCCGCCTGACTATCTCTATCTATCTTACCCTGTAGATTCCCACCTCACCATCTCTATCTAACTTACCCTGTAGATTCCCACCTCACCATCTCTATCTAACTTACCCTTTAGATTCCCGCCTGACTATCTCTATCTAACTTACCCTGTAGATTCCCGACCTGACCATCTCTATCTAACTTACCCTGTAGATTCCCGCCTGACCATCTCTATCTAACTTACCCTGTAGATTCCCGCCTGACTATCTCTATCTATCTTACCCTGTAGATTCCCACCTGACCATCTCTATCTAACTTACCCTGTAGATTCCCACCTCACCATCTCTATCTAACTTACCCTGTAGATTCCCACCTCACCATCTCTATCTAACTTACCCTGTAGATTCCCACCTCACCATCTCTATCTAACTTACCCTGTAGATTCCCACCTCACCATCTCTATCTAACTTACCCTGTAGATTCCCACCTCACCATCTCTATCTAACTTACCCTGTAGATTCCCACCTCACCATCTCTATCTAACTTACCCTGTAGATTCCCACCTCACCATCTCTATCTAACTTACCCTGTAGATTCCCATGACTGACCATCTCTATCTAACTTACCCTGTAGATTCCCTATCTCTCCTGACCATCTCTATCTAACTTACCCTGTAGATTCCCTCACCTGACCATCTCTATCTAACTACCCTGTAGATTCCCACCTCACCATCTCTATCTAACTTACCCTGTAGATTCCCACCTCACCATCTCTATCTAACTTACCCTGTAGATTCCCGCCTGACCATCTCTATCTAACTTACCCTGTAGATTCCCACCTCACCATCTCTATCTAACTTACCCTGTAGATTCCCTGACCATCTCAATTATCTATTCCCCTGTAGATTCCCACCTGACCATCTCTATCTAACTTACCCTGTAGATTCCCACCTGACCATCTCTATCTAACTTACCCTCCCACTCTTCACCATCTCTATCTAACTTACCCTGTAGATTCCCACCTGACCATCTCTATCTAACTTACCCTGTAGATTCCCGCCTGACTATCTCTATCTAACTTATCCTGTAGATTCCCACCTCACCATCTCTATCTAACTTACCCTGTAGATTCCGCCTCACCATCACTATCTAACTTACCCTGTAGATTCCCGCCTGACCATGCACATTACTGGGATGGTCCCAGCTAAAGATTAAGAGAATGAAGACAGTTAGGAGTCATGTGGTTGACCCAAATGCAAGCTTTGCATTGCCCCAAAAGTGACTGCCTTTGGGTGAGATGTTAGGAGAGACTTAAAACTATATTTCAGGTCATTTCCACTCCAAAGTTGTAAGAACAAGAGGACATACAGTTTATAGTTAAATTTTCAAGATCAAAACACACATTCAGACTTTTACAACATCATGAGTGACTCTGATTAGTTGGATGAAAGATTGTTTTGATGTAACCCTAGATCTGACTTTAATGACATTGTTCAACTAATTCAAATAATTATATTAACTCAGCAACCTTCTCATGATTGATTTATATTTCTACAATGGCTTGTTAGACACACAAAACTGTAACTTTCTAATTATGTCTAATAGTTTTATTTGTATTTGATGTATTGTGTATATAATTATATATATTTATAAATATATTTATGCAATCCTCAATATTGATGACGTAGATGCCCATCACTGTTTGACCAGTTGTCAACCATGAACTGTGTCAAGAAGAAGAAAAGGCATGAAACTTGTCAAAGAAGTCATGTAAACAGTTCTATATAACTATTACCTTTTCCAAGCTATGGGTATTAAAGTCTGTCATTTGAATACTTGCAACATCATTGAACAATCAGCACAATGTTAGAGAGAGTTCATAATTTCAGCACCTCCCTGAACACTGTATCTTTGCATCCAACACCTCGGCCCTCCCAATCTCCAAAATCGCAGAGGCCACCTCCCGACCGGACAGGGTGAGTTAACAATGTATACAACATAGAGAGGTGGTAAAGTGGTGTTGACAAATGGCAACAAACGGGGCAGATTTCTGGCTGTAGTTGTCAGGCTGTATATATTAAGGTGTCAATGTCTGGGTGAAGATATCAGTGTGTAGATGTCTGGGTGAAGATATCAGTGTGTAGATGTCTGGGTGTAGATGTTAGTGTGTGAATATCAAGGTCTCAGATGTCTGCGTGGATGTAGATATCAAGGTGTAAATGTTTGTCAATGTCGATGAAGATATCAGTGTGTAGATGTCTGGGTGGATCAAGTAGATATTAAGAGATGTCTGGGTGAAGATATCAAAGTGTAGATGTCTGGGTGTAGATGTCTGGGTGTAGATATCAAAGTGTAGATGTCTGGGTGTAGATATCAAAGTGTAGATGTCTGTGTGTAGATGCCAGGATGTAGATATCAAAGTGTAGATGTCTTGGTGTAGATATCTTGGTGTAGATATCAAAGTGTAGATGCCTGGGTGTAGATATCAAAGTGTAGATGTCTGGGTGTAGATATCAAAGTGTAGATGTCTGTGTGTAGATATCAGAGTGTAGATATCTGGGTGTAGATATCAATATGTAGATGTCACGGTGTAGATATCAATGTGTAGATGTCTGGGTGTAGATATCAAAGTGTAGATGCCTGGGTGTAGATATCAGTGTGTAGATGTCTGGGTGTAGATGTCAGGCTGTATATATTAAGGTGTCAATGTCAGGGTGAAGATATCAGTGTGTAGATGTCTCGGTGGAGATATCAAAGTGTAGATGTCAGGCTGTATATATTAAGGTGTAGATATCTGGGTGTAGATATCAGGGTGTAGATATCAAAGTGTAGATGTCTGTGTGTATCAAGGTCTCAGATGCCAGGATGTAGATATCAAGTGTAAATGTCTGTGTAGATATCAAAGTGTAGATGCCTGGGTGTAGATATCAAAGTGTAGATGTCTGGGGTGTAGATATCAAAGTGGTGAGATGTCTGTGTGTAGATATCAAAGTGTAGATATCTGGGTGTAGATATCACTAGGATGTCCGGGTAGATATCAGAGCGTAGATGTCTGTCTAGGATGTCCGGTGTAGATATCAACGCAGATGTCTTAGTGTAGATATCAAGGATGTCCCGGTGTGCAGATATCAGGAGGATGTCCAGAATATCAAGCGTAGATGTCCATGCAGATGGAAGGTAGACGTCTCTGTGGATAGGATGATCCTGGTACGTACCGAAGTGTAGATGCCATGATCAGCCAGATATCCCAGGTAGATCAGTGTGATACCAGAGCCGTGATGTCAGATCAAAGGACAAACCAGGTGTATACCGAAGGACATCAGGGTGTAGACAAAGCCCAGATGGACAAGTGGATAGATATCCAGGGAAGAGAACAAACGGACATGTCTGGGTGCAGATGTCAGGACAAAGACAAGTTGATGTCAGGGTGTACACATCAGAGCGTAGATGCAAGGATAACAAAGCGTAGACAAACCCAGTGGTGTACACAAAGCGTGGACAGACCAGAGGAGATGTCAGACCCAAGCAGGATGTGTCTGGGCAGACATCAAAGAGATATCAAAGTGTAAGACAAAGTGTGGATACCAGGAGGAGGATGTTCAAGGACAACACCAAAGTGTAGATGTCCAAGGAGATGTCTGAGATGTCAAAGATGTCAGACACAGAGGACACTGGGTGTAGATGTAGACACAAACCCAGTGTAGACAAAGACATGTCTGGTGTAGACACAGAGTGTAGAGTGGACAGACAAGTGATGTCCAAGTGTAGGTAATTGGGACCCAGTAGATGTCTGGGTGTAGACATCAAAGGACATGTCTGCGTAGACATCAAAGGTGTAGACAAAGCCAAGGAGATATCAGAGTTTAGACCAAGGTGTACAAAGTGACACCCAAGGATATCAGGACGCAGGGGTGTGGCCATCAGTGGACACCGGGTGTAGGACAAATGGATGTACACATATCAGAGCGTAGATGCCCGCGTACACAGAGTGGACACAAAGTAGAGATGTCTGGGGTGTAGATGTCCCTTGGTGTAGATGACTTGGTAAGTCTTAGATAGAATCACGTGGATGTCTTGGTGTAGACATCACACAAAGTGGATATCAGTGGATAGATGTCCCAGTGTAGATATCAGCGACAGGGGTGTAGAAGTGGATGCCCTTGTAGACAGAGTGTAGATGCCAGTGGAGGATCAAAAAGATATCTGGTAGTGGATATCAAAGTGTAGATGTCTGGGTGTAGATATCAAAGTGTAGATGTCTGGGTGTAGATATCAAAGTGTAGATGTCTGGGTGTAGATATCAAAGTGTAGATGTCTGGGTGTAGATATCAAAGTGTAGATGTCTGGGTGTAGATATCAAAGTGTAGATGTCTGGGTGTAGATATCAGGGTGTAGATATCAAAGTGTAGATGTAGGTGTGTCTGGGTGTAGATATCAAAGTGTAGATGTCTGGGTAGATATCAAAGTGTAGATGTCTGGGTGTAGATATCAAAGTGTAGATATCAAAGTGTAGATGTCTGGGTGTAGATATCAGAAGTGTAGATGTCTGGGTGTAGATATCAAAGTGTAGATGTGTAGATGTCTGGGTGTAGATATCAAAGTGTAGATGTCTGGGTGTAGATATCAAAGTGTAGATGTCTGGGTGTAGATATCAAAGTGTAGATGTCTGGGTGTAGATATCTGGGATGTCTTGTAGATATAGATCAAAGTAGTAGATGATGTCTTGGTGTAGATATCAAAGTGTAGATGTCTGGGTGTAGATATCAAAGTGTAGATGTCTGGGTGTAGATGTCTGGGTGTAGATATCAAAGTGTAGATGTCTGGGTGTAGATATCAAAGTGTAGATGTCTGGGTGTAGATATCAAAGTGTAGATGTCTGGGTGTAGATATCAAAGTGTAGATGTCTGGGTGTAGATGTCTGGGTGTAGATGTAGATGTATCAAGTGTAGATGTCTGGGTGTAGATATCAAAGTGTAGATGTCTTGGTGTAGATATCAAAGTGTAGATGTCTGGGTGTAGATATCAAAGTGTAGATGTCTGGGTGTAGATATCAAAGTGTAGATGTCTGGGTGTAGATATCAAAGTGTAGATGTCTGGGTGTAGATATCAAAGTGTAGATGTCTGGGTGTAGATGTCTGGGTGTAGATGTCTGGGTGTAGATATCAAAGTGTAGATGCCTGGATGTAGATATCAAAGTGTAGATGCCTGGGTGTAGATATCAAAGTGTAGATGTCTGGGTGTAGATATCAAAGTGTAGATGTCTGGGTGTAGATAGTCTAGGTGTAGATGCCTGGGTGTAGATATCAAAGTGTAGATGCTCTGAGTGTAGATATCTGGGTGTAGATATCAGAGTGTAGATGTCTGGATGTAGATATCAAAGTGTAGATGTCTGGGTGTAGATATCAAAGTGTAGATGTCTGGGTGTAGATATCAAAGTGTAGATGTCTGGGTGTAGATATCAGGATGCTGGGTGTAGATATCAGAGTGTAGATGTCTGGGTGTAGATGTAAGCATGTAGTCAGTTTGGGATTTCTGTACACAGGGGAAAGGCCATAGCTATCATATTTTGCTAACTTACAGTTTCAGTTGCTTAGTAAAGTGATTTTGTTTCTTCCTTTTGTTTTCAGTTCATTGGAATGCACTATTTCTCACCAGTTGACAAGATGCAGCTGCTTGAGATTATCACCACAGACAAGACTTCACAGGATACTACAGGTATGAAGATAATTCATGTGTGTCTTTGTTGTTGACTGTAGGTTCACTTTGGCCAAGTGAGTTAAGGCATAAAATTTCTCTGGACTTGAGTTTCTTTGAGATCTGCTGCTCATGGGATCTTGATCCAGATTTAAGCTATATACAGTCCTTGGATCTTGTTCCAAACGTGACCTGAACATATACAGTCCTTGGATCTTGTTCCAGACTTGACCTGAATATGGTCCTTGGATCTTGTTCCAGACTTGACCTGAATATGGTCCTTGGATCTTGTTCCAAACTTGACCTGAATATGGTCCTTGGATCTTGTTCCAAACTTGACCTGAATATGGTCCTTGGATCTTGTTCCAAACTTGACCTGAATATGGTCCTTGGATCTTGTTCCAAACTTGACCTGAATGCAGTCCTTGGATCTTGTCCCAAACCTGACCTGAATGCAGACCTTGGATCTTGTCCCAAACTTGACCTGAATATGGTTCTCAGATCTTGTTCCAAACTTGACCAGAATAGATCCTTGGATCTCTTCCCAGATTTGATGAGTGAACAAGAGCAGATGTATAGATCAGAATGTAAGGCTTGGACAAGTAAAGTACAGTGGAAACCGCCTAAGTAAAGACCGCTTAACTAAACAGACCTGATAAGTAAACACTTTTCTTGGTCCCGCAAATAAGTAAATTAGTTAACAAAAGATACTGGATAACTAAATTAGCGACTACCACATAATCCGACATGAGGGGCAGTCGTGTCAGTCTCCAGTAAAGCAAACATCCTACTTACAGCTCGCTGGCGTCAAGCAGATGACAATACACTAACAACTGGAGGCCAGCCCTGATAAGTTGTTCATTGTTACACATGCATACATATACATGCCTATGGTTGTCATTTGCAGGTTTTTATAAGTTTGGATAAGTAAAATACCTGATAAGTAAACAATTTTGGCGAGTCCCTTGAAATTTTACTTATCAGGTTTCCACTGTAATTGTTTCTGAGGCAATGGCTTTTACCATACAGTGTGTGCAGTTGTCCTTCCATTCTTCCCACAGCCTTGATAAGGACCAGATACCAACCAGTTAGCCAGCTTTATGTCCTTGAATAGAAAATGTTCATTTGTTTTCATGGCCATCGTTTAGTTGTTAGGGGTAATTTCCTTGATACAATTTCACATATAAACTACCTCTTTTGAGCAGATAGATGGTAATACAGTTAATCGAAAACTGAAGTCTGTTAAGAGGGGAGCCAAGTGTTACTACTATGTACATGGTATTCTATCAACTAATTCATTTCTATTTAAGATCAAATTAGCTGAAAGCAACGTATGTACCTTTTGTCAATGTGAGGTTGAAACAATCCCCCACTTGTTTGGTATTGTGAATATGTGCAAGCTTTTTGGAAATGTTTTTTTAAAATTATTGAATGATAAATGTCAACATGTTCACAACATGAAATTGGACCTGCAACTTATTGTGTTTGGAATGAGAACAAATGTATACACAGATGATGTGTTTGATTTAATATTGTTGTTAGCTAAATTCTTCATATATAAATGTAAGGTATTAAAAACTACTCTATCTTGTATATCTAGGCTTACATCTGTACTCCATTACCCTTATTTTATTCAGTAATCTGCATATTGAATTTGTCAAAATTGTGGGTGAGCAGTTCAGCAACTCATAATGAACTCTTTTAAGTAAACATTAGTCATTAGAGATAAAACTGTTATAATTTTCTTTTTACTATCAATTAAAATATTGATTAATAAAAGTATTTTTGAAACTGAAGCTCCTGTAAATTGATGGGAAACTGTCAAGCTATTTTATGAACAAATTAGCGCAGAATCTTAATGTCTGCGAATAAAACGTTGTCTGGAAGTATCTTTCAGTGGATTTGATTGAGAATTTCCTGAAATGCCCACAGATCAAAATGTTACGGTTGGACAGTAGGTTATGTTCCTTATTTTAGACAGTATGGCACCATGAATGTAAACCATATTGAAGTTATACATGAACAATAACTGAACTGAGTGCTTATGTAATCATTACCATACATAAACTGTAGAAAACAAAACAGTTCTTGTAAAGTAGTCTGCACATTAACATAATCCAATCCCTCCACTCATTCTATTACCCGTGTGTCTGCTTATCAGGAAGGAGCATCTTATAGTGGATATGGCTTTATTGTTTTATATTTTAGGGAGACGTGACTAAAAATATCAGCATATGGAATGTGAGAGAATCCCGTGTAGTTTATGTAATGTTGTGTGTTTCAGCCTCTGCTGTGACAGAATCCCGTGTAGTTTATGTAATGTTGTGTGTTTCAGCCTCTGCTGTGACAGAATCCCGTGTAGTTTATGTAATGTTGTGTGTTTCAGCCTCTGCTGTGACAGAATCCCGTGTAGTTTATGTAATGTTGTGTGTTTCAGCCTCTGCTGTGACAGAATCCTGTGTAGTTTATGTAATGTTGTGTGTTTCAGCCTCTGTGTGTCTGCTGTGACAGAATCCCGTGTAGTTTATGTAATGTTGTGTGTTTCAGCCTCTGCTGTGACAGAATCCCGTGTAGTTTATGTAATGTTGTGTGTTTCAGCCTCTGCTGTGAAGGTTGGGCTGAGGCAGGGCAAGGTGGTCATCACAGTTAAGGATGGGCCTGGCTTTTATACAACCAGAATACTGGCGCCCATGTTGGCAGAGGCAATCAGGCTGTTGCAGGTACATTATTTTCTTTGATGATGCCGTTATATTCAAGGTAATATAAACCCCAGCAATTCCCTCTGCCGACCGTATATATCATTCAAACCTGGGTATCAACCCTTCATTATCAGATGGTACCTGAGCTTGTCATGCCATCATTGTTTGTCCATATCTCTAACACTGACAGATACTCTTTAACTTAGCACACACACAAAGACCAATTGGTTAAGTGGCGAAGGTTTTAGATATTTAGTTTTTTGTGTTTCCATGGCAAGACGTTTTGAAGTGTGTTCATAATGGTGTGTTTGTCCCAACCATACCTTCGTATGAAACCTTGTAAAGTCAGAGACTAGATTGTTGGTTTGTGCCAGGGAGTTGCAGAACTCTCACCTTCACAGCTCACGGGGATGTGTTTCTATAGCATATCTCCAAAACACCATTTTTTTCAGAGCACACACACGCTCACACACACATGCTTACACACGCACACACAGAGACAAAATACTGTAGCTTTGGTGCATTTAATTCTTAACAGAATGTCAGTTTTATTACACCTCTGTTTCTTTATAAGTTATCATAATGTTTGATGGGGTAGCCTAGTGGTTAAAGCGTTTGCTTGACACACTGAAGACCTGGGTTTCAATTCCCCAAATGGGTACAATGTGTGAAGCCCAGTTCTGGTGTTCCCTGCCTTGATATTGCTGGAATATTGCTAAAAGTGGATTAAAATCATAGGAACTGCTATTACTACTATTGTATCACATCATGATTGTTCATATATACACCTGGAAGAAAGTTAAGCACCCCAGTTTTTTTCCAAAGTTGTATGTTTCAGCTGACATGTTGGTGTAGCTGCATGTTTATCTGGAAGATCATGTCTTGAAACTACGAAAAAAAAGAGTTTCCTTCAACGTTTCAGTAATGAATGTGGTACAATACCCAAACCACTGTGTTATATGATAACTGTTACAAGTATGGAGCTAGAGAGAATCAGGCAACATGATGTGTATGTGTTGAGACAAAACCGAATATTTGTATCCTGGGGACATTGTACAATCTATCTAGTGTACTCTCCACATGCTTGAATAACTGCTTGTTTCCTGGGGACATTGTACAATCTATCTAGTGTACTCTCCACATGTTTGAACAACTGCTTGTATCCCACGTCGCATACCCCTCAGTCAGTCGTCATATGACTTGGTGCAAAGCTGCTTCAGACTCACACAGACTGTGGTACACATGCCTAATAACGTCACCAAATGTGCTCCAGAGGGTCCAGGCCTGGACTGGATGGTGGTGAGTCACTGCATTATAATGAATGAAAGCTGTTACTGAACGAGGACGGTGTGGCCTAGCATTGTCATCCATAAATCCAGGTCTTGTAGCAAGAGGATGATTATCAAGAAGGGTGACAATAACTGGATGCAGCACTGTCTGGATATACTGATCACCTGTCAAATTCCACATTGTCACCAAGTCAAGTTTACAGTCACGAGAGACACATCCCCCACACCAACTCTCAAGCATCCATCATACATGAAGAAGCAATCAGCTTTCATCAGACCAAGGTATTCTTTGCCAAGTCCTCTGATTGCAACGTTGCCATGGTAAACACCATGCGAAACATGATTGTTTGTGATAGAGGACGCTTGATGACCCTGCTAGGGTTGTGTGCGGCTGTCCTTAGGCAATTACGGACTGTTCTTGTACTGTAGAGACCCAGCAAAATGGTAACCAATGATGCTTCAGAACAGTGCTTTTGGTACATGGTTGTTGTTGAGTGAGCCTCAATAGTGCCCTATCTTCATGATCTGGGTCATCCAGAATGTGGGCGATACTTCACCTATTTGGTTTCCCTGTATTTTCTGACGAAACAACTCTCAACTATGCAGTGGACATTTATTTTCTGAGCATCTGCTTTAAAGGACATACCAGAGTTCCGCCAACAATATCCCATATGAGGGCATCTGATAATCATCTTCATACCACAGTGGCAGGAAACTGATTGAACATTGCAACCCATGCAGATTACATACCAATATTTAGCATGTGCACAAACTGCACTAGTGAAAATTTGTGGGTTTGCTTAAGATTTTCCAGGTGTACATGTTATCCTGTAATTGTAACAAATTAAAGGTCACTGTATCAGCTGTGTGAACTCACTAACTACATCTTTGCAAAGAAAGGACCTGACATACAAAGTTGCAAATCCTGGCTCAATACCTACTGATGCTTTAGTTCATTGATAGACATATTTGATAGGATTACTTTCATCAAGGTATTTTTGTAGGTCTTTCAGTCACAGTCTGCTCTTTTGAATTTGTAGGGGCTGGGAGGATTTTTCATGTTCTGATGATTCTTGTTCAATGACTTTGTTATGGCATGTGAGATTCTAGATTCTTGATCAGTAATCTTAGTCAGGTCAGCCTCACATGTTATATTTGTTGTGGTATGTAATTACATTGTAGTGTAGGTTTGTGGTTGATTCCTTGGGTGAGTGAGTGTCTGTAACCATAAAGAGTAATGCTGAACATATTTTCAAAATATCAACAAATGAATGTTTTATCTCATTCTTTTGTCCAAAGTAATTCCTGTTGTGTTTGAATTTGTAGTTGTTTTGTTTCTAGGAAGGTGTTAGTCCAACAGACCTTGACAGACTCACTAAGAAGTTCGGCTTCCCAGTGGGAGCTGCAACACTAGCAGATGAGGTGGGCGTTGATGTCGCTGCCCATGTAGCAGAAGATCTAGGAAAGGCTTTTGGAGAGAGGTTTGGAGGAGGAAGCCCTGAAGTGTTGAAGGACATGGTTGCAAGTGGTTTCCTAGGTACGTATACTATTGAAGGACATGGTTGCCAGTGGTTTCCTAGGCACGTGTACTATTGATGGACATGGTTGCCTGTGGTTTCCTAGGTATGTATACTATTGAAGGACGTGGTTGCCAGTGGTTTGGTTTCCTAGATGGTTGCGTGGTTTCCTATACTATTGATGGACATAGTTGCCAGTGGTTTCCTAGGTATGTATACTATTGAAGGACGTGGTTGCCAGTGGTTTCCTAGGTATGTATACTATTGAAGGACATGGTTGCCAGTGGTTTCCTAGATGCATGTACTATTGATGGACATGGTTGCAAGTGGTTTCCTAGATGCATATACTATTGAAGGACATGGTTGCCAGTGGTTTCCTAGATGCATGTACTATTGATGGACATGGTTGCCAGTGGTTTCCTAGATACGTGTACTATTGATGGACATGGTTGCCTGTGGTTTCCTAGGTTTCCTAGGTATGAATACTATTGAAGGACATGGTTGCCAGTGGTTTCCTAGGTATGTATACTATTGATGGACATGGTTGCCAGTGGTTTCCTAGGTATGTGTACTATTGACAGGACATGGTTGCCAGTGGTTTCCTAGATGCATGTATACTATTGACAGACATGGTTGCCAGTGGTTTCCTAGATGCATGTACTATTGACGGACGTGGTTGCCAGTGGTTTCCTAGATGCATGTACTATTGACGGACATGGTTGCCAGTGGTTTCCTAGTGCATGGTAGTGGTTTCCTAGATGCATGTACTATTGATTGACGGACATGGTTGCCAGTGGTTTCCTAGATGCATGTACTATTGACAGACATGGTTGCCAGTGGTTTCCTAGATGCATGTACTATTGACGGACGTGGTTGCCAGTGGTTTCCTAGATGCATGTACTATTGTGGTTGCCAGTGGTTTCCTAGATGCATGTACTATTGACGGACATGGTTGCCAGTGGTTTCCTAGATGCATGTACTATTGACGGACATGGTTGCCAGTGGTTTCCTAGATGCATGTACTATTGACGGACATGGTTGCCAGTGGTTTCCTAGATGCATGTACTATTGACGGACATGGTTGCCAGTGGTTTCCTAGATGCATGTACTATTGACGGACATGGTTGCCAGTGGTTTCCTAGATGCATGTACTATTGACAGGATGTGGTTGCCAGTGGTTTCCTAGATGCATGTACTATTGACGGGGTTGCCGTGGTTGCCAGTGGTTTCCAGATGCATGTATACTATTGACGGACATGGTTGCCAGTGGTTTCCTAGATGCATGTACTATTGACGGACGTGGTTGCCAGTGGTTTCCTAGCATATACTATTGACGGCATGGTTGCCAGTGGTTTCCTAGATGCATGTACTATTGACGGACGTGGTTGCCAGTGGTTTCCTAGATGCATGTACTATTGACGGACATGGTTGCCAGTGGTTTCCTAGATGCATGTACTATTGACGGACATGGTTGCCAGTGGTTTCCTAGATGCATGTACTATTGACAGACGTGGTTGTCAGTGGTTTCCTAGATGCATGTACTATTGACAGACATGGTTGCCAGTGGTTTCCTAGATGCATGTACTATTGACGGACGTGGTTGCCAGTGGTTTCCTAGGTATGTATACTATTGAAGGCATGGTTGCCAGTGGTTTCCTAGATGCATGTACTATTGACGGACATGGTTGCCAGTGGTTTCCTAGATGCATGTACTATTGACGGACGTGGTTGCCTAGATGCATGTACTATTGACAGACATGGTTGCCAGTGGTTTCCTAGATGCATGTACTATTGACGGACGTGGTTGCCAGTGGTTTCCTAGATGCATGTACTATTGAAGGACATGGTTGCCAGTGGTTTCCTAGATGCATGTACTATTGACGGACGTGGTTGCCAGTGGTTTCCTAGATGCATGTACTATTGACGGACATGGTTGCCAGTGGTTTCCTAGATGCATGTACTATTGATGGACATGGTTTGCCAGTGGTTTCCCTAGATGCATGTACTATTGAAGGACATGGTTGCCAGTGGTTTCCTAGATGCATTGAAGGACTATTGCCAGTGGTTTCCTAGATGCATGTACTATTGACGGACGTGATTGCCACCATGCCTAGATATATGTATACTATTGAAGGCATGGTTGTGGTTTCTAGAGTGGTTTCCTAGATGCATGTACTATTGACCGGACATGGTTGCCAGTGGTTTCCTAGATGCATGTACTATTGAAGGACATGGTTGCCAGTGGTTTCCTAGATGCATGTACTATTGAAGGACATGGTTGCCAGTGGTTTCCTAGATGCATGTTTTATTGAAGGACATGGTTGCCAGTGGTTTCCTAGATGCATGTACTATTGACGGACGTGATTGCAACCATGCCTTCAATATGTATACTATTGAAGGCATGGTTGCGAGTGGTTTCCTAGGTACATGTACTATTGACGGACATGGTTGCCAGTGGTTTCCTAGATGCATGTACTATTGACGGACATGGTTGCCAGTGGTTTCCTAGATGCATGTACTATTGGACGGTTGCCAGTGGCTTACATGGTTGCTAGTGGTTTCCTAGGAATGTATACTATTAAAGTTCATGGTTGCTACTGAAGGGCGTGGTTGCTAGTGGTTTCCTAGGAATGTATACTGTTGAAGGGCATGGTTGCTACTGAAGAGCGTGGTTGCTAGTGGTTTCCTAGGTACATATACTATTAAAGTTCATGGTTGCTACTGAAGGGCGTGGTTGCTAGTGGTTTCCTAAGTGGTTTCCTAGGAATTACGTATACTATTGAAGGGCATGGTTGCTAGTGGTTTCCTAGAAATGTATACTGTTGAAGGGCATGGTTGCTACTGAAGGGCGTGGCTGCTAGTGGTTTCCTAGGAATGTATACTATTGAAGGGCATGGTTGCTAGTGGTTTCCTAGAAATGTATACTGTTGAAGGGCATGGTTGCTACTGAAGGGCTTGGCTGCTAGTGGTTTCCTAGGAATGTATACTATTGAAGGGCATGGTTGCTAGTGGTTTCCTAGGAATGTATACTATTGAAGGGCATGGTTGCTACTGAAGGGCGTGGTTGCTAGTGGTTTCCTAGGTATATACTACTTGAAGTTGGTTGCTACTGAAGGGCATGGTTGCATGTACTATTGAAGGCATGGTTGCTAGTGGTTTCCTAGGAATGTATACTGTTGAAGGGCATGGTTGCTACTGAAGGGCGTGGCTGCTAGTGGTTTCCTAGGAATGTAAACTGTTGAAGGGCATGGTTGCTACTGAAGGCATGCTCGTGGTTGCTAGTGGTTTCCTAGGAATGTATACTGTTGAAGGGCATGGTTGCTACTGAAGGGCATGGTTGCTAGTGGTTTCCTAGGAATGTATACTGTTGAAGGGCATGGTTGCTACTGAAGGGCATGGCTGCTAGTGGTTTCCTAGGAATGTATACTGTTGAAGGGCATGGTTGCTACAGAAGGGCGTGGTTGCTAGTGGTTTCCTAGGAATGTATACTGTTGAAGGGCATGGTTGCTACAGAAGGGCGTGGTTGCTAGTGGTTTCCTAATTATATATGCTGTTGCAACCCTACATAAGAAACTTGATACACTGTGGTTAATTGATGTAAAGTATTAACACAGTTGAAGATTTTATCTGAGTTTGATGTTCAGTGAAGTCTACTTGTGTAACCTCTTTGATTGTTTCCCAGGCCGCAAGAGCGGAAAAGGCTGCTATGTGTATGAGAAGGGGTCCAAGGATAGACCAGAAAATGAAGAAGCAAAGAAGATCATTCAGAAGTACCATCTTGAACCTAAACTAGTGTAGGTGAACATTTCTGTCTCTGGCTATGGTATCCAGGGCTTCGCTCAGTTGCCATGACAAACTGGTTGTAGTCTTTGAGGCCCAGTAATGTGTAGGGCATCGCTAGGTTGTCATGGCAGATATGAATGTTTCCATGTATATCCAAGTATGCAGAATGCCTTGCTTCCTCTGCAGTTTGCAGTTGTCATGAGAAATATATGCTATAGGTATAGTTTCTGTGTACAGGAACACAGATGAAGATGTGCAGTACCGGCTTGTGTCCAGATTTGTAAATGAGGCAGTGATGTGTCTCCAAGAAGGAATCCTCAGAAATCCTGTAAGTATATTTATTTTTAGATGGTGATGGTGACATTGTCAGAGATTTTTCCAGATATGCTTGTGTTTAAACCAAGTTGATGGTAGGATTTGTAAATAGTAGATTTCGTTATCATTTCTAAAGTACTGGTTTAAGCAATTTGTATAGCTTCAGTTTCCTTATTCCTTATTTCTAATCATTGAGGTGATTTAGTGTATAGCAGTGGAATAAAAGTGAATGTTTTATTTTTGTCCCCCGCAGCAACGCTGCAACGCGTCCGTCCGCCAATACATACGTCCCGATTCTTGTTAACGCGATATCTCATAAACTGTTGTACCCAATGTCTTCAAATTTGGTGACAGCCTACATTGGGAGATTACGCAGACACCAGTTGATTTGGGTGACTTTGAACTTATTTTCAAGGTCACCACGACACTTTGACCACTTTTCAAACTCTTGTTAACACGGCATCTCATGAACCGTTGTACCCAATGTCTTCAAATTTGGTGACAGCATACATTGGGGGATTACGCAGACACCAGTTGATTTTGGTGACCTTGACCTTATCTTCAAGGTCACCACGATACTTTGACCGCTTTTTAAAGGCGATATCTCATAAAACATTGCCCCCAATGTTTCAAGTATGTTGACAGCCTACATTGGGTGATTATGCAGAAACCAGTCATTTCAGGCATCTTGTATGTGACCAAAAATTAAAAAGTAGTAAATATAGATATTCCATTTTTTAGCGGCGGGGGACATTGCCATAACAGTGGCAAACACTTGTTGTTTTTTATTTCGTCCTGTGTCTCTTGTTCAGTAAAGGTTAGGCCTTTTGTCCACTAAGTTTGAAAATCCTCATTATAAGGGTAGGATAATGAAATAGCTGAATAACAACAGACAGCATACTGGGATTGTTTTGACATTGGCTTCTTGGTAAAATGAAGGAAAGACTGTGATACTTCAGTTTATAGTTACTGAGTGATTACATTGACTATTACAGGATTAGTATGTTGAAGTGAGGGTGTGTGTGTAGGATGTTATTGTAGATCATGGGTGTCCCACTACTTGGTGTTGTGAATCATGTCATGTTATTCCAGCTGGAAGGAGACATTGGTGCTGTGTTTGGTCTTGGATTCCCTCCATTCCTTGGTGGTGAGTGTTTGTTGTGTGTCCATGTATCTGGTACATTCACTGTGTCCATGTATCTGGTACATTCACTGTGTCCATGTATCTAGTACATTCACTGTGTCCATGTATCTAGTACATTCACTGTGTCCATGTATCTGGTACATTCACTGTGTCCATGTATCTGGTACTATCACTGTGTCCATGTATCTGGTACAATCACTGTGTCCATGTATCTGGTACAAGCACTGTCTCCATGTATCTGGTACAATCACTGTGTCCATACCTACGTCCATCCTTCCATCCGACCAATCCTTACATTTGTCGAGCCATCCATCCCTCCCTACATCCATCCATCCCTACATCCACCCCTACATCTATCCCTACATCCACCCATCCATCCATCCCTACATCCACCCACATCCACCCCTACATCTATCCCTACATCCACCCACATCCATCCTTACATCTATCCCTACATCCATCCCTACATCCATCTCTACATCCATTCATCCCTCCCTACATCCACCCATCCATCCATCACTACATCCACCCTTACATCAATCCCTACACCCATCCCTACATCCCTCCCTACATCCATCCATCCCTACATCCACCCCTACATCCATCTATCCCTACATCCACCCCTACATCCATCCCTCCATCCATCCTCCCTACATCCCTCCCCCTACATCCATCCATCCATCCATCCCTACATCCCCTCCCATCCATCCACTCATCCCTCCCAACATCAACCCCTACATCCATTCCTCGCTACATCCATCCGTTCATCCATCCATCCGCCCATCCATCCATCCCTCCCAACATCAACCCCTACATCCATTCCTCTCTACATCCATCCGTTCATCCATCCATCCGTTCATCCATCCATCCATCCCTCCCAACATCAACCCCTACATCCATTCCTCCCTACATCCACCCCTACATCCATCCACCCCTACATCCATCCATCCCTCCCAACATCCATTCCTCGCTACATCCACCCCTACATCCATCCATCCATCACTACATCCACCCTTACATCATCCATCCATCCCTACATCCCTACATCCATCCATCACTTCATCCACCCATCCATCACTACATCCATCCGTCACTTCATCCACCCATCCATCACTCCATCCACCTTCATCCATCACTACATCCACCCTTACATCCATCCATCCATTACTTCATCCACCCTTACAACCATCCATTCATCCGAATTCTGTTGATAATATTTCAAGAAAACAATGATTCATGACTGTTTGACCCATATGCTTCCTCATATTGGTCTTGACCTGTGAATGATAAATGTGTAATGAGGGGTTGTTGCCGTCTTGATGACTCTTTCTATGTTGTAGGCCCGTTCCGCTACATGGACCTGCATGGAGCCAAGCCCCTGGTGGATCGCATGCTCAAGTACAGAGACTTGTACGGAATCCAGTTCCAGCCATGTCAGCTGCTCCTAGACCATGCTAACGATCCATCTAAGAAGTTCCACTCTTGAGCCTGAACAAAATAGACATTAAGATTATGACTGTGATGTTTTCCATGACATAAGCAGTTGCCTCCCTTGTTGTGGAGTGTCAGATATTCATCATGTGCTATTCAAGTTGAGTGAGTGGTGTACACATTTCATGCACACAAAGTGCTACATCTATTGTAAATATTATTGTGTGAATGAATATCAAAGTTTTCCAATAAAACTTACATGTGTAACAGTACATCTGTTTTGGTAGGGTTTGTTTTTCATACACACCAAACTTTGATGCCAAGGTATGAATACACAGTGGCTTCAGGGGTCAAGTATTTGAAATTACCCTTTTTCAGTAAAGTACAAAATAGTAGTACTTTGGGGGTTGAGTCTCATCTGGGTGTTGAACCCACGATCTCAGTGTGAGTCATGAAAGCACCAGCACACAAATTTAGCGACCGATACCAGATGGGACTCGACCCTTCTTACAGTAAGGTATATTATGTAACTCAATTTACAGAACTGTAGACCCAGAAAGTCAGGAATCTGGAAACGGTAACTCCAGTTCTACATATTTCTGAAATGCAGATCTGATAATTATATTTTAGAGAAAAGACTCCACAAATTATTTCCCTCTTTGATCCAGATATGGGATACATTTTTCATGATCTGGAAATGAGCCTCACAACACAGGTGCAGCCACCAGTGGCTTCATTCCAAGGGAAAGTTATAAAATATATATGTTCCTGTTCACTAGAATGTAATTTAGTTCACTGTTAAGAACATAAGTTTATATAGTGGTCTGTTTCTCCAAGGACCGTCCTGCTTTTTGTGACAGATACATTTTTCTCTAAAACCACAGGACTAAAGAAGATGAAGTTTCATGTGCTTGTTCCCACCATTGCTTAGAAGATGTTCAAAAGATTTTCAGTGTGGCCTGTGTGAACAGTATGGTCATTAATCAGGTGTCCTTTATTCGGCAACAGCCAAGAGGAGTCATTTTGCAGCACGATGCAAGGCCTCACACCGCCAGAATTGTTTGAGAATACCTGTACAACGTTAACGTCATTTTATTGCCTTGGCCAGTGCATTCTCCCGACATGAACCCCATTGAACATCATCTTTATCGTCAGCTGAGACAGCATGTAGCACCTCCAGCCAACTGACAGGAACTTGAACAGACTCTCTTGCACCTATGGAACAGGATTCCTGCTGACGTCATCCACCGACTTACGACGTCAATGAGGGGACGTGTGTCCCTGTCTCCTGTCTCATTATGTGACTCTTTATTCACTTTTTGAATAAACTTTGATTTGTGTAGTCTTTGACCCCTTGACTCCTTGTGAATTACGACAAATGCAAGACCAACATTACAATGAATTTTCAGTCAAATTATTGGAAAAATGATTTCTGTTTGTACAATAATCATCATAAATCAAACCTACGTCTTTCTTTCTATTTTCTGGTCAAGTGAAGTCGGTGATAACTTTGTTTTGCCCAGTACTTTCTGTAACCTGTGTTGAAGTAGATATTGGGTTGTTACTGTATATGATCTGATTAATTCATTGATTAATTGTATGGGATATCCCTGCAAGTGACTTATTAAATATATTGAGGTAGGGGTTCCAACCTTAGTGACAATGCTTATTGAATATTAAGGTAGGGGTTCCCATCTCAGGGAGTTGAATGCTGAGGAGGAAACCAAGTTTTAAAACAGCCAGAGGCAGCCTTTTCACCATCCACATCGTTCGAAAAGCCACAGCTAGCTAAATGTGAATGATATACACTGGTACAGTGCCACGGCTGCTGCAAATCTGCAGCAGATGAAAGCGTATAAACAAGATCAATTGGTTTGTTCCGATTGTAGCCTTTTTCTGCTTCCAAGTTGTCTTCTAAATATTGAAGCAGGTCTTCTTCCGTGGCCAAATATACCTGCCGACTTCCTGTTAAACTAGTCTTATGTAGGACTGTACCCTATTCCGACTTCCTGTTAAACTAGTCTTATGTAGGACTGTACCCTATTCCTAAACCAAACAAATACATCTTTCTTTTGAACTGTCCCTGTTGACAAAACCCAGACCAAAGAAATACATCTTACTTTAGATTTTGTTCTCAAGTTTCCCTGTTCACAGACCAAAGAAATCATTGTTCCTTATTGCTCTACACGAGATAGTTTTAACGGGTCAAACGTGTTATCAACGCTGACAAGAGTGAGCGAGTATGGTTTTACGCCTGTGTCCACTTTCAACATTCCAGAGAAATCACCGCGGGGGACACCAGAAACGCAGATTGTCTTGAATGGTTTGTAACCATTGGTGAGCCATGGGTTCAGCACTACAAAGCAGGGACTACACAGTATTGAAAGAAGATCTAACGGATCCTTCTCTTATGAAAGCAAGGAACGGTGGGGAATCGAACCCTAGCAAACGCTTTAACCACTATGCTACTCACCCCCTTGTTTCTGACACAAGGAAGCTTTAACATCCAATAAGAGGTTTTGCTAGGTTCCAAACACTGTTGCTGCAGAGAGGCAGTTTAACGTTTGAATGGACGTGGGTGATTGCCGGGAACCCAGGGGGGATGGCTTGAATGGTGTATGGTACAACTATGAATCATGCTGTTATATATTTTGTTATGTGGCAGTGTTTTTTTCTGTTATGTAGATCACAATGTTTTGAGGAATGTTTTTGATTCTACTTTTGATGACCGTGAATATTTCATTCTTCAGTGTCCTTCATTTCAGTCGAAGTAATCTGTAGATTTTGCTGGATAAACTACGTCTCATACATGTCAGTAGAGAGTCTCAGTTCATATATAAACTGAAGAGAATGTAATGTATTCAATTTCAAAGAACCTTGATAATGGCGGATGTAATTATTTTATTATCTTAAATTAAACATTATGGTTTGTCCTCTTCACTTTAGATTGACGAAGAGTTGACGTGTTAGAAATCTGAAATATAACAAATATAGAAGTTGATTCCATTTAAATCATAATCAGGTCACTTCCGGTGTGTCTTGTTGAAGTAGCGACGTCATCTTTCATTACACAGAACCTACTTAACCAGACCAGTGAAGGACTAAAGGCCTGGACGTTGTGGTAGCCCCCAAAACCTCAACCACACTCCTAGCATTCACTGAGAAGCCTCAGTCATTCATGGATCACCTGATTTATCTCAGACAAAGCAAAGTCAATGTTGACATTATTCTAGTTTACATATTCATCCAGACTTAACCATCTGAACACGTCAGCTGCCAGAGTGTCGATGATGGGCTGTTAATTTACTGTGCTTGCTCAATACACTAAGATATTGGTAAAATACTACCGTCAATGCATGTCTTGTCATCTGTCGACAGTTTGTAAAGTCCATCATCCGGGCATTTACACTGGAAGCTTGAATACCGTGACCGATGAGGCGAAGGAAGGCATATGTGTGAGCATCCACCATTGTTGTCCCCACATGCATTCGATGCTGTAAACCAAGGTTCTTCTGTAAAACAGTCAGAATAGTACTGGCTTCGATCTGCATGTGTTACTTAACTTTTATATATGTTACAAAACAAAGTGGTACCAGGCAATTCATAGTTATAAGGAATATTTCACTGGTAGGGTGATGAAAGAGTATCACCTAGTGGTTGTAGCTCCGGGTGGAACACTTTGACATCAAAGGGCCTTCCCTTGCCACCAATATGGATGATTTCAAAGTCCTTTCCTGTCCTCTTGTTGACCTTTCTGAGTGTTGATGATCTCCAGTCACTCCAGTAGAGAAAGTCCTGCAGTAGCAGTCAGGTTTAGGGTTAGTCTCACATTTCAAAGATCCTTACCTCATGTTCCAAGTGTGAGATATATTGTACTTGTAGTAAGAGGCAGTGGTGTGCTGTAGTTGCACTTGCACTAGATCAAGACAAGAGATCTAGAAACTACTACAGGCTGCTTGCCTCTCATCTCACATGACTTTTTAAGTTACCATAAGAACAACATCGTGTGTGATCATCATTATACCCTCCCTAGGCCATTGTGTGAGATAATCATTATACCCTCCCTAGGCCATTGTGTGTGATATTCATTATACCCTCCCTAGGTCATTGTGTGTAAGAATAATCATACCCTCCCTAGGCCATTACCCTCCCTAGGCCATTGTGTGTGATAATCATTATACCCTCCCTAGGCCATTATGTGTAAGAATCATTATACCCTCCCTAGGTTGTGTGTGATATTCATTATACCCTCCCTAGGTCATTATGTGTAAGAATCATTATACCCTCCCTAGGCCATTATGTGTGATAATCATTATACCCTCCCTAGGCCATTATGTGTGATAATCATTACACCCTTCCTCAGCCATTATGGGTGATAATCGTTAATCTACCTAGGCCATTATGGGTGATAATCATTATACCCTCCCTAGGTCCCACTAGGCCATTGTTCTGGCAGGTGATTTTCTGTGTATCAACCTTCTATCTGCACGTGCAGAGGTTGATATGTGGATAACAACCTTTGCGGTGCAGGAAACGCACGTGCAACAAGCAATGTACGAGTCCATTCGGTGCCCACGTGGTATAAGTAGGTTAGCACCCAACCTCTGCGGGTGATATGGCTTCAACGCTCTCGCCTGACGGCTCGAGCATTGGAATCCACATCACCCTTGAGGAGGGTGCTGACGTATACTAATAATTACACCTTTCCTCAGGCATTATGGGTGATAATCGTTAATCTACCTAGGCCGCTATAGGTGATAATTATACCCTCCCTAGGCCATTATGAGTGATAATCATTATACCCTCCTTAGGCCATTGTGTGATAATCATTAAAACCTCCCTAGGTCATTATGTGTGATAATCATTACACCCTTCCTCAGCCATTATGGGTGATAATGGTTAATCTACCTGGGCCATTATGAGAGAAAATCATTATACCCTCCCTAGGCCATTATGAGTGATAATCAGTGTACACTTCCTGGGCCATTATGAGAGAGAATCATTATACCCTCCCTAGGCCATTGTGTGATAATCATTATACACTTCCTAGGCCATTATGGGTGATAATCATTATACCCTCCCTATGCCATTATGAGAGAGAATAATTATACCCTCCCTAGGCCATTGTGTGATAATCATTATACACTTCCTAGGCCATTATGAGTGATAATCATTATACACTTCCTAGGCCATTATGAGTGATAATCATTATACCCTCCCTATGCCATTATGAGAGAGAATAATTATACCCTCCCTAGGCCATTATGAGTGATAATCTTTATACACTTCCTAGGCCATTGAGTGATCATTATACACTGCCTAGGCCATTATGAGTGATAATCATTATACCCTCCCTAGGCCATCATGAGTGATAATCATTATACACTTCCTAGGCAATTATGGATGATAATCATTATACACTGCCTAGGCCATTATGAGAGAGAATCATTATACCCTTCCTAGGCCATTATGAGAGAGAATCATTATACCCTTCCTAGGTCATTATGAGTGATAATTATTATACACTTTCTAGGCCATTATGGGTGATAATCATTATACCCTCTCTATGCCATTATGAGAGAGAATCATTATACCCTCCCTAGGCCATTGTGTGATAATCATTATACCCTCCCTAGGCCATTATGAGAGAATCATTATACCCTCCCTAGGTCATCATGAGTGATAATCATTATTCACTTCCTAGGCCATTATGAGTGATAATTATACACTTCCTAGGCCATTATGAGAGAGAATCATTATACCCTCCCTAGGCCATTATGAGTGATAATAATTATACACTTCCTAGGCCATTATGAGTGATAATCATTATACACTTCCCAGGCCATTATGGGTGATAATCATTATACCCTCCCTATGCCGTTATGAGAGAGAATAATTATACCCTCCCTAGGCCATTGTGTGATAATCATTATACACTTCCTAGGCCATTATGAGTGATAATCATTATACACTTCCTAGGCCATTATGATGATAATCATTATACCCTCCCTATGCCATTATGAGAGAGAATAATTATACCCTCCCTAGGCCATTATGAGTGATAATCTTTATACACTTCCTAGGCCATTGAGTGATCATTATACACTGCCTAGGCCATTATGAGTGATAATCATTATACCCTCCCTAGGCCATCATGAGTGATAATCATTATACACTTCCTAGGCAATTATGGATGATAATCATTATACACTGCCTAGGCCATTATGAGAGAGAATCATTATACCCTTCCTAGGCCATTATGAGAGAGAATCATTATACCCTTCCTAGGTCATTATGAGTGATAATTATTATACACTTTCTAGGCCATTATGGGTGATAATCATTATACCCTCTCTATGCCATTATGAGAGAGAATCATTATACCCTCCCTAGGCCATTGTGTGATAATCATTATACCCTCCTAGGTCATTATGAGTGATAATCATTATTCACTCCCTAGGCCATTATGAGTGATAATTATACACTTCCTAGGCCATTATGAGAGAATCATTATACCCTCCCTAGGCCATTATGAGTGATAATAATTATACACTTCCTAGGCCATTATGAGTGATAATCATTATATACCCTCCCTAGGTCATTATGAGTGATAATCATTATACACTTCCTAGGCCATTATGAGTGATAATGATTATACACTTCCTAGGCCATTATGAGTGATAATCATTATTCCCTCCCTAGGCAATTATGGGTGATAATCATTATACACTTCCTAGGCAATATGAGAGAGAATCATTATACTCTCCCTAGGCCATTATGAGTGATAATCATTATACACTTCGTAGGCCATTATGGGTGATAATCATTATACCCTCCCTATGCCATTATGAGAGGGAATCATTATACCCTCCCTAGGCCATTATGGGTGATAATCATTATACACTTCTTAGGCCATTATGGGGGATAATCATTATACCCTCCCTAGGCCATTGTGTGATAATCATTATACCCTCCCTATGCCATTATGAGAGAGAATCATTATACCCTCCCTAGGCCATTATGGGTGATAATCATTATACACTTCTTAGGCCATTATGGGTGATAATCATTATACCCTCCCTAGGCCATTATGAGTGATAATCATTATACACTTCCTAGGCCATTATGGGTGATAATCATTATGCACTTCCTAGGCCATTATGGGAGAGAATCATTATACCCTCCATAGGCCATTATGAGAGAGAATAATTATACCCTCCCTAGGTCAGTATGAGTGATAATCATTATACACTTCCTAGGCCATTGTGTGATAATCATTATACACTTCCTAGGCCATTATGAGTGATAATAATTATACACTTCCTAGGCCATTGTGAGTGATAATCATTATACCCTCCCTAGGCCATTATGAGTGATAATCATTATACCCTCCCTAGGCCATTATGAGTGATAATGATTATACACTTCCTAGGCCATTAGAAGTGATAATCATTATACCCTCCCTATGCCATTATGAGTGATAATCATTATACTCTCCCTAGGCCATTATGGGAGAGAATCATTATACCCTCCCTAGGTCATTATGAGTGATAATCATTATACTCTCCCTAGGCCATTATGTGTGTTTATCATTATACACTTCCTAGGCCATTTTGAGTGATAATCATTATACCCTCCCTAGGCCATTATGAGTGATAATCATTATACCCTCCCTAGGCCATTATGAGAGAGAGTCATTATACCCTCCCTAGGCCATTATGAGTGATAATCATTATACACTTCCTAGGCCATTATGAGTGATAATCATTATACCCTCCCTATGCCATTATGAGAGAGAATCATTATACCCTCCCTAGGCCATTATGTGTGTTAATCATTATAATTTATACCCTCCTTAGTTCATTATTGGTGATAATCATTATACCCTCCCTAGGCCATTATGAGAGAGAATCATTATACCCTCCCTAGGCCATTATCTGTAATAATCATTATACCCTCCTTAGGCCATTATGTGTGATAATCATGATACCCTCCCTAGGCCATTGTGTGATAATCATTATAATTTATACCCTCCCTAGACCATTATTGCACGCGAGATCACTGTTGCCATCACTAGCGCTACTGCTGTAAACACTGCTTTTCCATCATATTACCTTTGACTTTGTACAGCCACAGTGACACTTTGTTTTGAATTGTCATCATTACATACCTCATGTAAGCTGTCAGTAGAACCCAGTGTCACATATCATCATTACATACCTCATGTAAGCTGTCAGTAGAACCCAGTGTCACATGTCATTATTACATACCTCATGTAAGCTGTCAGTAGAACCCAGTGTCACATGTCATTACATACCTCATGTAAGCTGTCAGTAGAACCCAGTGTCACATGTCACCATTACATACCTCATGTAAGCTGTCAGTAGAACCCAGTGTTACATGTCATTACATACCTCATGTAAGCTGTCAGTAGAACCCAGTGTTACATGTCATTACATACCTCATGTAAGCTGTCAGTAGAACCCAGTGTTACATGTCATTACATACCTCATGTAAGCTGTCAGTAGAACCCAGTGTCACATGTCATTACATACCTCATGTAAGCTGTCAGTAGAACCCAGTGTCACATGTCACCATTACATACCTCATGTAAGCTGTCAGTAGAACCCAGTGTCACATATCATCATTACATACCTCATTTAAGCTGTCAGTAGAACCCAGGGTCACATGTCACCATTACATACCTCATGTAAACTGTCAGTAGAACCCAGTGTCACATATCATCATTACATACCTCATGTAAGCTGTCAGTAGAACCCACTGTCACATGTCATCATTACATACCTCATGTAAGCTGTCAGTAGAACCCAGTGTCACATATCATTACATACCTCATGTAAGCTGTCAGTAGAGCCCAGTGTCACATGTCACCATTACATACCTCATGTAAGCTGTCAGTAGAACCCACTGTCACATGTCATCATTACATACCTCATGTAAGCTGTCAGTAGAACCCAGTGTCACATATCATCATTACATACCTCATGTAAGCTGTCAGTAGAACCCAGTGTCACATATCATCATTACATACCTCATGTAAGCTGTCAGTAGAACCCAGTGTCACATATCACCATTACATACCTCATGTAAGCTGTCAGTAGAACCCAGTGTCACATGTCACCATTACATACCTCATGTAAGCTGTCAGTAGAACCCAGTGTCACATTACATACCTCATCACCATTACATACCTCATGTAAGCTGTCAGTAGAACCCAGTGTCACATGTCATATTACATACCTCATGTAAGCTGTCAGTAGAACCCAGTGTCACATGTCACCATTACATACCTCATGTAAGCTGTCAGTAGAACCCAGTGTTACCCATTACATACCTCATAAGTGTCAGTAGAACCCATGTCATATGTCATACATACCTCATGTAAGCTGTCAGTAGAACCCAGTGTCACATGTCATATTGCATACCTCATGTAAGCTGTCAGTAGAACCCAGTGTCACATGTCATATTGCATACCTCATGTAAGCTGTCAGTAGAACCCAGTGTCACATGTCATATTGCATACCTCATGTAAGCTGTCAGTAGAACCCAGTGTCACATGTCATATTGCATACCTCATGTAAGCTGTCAGTAGAACCCAGTGTCACATGTCATATTGCATACCTCATGTAAGCTGTCAGTAGAACCCAGTGTCACATGTCATATTGCATACCTCATGTAAGCTGTCAGTAGAACCCAGTGTCACATGTCATATTGCATACCTCATGTAAGCTGTCAGTAGAACCCAGTGTCACATGTCATATTGCATAACTCAAATGAACCGTGTTTTTTCCCTTTTTACAGCAGTCCCGAACGGGCGCCTTTTGTCACATCTCACCTGAAACATGGTAAGAGCAAACATATGTTCAGTAGATCCTGGCATTTGGATGACCACCCTGCGGTCACCGCCGTCCATGTCGCTGCTGCTCACTGTGTCTAGTCTGGCGTCAGTCCAGTACAAACGACCTTCGGAATAGTCTGTACGAAATACCAAAGAAGTTCAAGATAGTGTGTGTATTAAATGCATTTGTTTATAAGGTGCAGGAATCTATAAAACCGTTTAACAACAACAACAACAAAACCAGCTGCGATGACGATAAATTCTGTACAAAAATGAGCGTCAGCTAACAAAAGCGACAATTCAGATCGGTACCAGCTCAGTCTTCCAAAGGATTGCTCTTTGAACAATCGCTGCACAGTCTTTAAGTTTTGAGAAGAGCAACCTTGCGAAGTCCTTCGATTTAGATGGAGTCAGCTGGTATGACAAGTGAAACAGAAGGCTTCCTGTTTGCTACTCAGGACCAGCCACTTCCTATTGCAAACCGACAGTGTGTGATTTCGCGTCACAATGTAAATACTGAATGTAGATAGGCAATGAATTTGATGAAACCTATTTAGTGGATGAAGAATGGTGACAATTTTTATGGATATACAACTTCTTTATTTTGTGAAAGGCGATGTTTCAACATAGATTCTAATGTCGCTGTCACTTGCTTGCAGAGCCAATCTCAGATGCAACTGTGGCCACGCATAACCGATCACTTTGATTCCTCAGAACGTTCTCATCTCTCGTATGCTAGACACCCTGATTTTCCTATCAGCCACAATCATATCACACTAGGCGTCATCAATAAACGGTCAAATGATACTCTTCGAAAAAAAGAAAGAAACTTGACATGCTGTTTTGGAGTTTACTTACTGAGTGCATATAACTGATTCAAACATGACATCATTGCTCAGTTACAGTAAAATCATCACTTTACAAATTTCCAAAACATTATCTAGAAACCACAGAGGGCTATTAAAGCCACTTGGTCATAGTAATATGTCAGTATCTGGTGTGACCACCATGAGCATCGATAACAGCTTGGCAGCGGTGACCCCTAGAAGAAAGGAGATGCCGAATGCTGTCTTGAGGAATGTGTTGATACACTTGCTGAAGTAATGCGTGCAGTTCTTGTAGTGTCTGAGATGGCGGATTACGCTGGCGTCGATCAAGAGTATTCCATAATGGGTTATTCTTGATTATTCTTGATTAGGCTTGATTTGATAACACTAATCAAGAATAGCCCACCCTTTGTCTACTGGCTTAAATCATTCCTATCACAACAATTCTCATGTCAACACACCGTATATCAACCTCTTCTATTGTATAAACCAATACCCGCCATGTATATATTTCTGCTTGTGCAAATGTTGTGTATCATTTGCTTGATAACGGTGTTAGGATCTACACCGAAACGTCGCAACTACTACTGCAACAAAGACGTTGTCTATCCATAAAAAAGTGTTCCACTTCATCATGCCAGCTTCTAAATGCCACTTAAGGAAGTTGGGTCCATAGGTTTGAGATGGTCTGTCTGGACACGCTGAAGTGCCTTGCAACATCATGCTGCGATGTCCGTCCTTGTAAACGGCCGATGGCGTTGTGTCATTGAGCCTCTGTTAGTCTTTTCATTCTCTTGTCTGTAGTGGCTTAAAGCAATGCAAGTGGAGTTTAAAGCCTAGAGTCATGGCTTCAGCTCAGGGTGACACAATTTTATGATGCTCGTGCATTTCATGTAGGGTGCGTTTTAGCGATTCACTATAGACGTGAGTGTAACGTTTCGTTTTTGTTAAACGTTCAAAATTTCTGTCGTCGGCAACCATTCCCCCACATGCTGGGACTCAGCATGGATTGGTTTGTGCCAAATATTTTCCTAAAATTCAAATTTATCCTATGTCAAGTTTCTTTGTTTGAAGAGTATAAATCACACATAAAGAAAAGTTTCTCAGAAATAATAGAACTAAGACTGTCATGATAATGTTTAATGTGTTGACAAACGTGACACATCGTGACATACAGACAAAACGTTCAACAACACTAGCAAACATCAATTGTATATGCCAACCCCTCAAAATGACAAACATGAAGCACTCGGCCATTCAACATCTTGTGTACCCTGCTCGCGCGTCCAAGAGCTGTGCCCTTTGTTCTCGTGCTCATTTTCAAGTTCATAGAGAAAGCTTGCAGAATTCCATTCCATTCCTCTGCTAGAGCTCTGCGGAGTCCTGGGAGATCCACTGGTGGTGGGTGACGTGTGTACATACGTCGACCGAGTTCATCTCAGGCATGCTCAATTGGGTTGAGGTCTGGCGAGCATCTCTAAGCATCTTTCATCTGTGAAGAGCACACAAGCCCATTGACGTTGAAGCCAGCGGCCATGATGTCTACTCAATCTCAAACGTGCCTGTCTGTGACGTGGTATTAGTGTGTGAACTGCAGGTCGCCTACATCGGAGTCCGTCTTCCCTTAAACGTTGACGAACGGTGCTCCTGAATATCCTTACATTGTTCACATTGAAGTGTTTTGTCTGAAGATCTAGTGCGTTAAGAAATCTGTTACGTAACGCAGTGTTAATCGTGTGCCTACGGGGCAACCTGGTCAATGTGCATATTCCCCACCCATTGGCTTGAAATCTCTGCCACAGTCTACCAATTGCACTCTGACTCACATTAACGCGGACAGCAACCTGCCGCTGAGTTTGACCAGATTCAAAAGGCCTATAGCCTGACCCCTTTCAGCAAGTGTGAAAAAACATCTCATTTTAAGCTGCGATTTCACACAGGTATCTGAACAGTAAACGACGGTGAAAAAGCAACAATGCATGTGTATTGTCCTCCACTTTCTATGGATAGAGCGACTCGCACGTGCAAACCATTGACATTTAGTAGCAGGTGGATATCCATAGCGACAATCTGAATATAAAATGTGCCATTTATACCAGAATGTATCGGACGTTAAAGAACGTAATAATGACTACATGTTTACAGCTACACGTAACAGTCTGCGTCGTTAAAGAGAAGTTTCAGCCACCCTTCGTAAGCATTTTTATATAACTTTGATAATTTACCCGTTCGAATGTTTTGAGAGAAGGATTCCAGTAAATGTTTCTGCAGGAGTAGGGTTCTTTGGGATAAATCCACTTATACTGTTTGGGAAGCTTTCATTTCTGAGTTTGTGTGTAGCTGACTGTGTACGTACCTATAGTTAAACCATTTGGCCAGTAGATCTTTGAGTCCACGATGCTGCTGCGGTTGGAGCCGTCCATGCCGCATCTCCCTATCATAGCCGGTTCCTTCCAGTCGGTCCAGAATATGTACCTGTTAGCAAACATCTAACATCACAACAACGTATGGTATGGATTTACAAAGTCTATATTATTTACAACGTGACGTCCCTGGTCTACTTGTTGCCAGGTGAATGATGATGGAGGGCAAGAAGTAGCCCACAAACATTTACTTTGATCTAGTTTGTGTGAGTAGCGAATGTGCTGCATCAGACAGCAAGCAAACATTGTCTTTGTTTGCTTGCTGTCTGATGGATATAACTCTTTCCACCAACCAGAGTGTAGGGAGGGATTCGAGGAGCACCGAGCTGGGGAATGTACATCAGGAGATTCCAGCCAACCATGGATGGCGGTCAGGGAACATATCTGCTATCAGTTCTAACTCCCCGCTCCCCATTGCCCTCCTGTTGTCCATAACCTATCAGTTCTAATAAACCACTCCCCATTGCCCTCCTGTTGTCCATAACCTATCAGTTCTAATAAACCACTTCCCATTGCCCTCCTGTTGTCCATAACCTATCAGTTCTAATAAACCACTTCCCATTGCCCTCCTGTTGTCCATAACCTATCAGTTCTAATAAACCACTCCCCATTGCCCTCCTGTCGTCCATAACCTATCAGTTCTAATAAACCACTTCCCATTGCCCTTCTGTTGTCCATAACCTATCAGTTCGTATTATTCCTGGTGTCCTGTTGTCCACTACCAGTCAACGTCATCTACTGTTTCACTCACTCACTAGTTTCACTCGTTATGTACCGACTTGTTATTTTACTCTTTATGTTGTTTTCACTTGCATATAACCCGAGATTCCACGCATTCATTCGCCTGATGAAGGAGAAAGAAAACATATTCTCAGGAACGTCGTGTTCCCCGTAAAACAGAAGATGACGCCCATACACTTCCCCTTAACGTGTATCACTTCTAAATGTCATGACAAGATTCTATGAATAACTTACCTTTGATTTATGTCGAGCTCAATAGCTCGCGGTTTACCCAAGAGGTCGATGACAGTGGTGATATATTTCCTGTCCAGTAGGTTTAAGGTCATGACCCTTATCGACTTCCGGCTGGCGTCTGTCCAGTATATGGCCTTATGTATCCAGTCGTAGGCCAGGTCGGTAATGTATGAACTCTTATCTTGAAAGATCTGGGTTGGTGACAGAAGACTAAATCCTTGCATGTGAGCCCTGGAGAACATGTACTCATTCTGATCACTGAACCCAAACAGCACATTGTACAGTGAGTGAATCTACTTCTTCATGGTTTACAAGTACGTGTTTCATCTGTTGGACATCACAGCTTTATTACAAAACAAATATTTTCTGAAACTATGTGTATTCATTGTAAGTTAGTAACAGGTTAACGAACTGAACTATTGGTCCGTGTGGGTTGGTGTGCTTTTGCATGCTGTGTGTATGCCAGTTTGTGTGTAGTTACAAGATGTGTGTATTTCAGTGCATGTTGTTATGAGATGTGTGTATTTCAGTGTGTCTTGTAACATACTGAGTGTATTTCAGTGTGTGTAGTTACAAGATGTGTGTATTTTAGTGTTTTGTAACATACTGAGTGTATTTCAGTGTGTGTAGTTACAAGATGTGTGTATTTCAGTGTCTTGTAAAATACTGAGTGTATTTCAGTGTGTGTAGTTACAAGGTGTGTGTATTTCAGTGTGTGTAGTTACAAGATGTGTGTATTTCAGTGTGTATAGTTACAAGATGTGCGTATGTCAGTGTGTGTTTTTACATTCTGTGTGTACATCAGTGTGTTTTGTTCATGCTGTGTGTATGTCAGTGTGTGTTGATTCATGCTGAGTGTACATCAGTGTGTTTTGTTCAAGCTGTGTGTACGTCAGTGTGCGTTGCTACATACTGTGTGTCAGTGTGCGTTGTTACATGATGTGTGTCAGTGTGTGTTTTGTTACGTGCTGTGTCAGTGTGTGTTGTTACATGCTGTGTGTCAGTGTGTGTTGTTACAAGCTGTGTGTGTGCCTGTGTGTGTGCCAGTGTGTGTGCTATTACTAATATTGCTTCACTATTTATAACAAATATGTGATTATACGCTATGTCTGACACTACCTGATATGATGACTGAATGCTTCAAAGTAAGTACATATTCACGGTTCTTGTAACCAGGTCTGCCCAGAACACTGTGCTATTTCTGACGTTGAAGGTCAAGGACACCGGATGTTGCATGTTGTGTTTTTGTTCAGTGAAACTCATGATCCGGGAGTACTTGGTTGTGAGGTTCACACGTTTCATTGACCCAATTTGCGTCATCAACAGAAAGGCAGAGTTGACTGTCAACAGAAAAGCGAAATAACAAATTACTCAATGAAGTTAAAATAATTTGAGTCTACTGCGGAACATCTAACAATTTGTTTACCAATGTATGGATGACATGTTATTTTACAAAGTAAGGAGGTCATGTTGTTTTACAAAGTGAGAAGGACATGTTGTTTTACAAAGTGAGAAGGACATGTTTTACAAAGTGAGAAGGACATGTTGTTTTACAAAGTGAGAAGGACATGTTGTTTTACAAGGTGAGGACATGTTTTACAAAGTGAGAAGGACATGCTGTTTTACATTGTAAGGAGGACATGTTGTATTACAAAGTGAGAAGGACATGCTGTTTTACAAAGTGAGAAGGACATGCTGTTTTACAAAGTGAGAAGGACATGTTGTTTTACAAAGTGAGAAGGACATGTTGTTTTACAAAGTGAGAAGGACATGTTGTTTTACAAGGTGAGGACATGTTTTACAAAGTGAGAAGGACATGCCGTTTTACATTATAAGGAGGACATGTTGTATTACAAAGTGAGAAGGACATGTTTTACAAAGTGAGAAGGACATGTTGTTTTACAAAGTGAGAAGGACATGCTGTTTTACAAAGTGAGAAAGACATGTTGTTTTACAAAGTGAGAAGGACATGTTTTACAAAGTGAGAAGGACATGCTGTTTTTTACAAAGTGAGAAGGACATGCTGTTTTACAAAGTGAGAAGGACATGTTGTTTTACAAAGTGAGAAGGACATGTTGTTTTACATAGTAAGGAGGACATGTTGTTCTACATTGTAAGGAGGACATGTTTTACAAAGTGAGAAGGACATGCTGTTTTACATTTTAAGGAGGACATGTTGCATTACAAAGTGAGAAGGACATGTTTTACAAATCGATAAGGACATGCTGTTTTACATTGTAAGGAGGACATGCTGCATTAAAATGTAAGGAGGACATGTTGGTTTACAAAGTGAGGAGGACATATTGTTTTACAATGTAAGGAGGACATGTTGTTTTACAAAGTAAGAAGGACATGTTGTTTTACAATGTAAGGAGGACATGTTGTTTTACAATGTAAGGAGGACATATTGTTCTACAAAGTAAGAAGGACATGTTGTTTTACAATGTAAGGAGGACATGTTGTTCTACAATGTAAGAAGGACATGTTGTTTTACAATGTAAGGAGGACATATTGTTTTACATGTAAGGATCCTAATAAAGATTGTTCTGGGTTCACTGGGATATCTGTCTAAATACAGCACCAGTAAACACCAGCACCAGTAAACAACAGCACCAGTAAACACCAATCCAAGGTTTAACCTCCATAATTACTGTTTGTTTATTGTGAGACATTTACTGATATATGTTCATCCGAAGGACTATGTCATCTGTACAACTATAGGACCATGTCATCTGTACAACTATAGGACCATGTCATCTGTACAACTATAGGACCATGTCATCTGTACAACTATAGGACCATGTCATCTGTACAACTATAGGACCATGTCATCTGTACAACTATAGGACCATGTCATCTGTACAACTATAGGACCATGTCATCTGTACAACTATAGGACCATGTCATCTGTACAACTATAGGACCATGTCATCTGTACAACTATAGGACCAGGTATATAGAACCAGTATAGAACCAGTATAGGACCACTATGGGACCACTATAGGACAACTATCGGACAACTATAGGACAACTATCGGACAACTATCGGACAACTATAGGACAACTATAGGACAACTATCGGACTACTATCGGACAACGAACGAATGAACGAATGAACGAATGAACGAATGAATGAATGAATGATCTTTATTTCCTCCAGTAGCTTCGGAGAGTGACAAACGTCGGATGTTCTTTTAACACAACATACTTACAGAAATATGATAAAGAGAAAACATGAAGTTTTACAAAGCCACATATTTACATGATTCTGGTGAGAATTAAGTCATTATCTATAGATCGCTGTCTATAGATAGCAGTGATCGCAGGCTCCAGGAGCTTATGTCACGTGATACAGAACCTATGAATTCAGCCCAGGTGTCAAGGCTCATATTCTCTATAATAGAGGTTATTCCACCGAGGAATGTCACAATTCTGACTTCGTCATATGCACAGTCTTCGATACACATGTACTGTTCCAGGCTTAATGTGTCAAACAGATGCTCATAAAGAATGTTTCTTGCATCAGCTAAAGCTGCACAATATACCAGTTGGTGTTTTATTATATCATTGCACTCTTCATTACACATTAGACACTGACCAGGTGTTATTGGTAGCATTCCTAGTTTCACAAGTGCATACATAGGTCTGGTTGGGATATTGTATAGTATACACATATTCCAAAGTCTATGTGGAACCAGTTTCTACAGAATCTGTCCAATTCAGGGCGATCTTGCAGGCAGGTATGCCAATGAGCAGTTTCATGCTCTGTTATCTTGGCCCGTATAGTTTTGTTTAGACTAAGGCTTAGTCTCTGAATATATATAATTTTGATAGTAACAAACAAGCCCATTTATATTGAAAAGGAGCCCTAGGGAGACCAGAGATCCTGAACCTGAGGAAATCTAGACTTGCTTTATTTAGGGCTTAAGCACTGCAGAGAGGGCTTGGCAGTAGGGAAAATAATGTGGTTCAGGGACTGTGAGACAGACTAAGTTTTGTTCGACGCCTCCTTGGATGGAAACTGGTTAGTTTTCATAAAGAGATCAATTGCATTCCATAATTCATATTTCTTGGCTACATTTAGAAGATCGTGCGTTACAGACTCACATTTGTAACCGGCTGCTATATACTGAGCACACTTGAAATAGAATATCTTTTTAAAGGCATATCTGTGGTTGCTTCAGCACAACCTTCCAAGGAACATCAGCTTCATTTTGTCGATAGTAGCTGTCATAGTCCACAGTCCTAGAGTTTGAATAGTTGCAGCGGTCGGAGAGCTTTGATGAAAACTTTGCACAGTTTGTGCAAAGTATCGCTGGGTATTTTCAATGGTATTCATTTCTGTGCGTGACATATTTGACCACAGCTCACTCGCGTAGAAGGCACAAGGAATTATTACTCTTCGCCAAATGTTAACACAACAGACTGGGTTTAGACCACCAGCTTTAAGTCCAATATCTCTAAGTGAGTTCAAGGTTTGTCTCGCCTTAGCACAAGCTCTCGTACTCCTTTCGGATTCCAAATGAGAATTTATAAAGGAACCTGCGTATATTGTGTTCGACTTCATGGACAGTATGTGGTTGCCCAGGCTGAAAGGTGATGACTGGTCAATTTTGTTTCCACCCTTAAATATTAATATACAGCTTTTGCTTGCATTATATGTCAGCCTCCATTGGCAAGCATATTGATGGACAGTTTCTAGAGACATACGTAGGCCACTACTTGTCGGGCTTACGAGTGTCGTGTCATCCACGAGTAGGACTACTGGATAGTGATCACCTCCAAGGATAAGGCCTTGTCTTAGCTGATCAAGGCGACATATTAGCTCATGTATATACACAAGGAACATCCACGCGGATAACACACGCCCTTGTCCTATGCCTTGTCTGATTTTGAACGTCCGACTTGTCTTGTCATCATATCTGACACATCCGGTTGATTCGTGTTACGACTGTCGTATTATATGCCAGGCTTTTCCTTGCACACCTAGGTTAGATAGTTTTAGTAGTAGACCGTTGTGCCAGATGCGATCGAACGCTTTCTCATTGTCGAGAAACACAGTGTATACATTGGAGGATCTTTCCGTATAAAATGATATCACTTCTTTGAGTATATAGGTAGCTATGTTTGCACCATGCTCTGGTCGGAATCCACACTGTAGTCTATGGGGGAAGTCAGGTTCCATATATTTAACATACCTCTGAATTCTTTCTAACAGGATCTTCTCAAACAGTTTCCAGATGACGGAGGTGAGGGTTATACCTCTGTAATTGGCAGGGTCCGATCTGTCCTTATTGTTTCCTTTATATATTGGTATAATTGTTCCAGATCTTAGCAATGCAGGGGTATAGCAGGTATGTGTCATGTTAAACAACTTCGTTAAATGTTTGAGGAGCACATCGCCAGTGAAATAAATGTGTTCATTTGTGATTTGGTCCGGTCCAGGTGATTTTCTCATTTTTAGGCATTGTTTCAATCGTTTTAGTTCACTGATTTCAATGTCCGTTTTGAGTATAGGGTCATAATCGTGTGGTGGTATTCTTGAGACCTGGTCTACTCTAGAGTCTGTCTGATTACGAAAGTCGTTATCAAACTTCGGCCGTTCAAGAGGTGATAATAGATCTGCATAGTAGTCCGCCCACAAGTTGCACACTTCAGCTGGTGTATTGCAGGAACGTTGCTTATATTTCAGGTGTGTGCTAACAGTCTTAGTTTTCCTTTGTTTCTTTACAATCCTGTAGAATTCAGCAATATCTACTTCACATGCTGAGTTTATTTCCACATACTTTTCTTTATTCCACTGTCCTCAGCTTGTCTTTTACAACGCCGAAAGTCACATTTACCCTGTTTGTATAGGGTGTACGAGTCGTTCCCGGTACCTCTGGGCCTGCCTTCAGCTGACCAATTTCTCTTTGCTTGGCGCATCCTGTAGTGATAGAGATCGAGATTTGACCGTTTCCAGTAAGGCTTGAGGTACGGCCTATAGTATCCACGTGGTATGTGCTCATCAGCAGACTTCTTTAGTGCACCAACAATGGTGTCAAAGTAACTCTCTATCATATTTGCTCCTAAAGCCCCAGTGACTGGCGTTATGTCACCTAGCAATCTGTGTACCTCGGCTTCGAACATACCAAGTTGTTGCTGACTAGCTTTTGACCATTTGTGTGGAGTAGATGGCATACCAGCTTTACATGTAGTTCTAGTGAGGCTGTCGAGATGAAGGGATGCAACGACAGGGAAATGATCAGATACATGGAAAGGGATTGAGTCATAAATACGTGAGTTGACCGAGTGTTCTAGGTGTTTGGGCACAAGTATATAGTCAATTATGGAGGATTGA